GAAGATACCCTTCTTTTTCTTAAATGTGTAAGGGTGCGAGTTGTATCTTAGACCAGCGCCCTCTAGAGGAGAAATGCTGCTGTCAGTATCTGTAGCTGATAACAGTGCCCGTTAATTTAAATCAGCTTGATTTGAATAAGTTGAAATGAGCTTGATTTAAATCAAATGATTTTTTTAAAAAAATAAATCATCTATTTAAAACTTTACAAACCGCTTCAGTGTTTGTTTAAAGTTCTTACTGGCGTTAATAATTTTAAAATTTATTGCAGACATTGTGCTGGGTTCATAAATTTCAATTAACGAAATCACGACATCAGTACTTAGAGCGCAATAAATTATAGCACTTCTGTAATGGCGTTTTAAATCTCTGTTTTTAATTTTTCAGAATGCTAAATGAGAACAAAGGGAAGATTTAATATATTTTTTTTTACTTATTTATAAAGCCTTTAAAAGAAATTTTTTGCAAAAAGCATAATAGTAACGAAAAACCTACAAATTAATAGTTTTAAACCACAATCTTCAAAACCACAAGCAATTTTAATATTTGAAATACATTTCTGAATTTTAAAGTAGATACAGTATTAAAAGAAAATTATCATAATACAGCATAAAAAAAGCTGTTGAAAGAAAAATTTAGAATGCTTTTCTTATAGTGAGATAAATATATCTATATATTTAAGTAAAAAGATTAGTTATTCTATATGTTATCAATCTGTAGTTAGGGTAAAGTATAAGACACTACAATATATTTTGTTACTTCAAAAAAAAAAAAAATTTTAAGAAAAGAAAAAAAAAACTTTAGACCAATTTTTTAAACCAATTTTTCAGTAGTTAATAATGATACATTTCATTACCATTTTCAATAAATTTCGGTCATGCATTTGTATGTATTATATATTGCGATATAATACGAACGTTTGTTAATAATTGTGACAAAAGGTACTATCTTCTGCGTTGTGAGCTATTTTAGGTTCTCCAAACCTGTGCTAAAGAATTTATTTTTTAGTTTTCGGTTTCTGAGATATTTTTTCCAATCAATTTGAAATTAAAATCATATGTGCTTATTTGAAAGCAAAACTAAGGAATAATGTGAGCCTTGATACGCAACAGTCAAGTTACTGATCCAGTTCAGCCTTGAACTGACTTGACGAATTAAAAACAATTAAACATTTAAGAACGTGCCAACAAATTACTTTTTCGAGACAAATTACTTTTAATGCAGTTACAAGCTCTATTTAATCGAAAAAGTCATCCATAATCATAAACATGGAATGCACAGCTGGATAAGAGGTATTTTTTTGAACATTATTTAACAAATTTTATAAAATTTGACGCCTACTAAAATGTAAAGTTTTAACAACCTTCAATACGTTCCACTGTTAGACTGGAAAATCTATGACAGTAATTTTGTTTTATCTGGAAAATTATATACAATCTAAATCCACAGGCTGTAATTCCATTATAATTCTAACTATTTTAAAATGTCCTAAACAAAAATACTATTTTCAAACAAAACAGAAGAACCACAAAAACGCAAAAAAGGTGCCACTTCCCCAATTGTGTTTGGAAGACACAGTTGGGGAAGTGGCACTTTTTCATTATTAATTTTAATTATTATATTAACAAATTTTCTATAATATTTCAACTAACTTAAGCGTAAAGTTTTAACAACCTTCAGCGCGTTCCGCCAAAGTTCTCCCTAGGAACAAAAAAGGGCAGGGAGCTGCCTCTTAAAAAAAGGCACTATAAGTTTTAAAAGGGCGCTTATTCAATACCGTAAAAATTTATCAAAATGTGTATTATTATGTAATAACTGAATTTGATCTTTAGATTTTTTTAAATTACCCTCTTATATTATTTTATGCGCATATTTCAAAAAATGATTCTCTCTCATTATCAGAATAACAGAAAAAATTGTAGTTTATAAAAATAATTAAAGGCATGCTAATAGATAATCTCTGGACAAAAAATTTTTTCCAAAAAAAGAAACTAAAAAAAATTATTAATTAATAAATAACTTGAAAGATTTTTATATATTTGAATTAATGAAAATTATAAGAAAACGATCATTTAAAGTTACGATCAAAAAAAGTTAGTTATTTAAAAAATAATTTCAAAAATAAAAACCATTAAAAATTTTATTAATATAATCCCCTCTACTTTGAAAAAAGAGATACTTATAAAAATTTAACGAGTTGAGAATAATCCTGACAAAATAAATATTTGCAAAAGTATTCAGAATTAAACTTATAAACACAGATAATTTTACTGGAGTGTAATTATTATTCAAACAGTAAATAAATATTTTTTTTAAAAATAGAATATGTATATAAAAAGGTACTGTTTTTAAGGGATGGGCGGCTTATTTTTATTAAAAGGACAAAGAGGGCGCGTCTTCAGGGATCAAAGGTCAGGTCAGGGCGGTCAGCCCCTCTGAAAAAGTTTAGGGAGAACAGTGTTGTTAGATTAAGAAATCTATGGTAACAATTAGATATATTAAATATAATCTAATTCGATAGACTACAATTCTATTAAATCCAGGAAAATTTTAACTCTTTTGAAGTATTACAAACAGAGAATAAAGAGTTAGAGAAGTGGTCCTTTTTTAATATTAATCAACAACTTTTTAAAATTTCATACCAGCTAAAGAGAAGATTTTGAACCTTCTATACGTTCCACTGTTTGACAGAGAAATCAATAACAATACTTTTGTTTTATCTCAGGGATTATGTACAATCTAAATCTGTAGGTTCAAATTCCATAAATTCAGGAAAATTTAATCTCTTCTAACGTGTCGTAAACAGAGAATACACAGTTAGAGAAGTGATACTTTTTTAATATTAATCAACAATTTTTTTAAAATTTAATACCAACTAAAGAGAAGAGTTTGAACCTTCAATACGTTCCACTGTTTGACAGAGAAATCAATAACAATAATTTTGTTTTATCTTAGGGATTATGTACGATCTAAATCTGCAGGCTCAAATTCCATAAATTCAGGAAAATTTTAACTCTATTAACGTGTCGTAAACAGAGAATACACAGTTAGAGAAGTGATACTTTTTAATAGCAATCAACAAATTTTCTAAAATTTAATACCAACTAAAGAGAAGAGTTTGAACCTTCAATGCACTCCACTGTTAGACAGAGACATCAATAAAAGTAATTTCGTTATATCTGAGGAATTATGTACAATCTAAATCTGCAGGCTCGAATTCCATAAATTCAGGAAAATTTTACTATTTTGGAATGTCTAACATAGTAATGCACCGTAAACATAGAATGCACCGCTGGAGAAGTGGTACTTTTTAATATCAATCAACAAAATTTTCCAAAATTTGGCACTTACTGAAGTGAAAAGTTTCAACAACCTTCAACGAGTGCCGCTGTTACACAGCAAATCAGTCACAACCATTTTGTTTCATTTGAAAGATTACATATACTCTTAATCCGCAAGGTGTAATTCCATAAACTTAACTTTTTTCATAAAAAAAAAATTTGATACTTCGTAATAATAAAATACACAAACTGAAAGTATTAAGTTTTAAAACGAATAATAATCAGTTTTCTATCATTTAATCCCCATTAAAAATACATTTTCATTCCATTATCCCTGAGGTATTACATCAGTGGGTAGATCAACTGTAATTGTTTTGTTTTGGATAACAGACTACGTATTTTGCAGAAGATAAATTCTGTTAAAATGATTGACCTTTAAAAACGTGGCCTGATGGATTTAAAAAAAATACAGTAAATGAACACCTGTTTCTCTACAATTTTTATTAAACGATTTTAATAAAAAAAAACTAGCATTTAAAATTTTACTCATTTATATGAAGCAAATTACAAAATGAACAAATCCAGATACAATTCGGATTTTCATTAAACAGTATGTCATTCATGTTCGAACGGATCGATAAAAAGGCTTGATTTTAAATTTATTTTTACTATCTCAACATAGAGTTACGGTGATGAGAGGTAAATATTAAAGCTGCATATCATCAACTTTTGATATTTCGCATCTTTTGGGAAACATTCATATTATACAGAGATTCACGTCAATTACATATAAGCCGATAAATTAACGATAAATCTGTATTATGAGTGTAAGTTTTAGTTATTGTCTTAGTACATCGCAGCAGTTTTATGAGAACAGTGAAGCAAATTACACAATGAACAAATCCGGATACAATTCGGATTTTCATTAAACAGTATGTCATTCATGTTCGAACGGATCGATAAAGAGGCTGGATTTTAAATTTATTTTAACTATCTCATCTAAGAGTTACGGTGATGAGAGGTAAATATTAAAGCTGCATATCATCAACTTTTGACATTTCACATCTTTTGGGAAACATTCTTATTATACAGAGATTCACGTTAATAAAATATAAGTTTATAAATTTACGATAAATATGTATTATGTGTGTAAGATTTAAATTTTGTCTTTAGTCTACAATGCTTATTTCTGCAGCTTTTTGAGAACAGTGAAGCAAACTACGCAATGAGTAAATCTGGATATAATTCTAATTAATTTTCATTAAACAGTATGTCATTCCTGTTCGATGCGGATCGATAAAGTGGCTCGATTTTAAATTTATTTTTACTATCTCATTTTAGAGTTGCGGAGATAAAGAGGTAAATATTAAAGTTGCATGTTATCAACTTTTGACATTTCACATCTTATGGGAAACATCCTATTATACGGAGATTCATCTCAATAACATGCCGGTAGACGAATATCGATCGACACGAACTCTCGCAGACGACTTTGCGGTGGCAAGATTTCAAACGATTTTTTTTATACACAAAATTGTTTTTAACAAATTGCCATTTTGGAAAGAAAATATCTTGCCAAAATGAAGAATTCCGGATTTAAAAAGAAAATGGTGGAGATTCAAATAGCTTGTGTTCCAATGAAGGATCTTTAGAATCGATTCCTCGAATTCTCCCTCGTGTGTCAAACGATCGAGAGAAAAGATAAGTGATATAATATTTACCTGACCATCTCGGTCCTTGATCACAAATGTCCGGCAAAGCCCAGGGGTCATCGGACACAGGAGAGGACATCATCTTCGTTTCACCATTCTCGTTTACGATGCAGGAGGGAGGAGAAGAATTTTTCTCTCCTTCCATCTTCATCTGCAAACGAACAGAGAATGTGTTCGCTTTCACTCTGCTATGTCGTCATCAGGTAGTTCCTACAGCACATGCGCACTTCCGAGAAGTTGACGTCGTTTTCCACTGCTTCATTTGCGCATCATTTATTTATTTACTTACCGAGCGGAGCGCGGGAGTATTAGAGGGAAAGCTTGTTCTTTTTTAAATCAAGGAATTTAACGCAGCGGCAAAGAGAGGAAGGGATTAAAGACATCGTCATGTACTTTATAGTCCACAGAGTTACAATTTGGGATAGCCTCTGAGGAAATGGATCACTCAAGACCCCATTAAATATTTACCTAAGAATTGAAATAGATAATGATTTTTTTTTTTCGTATTTTAGTTCGAAAAACTAATATTTTTCTAATATAATTCTAACTGTATTTATTATTTAATTTTCAAATTTTCTAGCAGGATGAAGTTGAAAATTTTAAGTTTAAGGTCTCTTTAAATAATCATCTAAAATTGATGGAATATATCTTATTTTCGAATTCTACGATTTGGAGAGCTTTATTTTTTTCGGAAGTGAAAGAAGAAAAATCGAGTCAAATAATTTGGACGATAATGCTTAGATGAAAGATTTAAAATTAAAATTATTTCATAACAAAATAGGAAACTGAACAAGCACCATGAGATTTTTAACTTAACTCCCCATGTAAAAGTTGATTTGATTTCCAAACTATTTTTTACTTTTATTTCAAACGTTTTTTATAAATTTTAAGCTGTTTCTAAAATATTCAATGATATCTAATAAACCGGTCGACCAATTTGTATAAATTTTCCTCAGTAATAACCACATATTATTCTTATGTGAACTGATGCTCAATTAAAAATTTTATTTTATATTTTATAACCGTCGTTTAACAGCCGACGCAATCGTTTTTGGATCTACGACTGCTAATGATCAACTCCATAGCCTTGTAATTTTGAACTCAATTCAGAAAACAAGGGAACTCCTGGATCAAGTTTTGGGAGAAATTTGCCTCCGTGGAAGACTTTTTGGTGGAACTAACCCACATTTGCTTTACACGGAGAGGGAAACCACGAAAGCCTCCCAAGGTTATCTTGTCACAAGGGGACACTAACCCATGATCCGTCTACCACTGAAGATATTTTACGTCAGCACTGTGGTCGGTGCAAGCCGGATGCGGAATTCGTATCGACAAGCCATCGCTGGGATTCGAACCCTGTTCACCTCATTGGAAGGCGAACGCTCTATCCCTTGAGTCATCACGGCTCATTCAATAAAATTGTACAAATTTTTAATACTAAAAAAATTAAAGTTCGTAATTGGAACTCTCTTTCCAAATAAAAAAAAAATGCAAAAGTATTTTCATTCGCAACTTATGAAATGAAAAGCTCATTTATTTTTATACATCACTTAATATATGAGAAATTCGGAACAGAGTAATGTATGAAACGGAAAATAAGATCGAAACACCTTTATATCTATTTTTTCTACGGAAATTTTTTTTCATCACTTGATATACACTCTATAACAAAAAAATCGACGCACCAAGAAGGAGTTATCCGATTGAAACGAAAATTGGTGGATAGGAAGACAATGTACAGAATAGTAAATGATTAAAATTTCAAAACAATTGCATAATTTATTGCAGAGTTACAGTAACAAGTTCAATAAGGTGTTGACCCGCCTCTAGCCTGGATACAAGCTGCCACACGGCGTGGCATATACCGATAAAGCTCCCGCATGGTCTCTTGCGGTATTTCCTGCCAAATTCGATCCAATTGTCGAACGAGGTCATCAACATTCCGTGCCAGATGCAATCGCCTTCCCATCATATCCCAGACATGCTCGATGGGAGAGAAATCTGGTGATCTGGCCGGCCAAGGAAGAGTTTGAGAAGCTTGCAGACAGTTCATAGCAACACGTGTCGTATGTGGTCTGGCATTGTCCTGCTGAAAAACCAGCCCAAGGCGCAGCAAAAGGAACGGTAGCAAAACAGGTCTTAGGATGCCGTCGACGTACCGCTGCGCAGTAAGTGTACCTCTAATGACGACCAAAGGGGTCCGGCTGTCAAAGGAAATGGCACCCCAGACCATAATGCCTTGTTGAGGGCCGGTGTGGCGTACAATAGTGAAGGCAGGATCCCCCCTCTGCCCTGTGCGTCTCCAAACACGTCTTCGATGATCGTCAGGATACAGTTGGAAGCGGGATTCGTTGCTAAAGACTATACGTCCCCAGTCGGCATCATTCCAGCCTGATCTGTTCAAAACATTCATGCATACGAAATTTCAAAGCAATCGGATGATTGCTTCTTGGTGCGTTGATTTTTTTGTTATAGAGTGTATTTTTCACAAATTTGAGTAATGCTTTGGACTAATGGCTGGACGCCGTTAGATAAGAAATCGTGCCGACAATAACTATCAATGATAAGTACTACTTTCAATTTTCATTTTTTTTTTAATATAATTTCTTGAGACAATTTTAAAAATGGTTAGCTTCGTAAGTTAAAGGAAAAGATTTTATTCCTCTGTGACACCTTGCCTTTATTGATTTTCTTACAGGTTTTAGCTTCTCTGTTCTATTTACAATCAAGCACAACAAAATAGCGAATCCTCCTCAGGCGGACATTTATATACATGGTTTTGTATAAAGTGTATTTTTTTAAAAGTCCACTTTCAGGGAAAAAAATTAAGCTTATTTATTTTAATCTCCACAAAACTTTCCTTATCGACGCTAACACTTTCATCGCTTGGTTTCGAATGTTGAAATTTTTAAATTTTTTTTTTTTTTTTGAGAAATATTACGGAAGCATATTTTTGGCAATTTTGAAAAAACCATCCCCTTGTGTTAGCAAAAACGAGCAAATTGCAAATCCCTCCAAGCTTACGTAAGAAAGCCCCATTACCCCTCCGTCCTTGGTATTCGCCAGTAATCTAATTTTAGGCATAAATTCAAATAAATGATGTAAATATACACGAAACAAGATTTACGCTTTGGTTCATCGTATAAAAATTTGAACAGAATATTCTTTAAAAATATTTTATGTATTCTTTCTGTGTTCCAAAATCTCGACCTCTGTAACTTTTGGAAGACATTTTCTCCGATCCTTTCATTTCTCGAATTCAATAGCAAATTTGAAAACAGTTTTTTTTTTTGTCAATTTTCTTTTTAAATTTTAAAAGCAAATTAGAATTAAAGAGATTTCAGCATCTTAAGTAAGCATTGATCCTACCTCTCGTCTTACCTTGTCAACAGAAAACAGCGAATCTCAAATTCTCTCCTTGTAGGTGCTAGCGTAATATTAGTGTGACGCTTATCGTCACTCAAACCTAAAATCACTAGAAAGGGTTAAAATTAGATTTCTAGAACATCTCAAAGTCTTCGATTAAATAAAACTACCGGTGGGGAAATCTCCATCGGCAAATAGTAACTTAAATACGAATAGAGTAATTCAAATAAACAATCAGGTTAAAATCTTACAATGTCACCCCCATCATGGGACTAACTCGAAAACACCAATAACTTTTGGACTAATTACAAAAACTTGACCTTTCCACAAGTTTATAACTTTTTTATGACGCAGAAAATAATAATACAAAAGCAGAGAAATCAAAGTGATCTACTATAGGCAGATACCGAAAATAAACCATGTATAAACTTAAGCAAGAACGTAAAGCCCGGTGGTTGAGCCGTAGCCCTTCGCGCGGTCGTGCCACAGGTCCCTGGTTCGATCCTCGGGCCGGAAAAGGTTGACTCAGCCTTTCATCCCTTCAGTGGGTCAATAAATGAGTACCAAGCATGATTGGGAACTAAACATTGGGGGTTCCGCGTTCGGCTGGCCACCTAACCGGAACATCTGCTTCTGCACCCCAGAGCCCAAGGTCAAGAAAACTGAAATGGGCACAGTAGGCCTTTGCCCTCTTTGGGCTGTCGCGCCACTGAGTTTATAAACTTAGTAAGTCTCCCTCTCCTCCTATTTTAAACAATTTAAAAACTAATGTTATAATGCTAAGTTGATTTAATCGTAAATGCTAATGCTAAAATAGTTTAATTGTAAATAAAATATTATTTACTTCAATTTAAGACGAGTAAATTTCCTTTATTTAATTTAACTATCATAACTATATGATACGGCCCAAAAGCGCCACATTAGAGCGGATTTTAGCTAAAATGTTACTAACATGATCTTTCATGGAGATCTTCAAATATGTTATATCTTCATTTAGTTTCTATAGTTATTATCTAATATTTTACAGATTTGCATTAATTTAAATTCTATACAGAGAATAATACAAATGTTATTCTGAAAAAAGAATGAGAATGCCATTGAAAAACTTTATTCAAAATTTATTTACTCAAAAAAAAAAAAAAAAAATGAAAGTTTTACGAAACAAAATTTTTACATAGAAATTTAGAATTAACTTGTTGAAAAATAGTAGGTTTGTATGACATTTCGAATTACATTTCATAGCATTCGCAACGAATAGATTTATTTCATACTCTGCCGGTTTCTCATTTGCCATTCTATAGAATGTCTAGGAAATGTGTGAAATATGAATTGTTTCACACATTGTATTTCATACATAGTTTTAGGTTTTATTAACAATGCCTAGGCATTCTATAGATTTCGAACTTTGCCGGAACTATACACATTTAAGTCTTTTGCGAAACTAAACTATGTGGTGCAGAAAAAAAATAAAACTTTAACATACATTGACCGATCAATACGTAAAATTAATGTCTGCCTCATTAATAGTTACATATTAATATGTTCCCTAATTACTTTTCCATAAATGTGCGCTATTTCATATTTTTTCATTCAATAGTTTTCTAAAAAACGGCGGTGAATGTGACAACGGCTTTGAACCTTTGTCCCCCCTCCCCCCCAAAAAAGAAGTTTTTAATTGAAATTTTTTTTGATAGATTTGGTGCGACTTCTAATAAAAGTTATTAAGATAAGACGTTCGAGTAAAACTTCTTATTTATGAAGCTTGAGACAAAATAAGGGAGCATTCCATCGCATGAGAATGTTTTAAAAGTAACTGCAAAACTTTAATAACGCATGTGCAAATCGCATTGACGTGTGATTGAAGCACCCAGAGAATGCTCCATAAGATTCACCAGATCTTCAAGACAATGAGGTTCCGCAGTGGACTGATCGTTAAGACACGGTTCCCAACAGATCACCGAAGTCAAGCATCACTGGCTACGGTCAGTGTGCGGGTGGGTGACCACTTGGATCAGCCAGCATAGGGACCGAGGGTGTGCGGTATTGGTCCTCGTTAAACTGTTCTACCGTAAAGTGCTCGACTTCGTGTGCAGGTCGTCGGGCTACCGAAGCGGAGGTGCCATCCCCTCTGCAGAGGATCAAAATTGTGATGGCATGTCTTTGGATCATCCTCAGGGATGTTTCCCAGACCGTCGCCAATAGCCCATTGTGCAGCTCTAGTGTGACGTAAATTAACAACAACAACATCATGACGATGAGCACCAAAATAACAGCATCTTCAGTCCGAGCTCAAAACCAGCTTCATCTTCAAGATATAAATATCAGCTCAGGATGAGCTTAGATTGATCCTGAACTTGCGCTCTATTGTGAGTTTCATCTTTTGCATTTTCATATTTAACTTTTAAGTCTAAGAGTTGGCTTTAGCTTGAGCGCAGTCTTAAGCCTCATTAGTCATTCAATCTTTTTGTTCTTAGCTCTCGTTTAAAAGTTGGAGCTTGCGCATCATCCTCAGTTTGGGCATAATTTTTATCTTGAGTATGAAATGGATCTTTAGCTTGTTTCATCTTGAACTTTGACTTGAAGTTTCATCTTGATGCGATTCATTTTGAACTTCCACTTTAACTTCAGATTCATGTTCAGTATGAGCATTATCCTGCGAATAGGAAGCACGCTCAACGTATAGAAAATAAATGCGTTTATTTCGGATGTTACGTCTTCGATTAATATATAGCCTCATCGAGACGAGCGGAGATCTCCTGTTTCAACTTCAGCTCCTATTTCGGTTTAAAATTCATTTTGAGCCTCAACTTCAGATAGAAATTCATTTTGAGATTCAACTTTAGATCTATTTTCGCCTTAAGCTTCATCTTTAGTAAGTTTAGTTTTTCATCCTCAACTTGAGTTCTACGTTAAATTAGAACTTTTTCTTCTACTTCAGATTTATCTTGAGTTTCAACTAGAGATTTATCTTGAGTTCCAGATTGAGATTTATCACGAGTTTCAACACGAGCTCCATCTTCAAATTCAACTCCTATCTCTAACTTCATCTTGAGTTCCATTTCCCATTTCAACTAAAGCTTTACCTGCCCCCTTGAATATGCAGAGCCGAAGCAATCAGAAGGGAGTGAAACTTATTCTTTGTAATCGTTGATATGTCAATCAAAATTTGTCAACTATTTTTATGCAAGAATTATCAAAATTCATACCTTTTTCTTACATACAACTTTGATAACTTGTAAAATTTCTCCTCCTCCTCAATAATTTCCAGATAGTTATCTCATTTCAAGGGAGAAGGAAAAACTTCCAATATTTTTGTTGGACCTCAATTGCATTTTTTATAACTTTCCACCAATTATTTCCATATATCTTTGACTAACGAGTTTAATTAAAAGTTATGATTTGCAAAGGACTGGTTCATACCTGGGTAAAAGTTAACAATGGAGAATAGTTTAGAATTAAGATAGCAAAAGTTTTCTAATTTCACACTTTACTCACAATCAAAAAAATTACTCACACGCTACACTTTACTTCTTTAAAAAATAAATAAATTATAATATGAAGATATTTTACACGAAAATATACATAACTCTTAATAAGTCCTGGTGGCCAACTATGGAAAAGAGAAACAAACTCCTTGGTTAGATATCCCTGAAACGAGGGATACAATCATAGGGAAAGGAAAATAAAAACCTCTTCAATAATAAAAAAATGCATACGAATTGGAAGAGTTAAAATAATAAAGATCCAAATCCATATTTGAAATTAATTTTTTGCATATTTTATAGCAAAATTATTTTAAAATTTTTATCACCAATCATGATATTTCGCTGCAGTATTTTAATACCCTAAGACTTCATTATTAACTTTGTTTGAAAATAATAGTTAGTCCAGAAAAAATAGCACCCAAATTTTTTTTTCCTTAAAAAAAGGATTGCTATATTAAGATAGTTGCTATATCTCATTTCAAGGGAGAAGGAAAACTTCCTATATTTTTATTGGATAGTTTATTTATTCATTTTTTAATAACCATCGTTGAACAGCTGACCCAATTTTGGGTTTACGACTACCTATGTCCAACTCAGCAGCCTCGTAATTTTGAATCCAATCCAGAAGACAAGGAAACTCCTGGACCAAGTATTGGGAGAAATTAACCTTAGTGAAACTAACCCTCATTTGCGTTACATGGGGACTCTAACCCCTGAGGATATTTTATGTCAGATTATGGTCAGAGAGAGCCGGGTGCGGAATTCATCGCTGGGATTCGAACCCGGTTCACCACATTGGAAGGCAAACGTTCAATCCCATCAGCCACCACGTCTCAGGTTTGTTATACTATTATAGATGATATATGACTTCCCTACCCTCCCTCTTTGTTTTTATTTCATATTTTATAAACAGCCTACCCAATTCTATTAATGTTCAATTCCGTAACCTTGTCCTTTTGAACTCCTCCAGGATCAAACATTGGCTAGTCAACATTTGCGTTACATGAAGAGGAAAACCTCCTCATGGTTAGCCTGATAGCAAGGGGATTCTAACCCTTGATGTGTCTACAACTGAAGATATTTTATCTCTGCCCTACAGTCAATGCGAGCCGGGAGTAGAATCAGGGTGCGTAGCCAAATCTTTCAACAAAAAATAAGCACTTTTTAAGCACTCAAAAGTTTTTAAGCACTATATACATTAACAAAATAATTTTCAAAGACTTTAGATGTTCATAAGAAAATAACTACTTTCTGACAAAAAATTATTTTCTCGATTATATTAGCCGCTATAAAATGATCCGAGAGATTTTTTGGTTCGATATCAGTGGGTGGAAAGAGTTGCACATGAGAAGGCAATAATCTCAGCAAACTTAGCTCAGTAGGCGCACATTCGGACTTTCAAGTATTTCACCAAACTTGTTAAATGATCGGCGTTTTCATACGCTATGGACCGACGATAAGCCGAAATAGATGATGGTTGAATGATTTGTAAAAATGTCGAATAAAACAATGTGAAAAGCACGCTTTTGCACAATACATGGCGAAAATCGACATGGTAACGAAAAAAAATTTCAATTTTGAAAAAGAGAAAATTAAGCACTTTTTAAAAACGCTAAGCACCATGTGAATTCATATCAATCAGCCACTGCTGGGATTCAAGCCCAGGTCACTGCACTGGGAACGAACAATCTATCTCCTGAGAAATCAGGACTCCCCCTTTTGTTTAAGGGAAATGAGGACGATTTGAGGGAAAGAATTGAATTTCTTCTAAACAGGCAAATGAGGCATTTTTACAGATTTATTTCTTCACTCTGATTTGACGGATACCAATTGTCACACAAATAGTTCAGAAGTTATAAGCGTTTTACGTTGTTCAAAAAGTACCATTTTGGTATGTTTATGCATCTGACATTTTTAACTAAAAGAGTGAAGCATTGTTTCATATGTACTTATTCAAACTAAATTAAATGAGACTATACACAAGTCAACAGAACAAAATCTTACAATGAGCGATTGTGTATACTGGGTGTTAAAATTTGTGCGTGAAAAGTGACTTAAATGACGAGAGTGTTGCTGTAAAACACTATATTTTTAATTGAAACATTTGAAGTTATTATTACTTTCAATATACACCTTTCCTCTATCCTTACTATGTTCCATGTGAATTTCCCATCGCTCGAAAGTGTGCTTTTAGATTTTTTCTGCGACCACCTTCATGACGCACGCCACTTTGTCTTCCTTTTTATACAGATTTAACCTATGGTAACCGATAAAACTCGCATTGAGCTAGGTTTAGCGAACAAGGTGGATGGTCTTACTTCGGGATGTTGTACTTGTTAAGGTCTGGTTTCTTAGGACAAGCGCCTTATCTGGGCGTCAGCGCGACGTCAACGTCACGCTGACGCCAACAAAATACTGGTTTGTTAGCTCAAGGCCTGGTTTCTTAGAACTAGCGCCTTATCTGGGCGTCAGCGGAAAGTTGACGTAGAGCTGACGCCATAAAAATACTTTTTTGTTAGCTCAGCGTGAGCAGTCGGTCCAACGCAGACACTATCTCTCATTGCGCATGCGTTAATAACGTAAACAAATATTTATTTTGACTTTGTACTGATTTTGTTATTGTCGACCAGTGTTTTAGAGAACAAATAATGACTTTGTCCAAGAAAAAACACATTATAGCTGAGCTAAATGAAGAGTGCTATGTTTAATGAAGAAGCTATGTTTAATGTCAAAATCAAAATCTTGGCTGATTTCAATGTGCAGTTGGATGTTGTCCGCCATTGCTTCTGTGGTTAACGTCACGCTGTAATCCAACTGCAGTTGAGTTGGACGGTAATTGTAGTTCAAGATGAGCGTACGATGACGGATACTATCAAACTCACAAATGGACCAATCAGAGGTTAGCGCTGATTTCCAGCTGACGGCGTCCTGTCCTAAGAAACCAGGCCTTTAGAAATGTCTTGGCATACAATACAGGATGAGCAGGATACGTTGTCCTGATGGAGAAGTCGTGATCATGTACATTAATAGCAAATAAATTTTTATATGAACAATCCCTTATAATTTCTGAACTATTAGTCCCATCATCTCAGGATCAGTTTAATTCAATTTAGAGACAAAAAATACATTGGAAAAAATGCCTTGCTTGCTTGCCTAGAAGACAAGATCGAGTGAAAAAAAAAAAGATATCGAGTGAACACTTGTGTATGAAAATATAACATAAAAATTGTTTCATCTAATATTGTGATAATTCATTTATTTATCTTTTATATTTGTGCAACATAAAAGAAAAAAACAAAATTCATTTTTACAGTCCATTTACAAAATGGGTAGTATACTCTTGGGAGGTTTTAAAAAAAATGTACAAATCTTAGGATGGCAGTTCCATATGTCAACAACATTGCTTGAGAGAGAGATGATTTGATAAAATATAAATATCTATCATGCAACGTAGCTATATTCATCAGTAGAGTTAGGAGTCCGTTCTATATATTGCTTGTCTATTAAGGCTTCTATGCACTTCTTGATCATAGATATATTCGGTACAAAACGATTTTTTGACTGGCTGATCACCTGGGGAAAAAAAAATACAAGGATTATTTGCCTTATTTTATAAAAACTGTTCCAATAATTGTGGTTTTGTGTACCACATATGAAATATTTGTTTCATAACATAAATATATTTTTCTATATTTAACCTTAGCAAATTAAAATACATGCGTTGAGCAGTTTGCAATCAATGTCATTAATTTAATTAGGTTACTCTAACATGGTACATTTTTGTTAAATAGATAATTTTTAACTAAGAAAAATTGTTGTGATTTAATCACTACTTCTTCAGTGTACTTTTTGTAATCATTTGCGAATTATTAGCTTAGTATGTAAACTAAACTTCTTTTTTTTTAATGTTACTTCCTCAATATGGGGATAACACTATTTTTTTTTCAAAAAGCAGTGCATTACACTACACACTATAAAAAGAAAAATAGTGACTATAGTAGTTCTATTGCTCGTAATGTGACAGCTTCGATCATTGAGAAAGTAAGTTAGATTCTCTTTAAACAGTGAATTAAATGCATGGGTACATCCAATTCAATTCAACATTGCCCAGCCTTGATATGTGATAAGTTGCCTGCAGACATCTGTCATAAACTTTAAACAAATTAAAAAAATTCTGATAAAATTTGGATTAATTTTTGACATTATTAGAGGTAAAAAAAGGGTCTTTTATAAACCAACTTATAAAATAGAGGCCATATAGGAAAAAAGAGACGTACTGGCAGCCAGGCTTTATGACAAAAAACATATCTCTGTTTTCATTCAACAAAGATTACTAATCATTTGTAGTTTTTGGGAAGTCTTTGAAACTGTATTCGGATCAAATGATCAATTTAGGTAATAGCCTAAGTATTGATTGCAGACATACATACATAATGTAAACATTGAATGCAGACACTAAATAAAAGTAAAGGGTGCCCGCAACAGTTTCTCATTGAAGAAATTTCAGTTACTGGTACACAGAACTGCAGTATTTTTAAGAATCAGAACAAATGTAATCAGTGAAAACTGGCTGAATCTTATCAGTATTCTGCATTACAATAAATTCACACAGTATTATATAAGATAAATGCATTAAATTTAAATTTGTTAACCGTTAATGCTTAACTATAATATATTTGGTCATCTGTTAATTATACTTTCAATTTTTCAAGCAAATTATATCCAAGTCTCTTAAATCATAACTTCTTAAACTATTTGCATGATGTATTTCACAAAAAAGACAACAAATTTTTATATTAGGTAAAATAATTAAGGATTTCGTAAAGAACAATATTTATGCAAAATTTTAAACTTTAAAAATTACAAAATATGACTTAAGCAATTTACACATTGTTAAATTTCTAAATTGGACACTTGATATAATGGTTTATAATTTTAAACTAATTTTTCAGTTGAAAAATTTATAAAGCTATATAAAAAAAGACCAATAATATCAGTGAATATTCTCATAAGGAAAGGATGATATTTTACAGAAAAGGTTTTTGTTAATAATTTTTAATAAAACAGTATATTTTTTCTCTAATTACAATGCTTATCTGGAATTGAAAATAAAAGCATATTAAGAGAAAGGATTTGAGGTATAGCAAACAAGTCGTACAATGATCAGCTTTTTTTAAAATTTTATTTTGTTGTTTAAGACTAAACTAATCTCAGTGGTGCGACAGCCCATAGAGGGCCAAGGCCTACTGTGCCCATCTCAGTTTTCTTGACCTTGGGCTTTGGTGTGCAGAAGACAAAACTAAATTAACTGTTTAAGACAAAACTAAATTAACTGTAAGAGTAACTGTTTAACAGCATGAAACACATTTGTGTGTACTTAAACATAACTGTCTTCTTAATAATGAAATCAAATATTTTCAATAGTGCAATACTTTGTATTAAATGATCACTAAATTTTTTATGTAAAATAATCTTTGAAAATTTTTAATGCATCAATGAGGCGAAAAAAAGTTTAAGTAGATACTTATTGGTATAAATTGAAGGAAATTTGAGCACCAGAAAATTTGTACCAATGATTTCACAAGGGAAAAAATGATAATAAAGATTTTTAAGTATTTCAAAACTGAATTAAGTACTTTCTTTTGATTTTTAGTTTACTTAAATCACTGATCTTTCCTTGACTTGTTATCATTTAAATAAGAAACCAAACACACATGAAGGGACAACTTGTCAATGTTATTTTATGCTGGTATGCTATCTTATGATCAGCTGGTACTCTAAAAGTGACAATAAAAAAAAATCATACTTCTTGTATTAAGGCATTGTGGCGCAAGACTTTGCGAGCCTTCATGATGCGGACGATTGCAGCTTGCAGATAAAGTTTCCTATCTTCATCCACCGACACATGAGTCTGTTCAACTTCTTGCTGTGAGGAGGAAAGAAAATAAATGTTAAACAAGAGTGAGGTGTGCAAACATGCTAGCTTGGCTGTATACACCAAAAGCAATCATTCCACTTACATCAACACATACCTGAGTGGTCTCTTTCTGAATAACTGCCACTAATTTAAATTTAGTCCTTTTATTTGAATAATCTTTATTTAAGCTAAAACTACTTTGAGAGTCAATTTTTTCCTAAAAAAAAAAAAAGAATTTTGTTATTAGTATGGTTTTTAAATACAATTTTTATTTAAAAAAGAAATTGCAAGGTTCATAATCATTCTTGATTTAGATTACAACTTTCAAAAATATTGCCCGAATAAAAAGAAAATTACTTTACACAGGGTGCATAGCCAATTTTTTCAACAAAAAATAAGCACCTTTAAAGGACTCAAAAAATATATACATTAACAAAATAATTTTTAAAGACTTTACATGATCATGATAAAATAACTAGTTTCTGACTAAGAAAACTTTTCTTGATTATATTAGCCAACATAAAAACATCGAAAGATTTTCCGGCTTGATTTCAGAGGGCGGAGAATAAAGCCTGAAATTGAGAATATCTTGCAAAATGCAGCAGAGTTGCACATGAGAGTACTAGAATCTCACCAAACCTAGATCAGTAGACGCACATGTAAAATGATAGGTGCTTTCATACGCTATGGACCGATGAGACGCCGAAATGAATTGTGGTTGAATGAACTGTGAAAACGTTGAATAGAACAATGTAAAAAGCACATTTTTGCATGATACGTGCTGAAAATCGATACGGAAAAGAAAAAAAAATCGTTTTCGAAAAGGAAAAATTAAGCACTTTGAAAAACGGAAATCGAAAATAAGCAATTTTTAAAAATGCTACGCACCATGTTATATACATTAAAAAAATAACATAAACACGCTAATAGTATTTCTTTAAATGAATAACCATTGACAAAAGAAACATGTAAAACAATAAGATATTGAGAGATAAATGATTAAAATGCATACTCACAGTATTTGAGATCAAAAGTTTTGATTCTATAAGACTTTGTATCTGTTTACTCAACTGCTCATCACTCAGTTTTGTATTTTCTTGTATGTCTACATAGGAGAGGGAATCAGTTTTCTCATAAAGCAGCAATATAGCCATTTGATAAGTACTCATGGTGACTATGTATGCTTTCTTTAGGTAACCCAATTTCAATTCAGCTACAAGAAAAAGTAACATACTATGTAAGAATCTGAGTCAAAATGAAAAAATATTTTGCATTAGGTAGATTCATTAACACCTTTTGTATTCAGAACATGCTAAAAGAAATACAACCAAACATATAAGTCATCTAAATTTTTTTAAAAGCAAAAACGAAATTCTAGACCATATTTCTGTCTTCCACAGCAATATTTCAACAAAAATAAAACATTTTTAATTAAATAAGTATCGAAACTAGAAAATATGTCAAAAATTACACTTAAGGGGACCTAATTTCAATTCAGGTTCAAGAAAAAACAATATATCATATCAGACCCTGATTCAAAATGTAAAAATGTTCATTCATTAACAATTTTAATCAGAGTTCCCAATTAATTCAAGAAATGAAATTTCCTGATTTTTCTAAAAAAGTGTCAGCAGAATTCTAGATCACATTTCTATTATACACAGCAATATTTCAACAAAAATATAACATTTTTAATTAAATAATTATTGAAACTAGAAAATATGTCAAAAATTACTTTAGGTGACCTAATTTCAATTCAGGTTCAAGAAAAAACAATAACATGTGAGACCCTAATTCAAAATAGAAAAATGTTCATTCATTAACAATTTTAATTAGAGTTCCCAATTATTTCTAGAAATGAAATTTCCTGATTTTTCTAAAAAAAATTCAGCAGAATTGTAGATTACATTTCTATTATACACAGCAATATTTCAACAAAAATATAACATTTTTAATTAAATAAGTATCGAAAGTAGAAAATATGTCAAAAATTACACTTAAGGTGACCTAATTTCAATTCAGGTTCAAGAAAAAACAATATATCATGTGAGACCCTGATTCAAAATGTAAAAATGTCCATTCATTAACAATTATAATTTGAGTTCCCAATTAATTCCAGAAATGAAATTTCCTGATTTTTCTAGAAGAGTGCCAGTAGAATTCTAGATCACATTTCTGTTATACACAGCAATATTTTAACAAAAATATAATATTTTTAACTCAATAATTCATTCATCAACATTCAAATTTATATTTTGTAAGAAGCAAAATTCAACTAGACAAAGGTTTAACAAGCAAATTTTATAAAACACAAGTATATAAATTATACATTAAAGCAATATTTTGCACAAGAACTTGAAAAATTATAATACAAACCAAAATTAATTTATACAGAAAACTTAGTTTTTGAAAACAATCAAAACCAGCTTAATAAATATCATTGTTGAACTGCAATTTGAAATGAAACTTTCTTAGTAAAAAGTATTTTCGACAAATTAATATTTAAATTATAACAAAACTGAGTAAATGTAGCTGTATTGCAGCACAATTTTTTATATATATTAGACTTATTTACTTTGAACCTTAAATGCTACCTATTGTTACTGAGAATTTAAATATTGGATATGTTCCAGGTTAATTAGATTTTCAAGATCTCAGCTATTTTTTAAATGTCCTACCCCCAAATTTCCAATCCTTCATTGACTATCTCCTTATAATCGAATTCCTGACAATTCGAGATTTGGATTTTCTGATCCTTTGTAAATGTTGTTTGACTTGTAATAACTAATTTTCACTATAAATAAAATCAGATTTGAGATTTACTAGGCAAAAGATTTAAGCCTGCATGGTTACAGAATGCCATTTATAGGTCAACATATCAATTATATACAAGTTTACCATCACAGAGATACTTACCATTACAGAGATGGTGTAGCCACGTGAGTTTTCTACCATTAAATCTAGTATTGTAGAAGTTCTCAAACTAAGAAATAAAGTCACATAAATATACAGAATAATAATAAAGAATAATTGATAGCATTAGAAGTTAAGCAAGTTATAAATGCAAATAAAAAAATTAGTAAAATTCATCAGAATAAAATATTATTATTAAGTAAAATGAATTGAAATAAGCTAGACAAAAAACAGATAGTTTTATTAGTTTTGCAGATCACTAGTGATTTCATTTTTAGTGACAAATACAAACACGTCACAGCAGTTTTGTAAAAGGGGGGGGGGGAAAGAAAAAAAGATGAACTTAGCACAGTAATTTAAAAAAAGTTTTTATAAACTGCAATAAAAATTACTATTTAAAAAAATTATTTGATCATAAAAAATATTTTTAAGTTGGTTTAAGTCTTATTTAATCACATTTAATAATTTCATTATAGTTAATATATCAGTTGCTTCAAAGCTTCATTACTTATTGAACCCACAAATGCTATAATTTCTTACTAAATGCCTGATTGGAGATTTAATATTCTGCTTAAAAATTGTAATTTAGTTTCATTAATTTTTTCTTTTTATTATAAGAAACTCATATTACACAAATTTTGAATTTGTCAAAAGAAAAAAAAACTATTCTGAAAGGACTTCTAATGAGAATCCTTTTAAAAAATTCTGTGATTATTTTGTTAATTGGATTAAAATTATTTAAATAAACTTTACAAAGGGATAAATTCAAATATTTCTAACAACTAATTTCTATGAAACAAAATTTGCTATCCTCCTCTAAAAGTAGTAATTAAGTATATAACCCATAATTTACCCTATTAAAATTTTATGGTAAGAATGTAATTAATCAAGTTGAAATTAAGCACGGAAAGCAGAAATAAGCGGAAGAGTAGTATGCCTGCAAACATTTGTTATCCCTTTTCCGAGATGAACACAAATTAAATATCAAAAATATAGCGAATTTACCTTTTGTACACTCTTTTCAAGCTCTAAGGGAATGGCAAAAGGTGAAATAGCTGTTTGACCAAGTGGCCAGGCACCTGCCTAAAGAACAATTATAATTATTACACAATATGAACAGTAAAAAATGTTTTATTAGCAAGAACTTTACTAAACTCAGTGGCGCGACAGCCCATAGAGGGCCAAGGCCTACTGTGCCCATCTCAGTTTTCTTGACCTTGGGCTCTGGGGTGCAGGAACAGATGTTCCGGTCAGGTGGTCAGCCGAACGCGGAACCCCCAGTGTTTAGTTCCCAAGCATGCTTGGTACTCATTTATCGACCCACCGAAGGGATGAAAGGCTGAGTCAACCTTGCCCGGCCCGAGGATCGAACCAGGGACCTGTGGCACGACAGCGCGAGGCGCTACCGCTCAGCCACCGGGCGTCAGCAAGAACTTTAAGGCAACTGAAAAACTATTCATGTATTAAGTATATACGCCAATAGTTTTATACAGTGGAATCCTGATTTTATGTTTTTCATCGGAATACTGTAAAAAAACGAGCAAAGCAGGATAACATAAAATCATGATGAAAAATGTAAGTATGTTTCTCAAAAATTGAAACTTATGAGATGAACTACTAAACAAAATGTGTTATCTTTACATGTTTTTCTAAATAATTTCAATCACGTCGCTCTCAATACTTACTATTGTTTGCTTTATGGTTTACATTTGCAAATGTTTCAGATTTTTAATGCTTTGAAACTCTATATCAGTTGTAGGTATATCCTTCAAAATGTTTTCCTCATCTTCATCGTTTTCACCACTATCATCAGAAGCAGGCATTAGATCAGATATTAAAGGAATGAAAGAGTAATAGGGTGCATGTTGCAGTTGATATAAGCATCATCGACTTCGGAAGATCTTCAGATGTGCAATTTTATTCCTAAGGGCCCATGTTCCTGTAGCAACTGAGAAGCAATTAACCCCGAGAAGCTTCACGAAACCCATCTGTAATGCATTTGAGTCGACACTGTCCAATGAAGAAAAAGAAATGATTACCTAACAAATTGTTTGGTGTAACGTTTTTCAAATTATTGGATAGTTAAAAGATTGAAGTTTTGTGAGAAAAAATTTCACTGGCAAATATTACAATTTAAGCTACCATACTTCCTTTCCACTCTTGTAGACAAAAAGACAAGATAGAACAGGAAGTATGTGAGAAAAGCGACAAAATAAATCTCTTTTTTTAGAAAGAAGAAAAAAAGATTTTGATCTGTTTGAAAAACATATAAAGCGGGATTTTCTCAAAAAGGGTAACGTAAAGTCTGGAATAATTCAACATTATCGGTATGGTTAATTTTCACGGACTAGCAGAAAATGATGTAGGAAGTCAGATAACGTACGATGCGGACAACGTAAAACCGGGTATTCAATGCTTTAAGCATATGAGCAAAAACTCCAGAATGTTTAGAGGAAATGGTTTTAAACAATTACCAAAGGTTTTATTAAACTCCTTTCTAGACTATAAAGTGAGAAAGATAATAATATCAGAAAATTATCACCATTGATAAGATTTTTTTTTCTTCTTTTAGTTGGTTAGCAACAAACTCGTTTGAGGAAATATTTTGGCAGAACAATGTAAAGTGCTCCTTTGTTGGCTATTCAATTGTCCAACATAACAGAAATAAAATACAAATGCTGCCACCAGGATTACTGCATTTCCATTTTTATTGATTCTATATTCACAAATAACCAAATTTAGTTAAAATGTAGTACATCTGTGAGATAGAACTGCGAAATCCTAAATAATATTTAAGGGCAGCAAAAACTATTTAATTGACTTTAGCTGTAAATTTTCTTCGTGAATTATTTCATTTGTTAATATTTTTAACTTTAAATTTAATTACCATTTGTTAAATAGAATTAGTTTTAATTGTTTCGGGCTTCTGGTATCTTTTGAAGTATTTAAAAAAAAAGTATTTTGGAGTCTGTGAAAGCAATAGCTTTATAAGCCAAGTTTTCATTTATTACATTTTAGCAAGATTAGGAGAAAATAGCATTAACAATTCTCTTTGCTGCAAATAAATGAATTATAATTTGATTTGAATGCCCTGAAACTCCTAATAATTTCATCGAATATATTTTTTCTTTTCAGGGCGTTTATTTCAATGAGCACAAATGCAAAATTTTAAAAGAGGATTTATACATTATGAGTAAAAATCTAAAATTTATGAGTCATGACTTTTGTTTGATGAATATGGGATGAGGTGAAAGACACTTACTTGTAAAACGGAGATACTGAAATTAATTCCAAGATCGACATTTTCATCCCTCAAATACTGATTAAAGCGTCCTTGAAGATCACCACTCACACTCACATCTGTGAACATTCTATGGAGTTTGCTGGTGAACTCATAACCACAAGCTTGCTGTTAAAAAGAATAAAAAGATATTTAGATTAACCAAAAACTTTTTGTCGAAAAAATTTAAACTTTGCAAACGATAATTTTTGTCAGGATAATGAACAATATCACTATACAATTTTCCCAAAACATAACAAATAAATAAAACTATTAAAAAAATTTATAAATACAATAAAAGCTTGACTATCCGTAAAAGATAAGAACTATCGATTTCTGTAGAAACGATAATTCTGGAGGACTTTAAATCTCGATTTTTGACATTATCAGACATGTGATAGTTGGAAGAGATAATTATCAGAAATTTTTTCTCAATGTGCAGTTTTCTTTATTTTAGTACTTAATTTTTCTCTCATAATTACTTGATTTTTCAGTCATTTTTATGCACAAAAGCAACATTTACAAAATTGAAACAGAGAAATTTTTTCTTTATCAAATAATAAGATCGAAACACGAATTTATGATGGTATTGAGTGTGGTGGAAAGTAATTACTGAAACATGCGATTCGAGATTTTTATGTTGTAATGTCATGTTAAAAATTAATTTTATCTAATTGTAGTCAAATGAAAAAAGGGCGTTAATATATCACATTGATTAAACAATTTTTCAGTTCCAAATCGGAATTTTCAACAAAATTGCTTTAAATTCCAGACATTTTTTTAAATATCATGTTTTACATTTTTAACGCCAAAAATTTCAGTTTTTGATACTACTATATATACTGAAAAAATGCTATATTAAAATAAAAACATTTATAAAAAATAATGGTTTATTTAACTCTCCTTTTATAGATGCATGATAAAAAAAAGGAAACAAAATTAAAACAGTTAAAGGTAAGGAATAATTAAGGTTATGTTTTTTTATTTTCATGTGTAACAAAAGAGTTGTGTCATGTACTGATCAAGAGATGATGAGTTAGTGTGCATTTAACTTTTGTGTATGGTTGTTTGTTTACTGAAAGCTTTGACCAATCTTTCATATGAAAGCGTGGAGTTTTTGATTCCCACTAGAGATATTGAAAATGAAAGAAACATTTGAGATATATTACAATTATTAATCGAAAATTTTTTCAGCTTAAGTTCATTAGACAACTATTCCATTAGACAAAAATCCACGGCATAACATTAGACAATTTTTTTTCATTCCAGACATTAACTTTCTTTTTACTTTAAAACTGTCTGAGGTTTTGCCAGTCGTCATCTTCATTGTAAGTTCTGTAGTTGTTATAAGTTTTAAATCGGTTTTAACTTAGCGTTTTAGTCTAGGGGACATTCCCTTATCACCTTGCAAAATAGAAAGGACAGCATTTAGTAAAAGTTTCGAAGAAATTATTTAAATCATTATTCTCTTTGATGTTAGCATACAATAAATGTAAAACACCTTAAATCCTTTTTGAATGAAAAAAGAATGACACGATCCCCCTAAATTCTTATCGTAAGTCCTAGGTGGTAATAATTTGCAGTCATTCATAACCTCCATAACTTTCTTTTCGATACAATAAATTTATCAATCATACTTTTCTTGTTTGAAAATTGTATTCAATTTAAACAAGTGGTTATCTTATGGCATGTTACTTTTTGAAAATGGCAGCAATGAACGGCATGCCATTTTTAATACATTTTTCACCTATTAAGAACCTAGAAAAAACATTGAGTTAGCAATAGTTTTTTGAATAGTTACCAAATTCTTATTAAAGCATAGCTTTGTTAAAATTGGTCAAGTATTTTTCAGATATAAGTTAATTATCATAGTATTTTTTAGCGCTTCCAATACAGTGACCTCAGATTATAGCGACAGTTTTTGCATAGACTACGAGGATCGTTTTATCAAGCGTCGACTGTAGTATCTGCGAGACCTTCTTACATTAGTGTACTAATATGTTTTACATATCAATTTAATAAAATTTCTCCATTACTGAACAAAAACCTTCTGAAAAAAATCATTTATACAAAAATTAAATAGGAAAAAATTGCTAAATTAAATGCTATATTGCACCACTCACTTTTAATTTGTTTATCATAGTCTCTTCAGCATCCATAGACATAGATTGAGCATAAATTAATCTCTTCGCCAGCATCCTGGCATAAAACTAAAAAAAGAAAAATTTTGAGAAATGATGAAGAAAAAAAAAACACATACCTGCCAACTTTTACGCATTTGGCATAAAATTTTATTTCTATATTTAAAGTGGTAGTAAAATGTATGCTTTCTACATACATCCTTGCATTTACAAACTTAATTTATAATCTTTTTGACCACCACTATTTTTAAAAAAATTAATTATATAAAATAATATGCAATACTATTATGATAGTCCGCATGAGCAGTTTCAAAATACAACGTATGCTTCTGCCTAAAATTGTAATTTAAATTCTATTTTAGTACCATTGGGGAAAATCCTCCTCGAAAGGATTGAAAGTTGGCAGGTATGAAAACATGATGAATAAAAAATTCCTTGCAAACACTTTACAATCGAAAGAAAAACATATACAATAGCATGCATTGCCGATGAAATCAAACAGCGCAAAAAATATTGCACAAAACAATAAAAATCAAATATACAAAATTTTCTTTAATTACTGAATCTCTAAAATTGGTTTTAAAAAAATCAATTATTTAAATATAGTGATAAAAATAATATTTCAATACCAAAAGAAGGTCAAATTTACTAAAAAATATTAATTTCTTCAATTTTGAATTTGATTAAAAATATAATTTAAAAATTACAAATGGTAAAATTTTATTAAAACCTATATACATATGTCACATTGGTACACCTTTATCAGTAATATAAATGGCAAAACAGAGATTTAGAATTGAAAGGCGGACACGCCACAATAAAGAGATAAATGTACAGTTAAAAAGTAACAATATTAATTTGGCAGCAAAAGTTAAAAAAGTTAGTGATTTGTAAATGTTTGGAAATAATTGAAGAAGTTATATTATTCATTATTTTAAAATTTGCATTGATGTCAGTTGCCTTTTAATGCAATTTAAAGTAATTTGATTAAGTTGTGCAAAACTATAACAAACTCCGAAATAAATAAACCTATTCTACAACATCTTTACAAGTAAGCTTCGAAAAAGTAAATAGCAACAACTATATTTGTTAACAAAATCAAAACAGACAGAGAAGTTTTATTATTAAACAATTTTGATTCCCCTGGTAATGAATTTCAACATTTAAGAAAGCAATACCTTTTGAAAGACATCCTTGTCATCAATGTATTTAAAGACAGTGATGGATTGCCCTAATTTTGATTCAACTTCTGTTTCTGTACAGGTCTTAGCATTCTTCTTTAACAAGGAATCACAGTACTTTGCTAACTGAAATAGTAATCATTACAATTAGTGGTTAGACAATTGAAATTACTTTGAAATAAAATTTTATCATAATTATTTTTTTGCATAACATAGAAAAAATATAATTCTTTATTTATTTGTTTGTTAATAAAATAATAATAAACCTCAGATAAGGGAGATAATCTCTAACAGTCTTCAGCGAATAAACTATTAAATGGCTAAGGTATAGGGGGGGGGACACTTTTAACTAGACAGACGGGAGTATGTAAGTAAAAAAGCTTTTTAAATTCTTTATATGGCTGTAGAAAAAAAAAAAAACTTTCACAAACTTTATTAAATTTTAAATGTGGATGAGAAGCTATTTTTTTCACCATTGATTTTTGCAGAGATTTACTGATAACTTTAAAATATAAATAAATAATAGAAAAATTTATTGCTTTGTTTATGCAAATGTGGGTAACAGTAAAGGTTGGGGTGAAATCAAGAAGACAGGCTAACACAGAGGACCTATTATTTCTTCCGAGTTATGTGTTCATATATTTGATCATTTTTCATCAAGTTTATTTGCAGTTATAAACAAAAAATTTATAAATTTGGCTATTTATGAAGACAGAAGTTTAAATTTTACCAATTCTTTATAGTAAGTAAAATTTAGAAAATCCTGCCCACCTTCCAGGAAAAAAATTTCGCAAAAATTAAATTAATTTGAGTTAATAATCTTAATTTCTTTTATAAATTAAACTCAATCCTAAAAATATTTTAACATATCATTATTTGAATTAGAAAAAAAAATGGCCCTTTAAAGGGTAAAATTTCTTCAAGGTGGTCACATCTCATTTTGTATGGGACAATAGTAAAATTACCATTTCGTCATGAATTTTGACTATAAACTGATTGCATTCGTATTCTATGATTGTATCTCGCATTGCAATAACTATTTATATTTTAAAGTTTTAATTTAGTCACTTTGATTTAGTTAAAAACTATTTACAGCATCAGAATTTCTTAATTAACATGTCCTCCTAAACATACAATTTGTTGCCATGAGAAAGGCTACTTTACCGAGGTTTCCTTATAATTTTATTTTGCATTGCTTAAAAAAAAGAAAAAAAAGAGCATTTTTTTAATTTGTCTGCTAGTGTTAAGTATATGTGACGGATGATATTGCTTGCGAAATTTTTTTAATATTATTTTAATACTTCTTGTTCTAATAACTCGAAATCGAAGACACCATAAATTACATTAATAATTTTTCGCTTGCTTTAGTAATTAACTAATGAATAAAAATCAAGTGGTTAAAATTATGACACAAATCATTGACTCTCTCATTGTAACAACATACATGCCAACATTGGAGAAATAAAATAGAGATTTCCCTAGCGACATTTTTTAAGCTACCAGTAAAGTTTTGATACATCATGCATAATAATGTAAGTCAAAAAGAGAAACTCAAAATTGGAAATAATTTAAGCACTTACATTTAGCAAAGTAAAAAATATGCATAAAAATCTTAATCTGAAGATTTTTTAAACCATTATTCATAATTACTTAAACTATAAACACTCAACATATTGTAGTACCGGCAATATCACCATCTGTTGAGAAATAAGAGAAGTATTTTTGTAATGAGGGGATATTTTATCGCCAATTTTTTATTTTTTAAAAATTTCTTCGACAAATATGGAGAAATTTGAGAATACAGTAAAACCTGTCTATAACGATACTGTAGGGACCTAAATAAAATATTGTTATAGGCAGGTTATCGTTATAGACAGGTTTGAAATTTAAAAGTATACGTTTAAAACTAATGATAAATGAAACTTCTTTTATAGGCTCCAAATGAAAATTTTACTTAGAATTATGAAACAGCACACAAGAAAAATTTACTTACAATTTTATGAATCAAAACAGAAATTATTTAGAAAAATAATCGGTTAGTTTTGTTTGTTTATTTTTGGAAGCAATTGCCATTTCCATGCACATAGATTTCAGTCCATCTAATGAATTCAAATGAACATCAGTTACATTTGGTAACGTTGCAACAAAATCTTGCAAATTGTTAATTAGCAATATGGCATTCTCGGGTGAAATTTGAGTCCTGTTTTGAGAACAGTCAGCTGCTTCTTCCTCATCACTTTGATCACCCGGGATAACTTCTGCTAAAATCGCTATTGAATAGGAATTCCCCTCTTGTCGTGTCGCAGCGATGTCTCGTCAGTGTGTCACACGTTTTTCTGACGAAGCTCTCTCCCTCCTACAATACCCCTTCACCAATTTCTACTGCTCTAATTTCCCCTAAAAGTGGCTTTTTTTCTCAGAAACAATGAAAGAATATTACATCATACAAAGGAGATGAAAAAAATTTTTTTTTGTTATCTCACATTTAGGCTCGATGGGGAGTCGTTTTCCAACGGTAGAAAAATCGGAATAGAACTATCAACTATCAAAAGAGGAAAAATTATCGTTGTAGACATGTTTAACTGAAAAGTGGTTATCGCTATAAACAGGTTAAAAATACATTGAGTAAATAGGAATTTCACCGGGACCTCAAGGAAATATCGCTATAGACAGGTTTATCGTTATAGACAGTATCGTTATACACAGGTTTCACTGTATATGGGTAAACAGGAGTTAGTTGTCAAGTAAAGGAGTCTTCGTTAAAAAAACAGGAGACTTGGCTTATATCAACAAGTACCAACATATGAACATTATACTAACATGTAATAAAAAATTGTAAATATTTAATAATTAACTTCATTGTTTTCTTGATTCGCGAACCCTTAACCCAGTGATTCTCAACCACTGTGCCGTCAAATTCTTAAAATGTGCCGCCAAATATTAGAAATGATACAATAAAAATTATAAGGCTTTTTTTTATTACAAGTAAAGTCTAAATTAAAAAGAAAAGTGTGTGTATATATACTGTTATATATAGACTTTTTATATAATTTTTCCTCGCTTTAACCGCGTGAACATCTTTGTCGGCGATTGACTTGTTTCTGACAGTTTTAAAATAAGAAGGAAGTATTTAAATTGCCTTTGACAATTAAAAAAAAAAAGTTAAAATAAGTAGGAAATTTAATGACTATTAAAATTATTAATTAACAAAGGAAAGCAAGATAAATATTAATTTTCAAACGGAAATAAAAGCTAATCATTAAAGTAAACTATGCAATTAATAGTTATAAAAGAAATTAACAAAGGATGTAACAAAAAAATAAGCTAGCAATTAATAATTAGCAAAAAAAACTAGTTAACAAGAAATCACAAAAAAATAACAGTTAATAGCTATAGGAAACAAGCTGACAATTAATAACCAGAAAAAAAAAATAACTGTTACTAACTAATAAGAAATTAATCGAAAGAAATAATTAATCCCTTAATAAACGTACTTTGGTAGTACATATTATTTTATTTCACATTCAAAATTATTATGACAAACTATTTAAATGAAGTAAATAACTTTTAAATGAATTTTTTTCATTGTGTGCCGTCAAATTTTGAAATCGATAAAAGTGTGCCGCCACAAAAAAAAAAAAAGGTTGAAAATCACTGCCTTAACCAAACATTTGATGAAAAAGTGTGGTTTTCAGTTTCTTGCACCTTTCTCCTTTTCAGATCTAGAATGAACTCTGAGATTTCTAAAACAATTTTCAGAATTCATAGATTATTTTCTTAACTAACAGAGTTTTGTGTTGACAATTGACCCTTTAAAGGATATGATAGATTTATAAATTTGCCCTTTAAGTTAGTTACGAAGCAAAACTAGACATTTATGAAGTAATAAAAAGACATAACACAATGCTTACCAGTTCAGGAGATCGGCAAGAAAACTTTGAACTCCCTTTATAATTAATGACTGCTGAACATGCCTATAAGAAACATATAAGATAACATCTTACTTTCCTGATTTATAAAAGCAGTATTACAAAACAAATTCAAAACAATTTGTTTTGTTGAACTTATTAAAAAGAATAGATTCTTACGACAGAAAAATATACGATGTACAATTTTAAAATAAGTATTTATTACAAAACATGCTATGGGTTAAAAATATTCCAGATGTAATTTATCTATTTTAAACTTACAATTGCTAATACTTTAAATGGAAAATTGAGTTGAGAATTTTTAAGATTGGGAAGAAAAAAAAAAGTCCAGAAATTTTTTTAAATAAAATCAGAGATGATTAAAGAGTAATTTAGTTGCACCTAACTAGTATCTTTTTCATAAAGTCCAGTCATTTCAATTATTTTTTCTTTTCTTTCTATTTTTAAATCTCTCATTTATAGGGTTTTACTTAGTTTCTGACCAAATTCTGTAGACTGTTTTTTTTTTTTTTTAAAGAACTTAGGAAATTTCTGCAGTATTGGTATTTAATTTGCTAGATTTTTTAAATAAGTTACTTTTTAATTTTACTGCAACAGAAAATCACATTTAGCTGAACTTGACTGTAAAAAGAATGCTTGAACAGAAATTGCCAATGACATTATCTGCAAAACATAAAATTTAGTTCTGTTTGAGGAAGGAAAAAAATGGTATGTGTAACATTCAATGTCCCAATACTGATTTACTTTCAAGACATATTTCTGTTTTAGAGGTTACTACAAGCACTTTAAATTAAGTCAACAGCCTTAGCAATTTTTTTTATGAATACTCAAAAATTAATACTACAGTGCGATATAAAAAAGTTCTTACAGTATTGTTGGAAATAAGGCCTAATTTAAGTAAGCTTTCATACAATCACAATCATTCAAAAAAGAAAAAAATATATGTATATATATATTTATAACCACAATTCATTACAATAACATAATCTAATAGAATAAACTATTAATTTTAATTAGAATCCCGTCAAATGCTATCTAGAGAAAAATGTGAACAACTTTAATAGAATTTAAAGTGTATCTTAATGTATCTTTAATAAAGCTCTAATTATCTGTTAATCAAAAAAGAAAGAAAAAAAAACATTTTTTATGAGACATTAGTCAGTTATAAAGGAGACTGTGGGCAACTTCTTTAGAATTTAAGGTGTAATTCAACATACCTTGTCTAAGGCTCCAATAAATTGTTGATCAGCAGAAAAAACATTTTTTATGAGATTGCTGTATTTTTCATGAACTTCAAGGAGAGATTCCACAAATAATTGAGGCACCTATAAAGAAAGACGTTAACAACGGAAACACAAAAAATTACAATGCGGAAAAACATTTAAAAAATAAAAAGACAGGTTAAATATTTTATATATTAAAAATGTGTATTTGTCAACTTTATGTCCTAAATTTATATGTTATCCAGGATACTCTCCCAGAAGACTGGGTGGGTTAAGTAAATTTTTTTTCTTTATCAAGTGGTAAAATTAAAGTTCATATAGTTTATTTTTAGCATTTAAGTTTCATATATATTTCGTAAACATAAAAACTCAATTTTTTTTCACCTTTTACAGCATTACTTAAAATAACTTATATATAAAAACATCAAAGGAACATGAATTACTACACATATATAAATTATTACAAACTAGAATTTTAAAAGCCACATGTAAAAACATTTTAATTTTGTAAAATTTATAAATATATAATTCTTTAAAAAATTGCTATTTGTCAACAAAAAAAAAATAAAATAGCTATAAATCCACAAAAAAAAAAAAAAAAATAGTTGTGAACATTTATTGAAAAAGTTCAAAATTATGGATTTTAATTTTTTAAAGAAAAAATATGATTAATTAATTTTATGAATTATAATAAAGATTCATACATTATCTCCTTTTAAATTATATACAACATCTAATCCTCTTTTAGTGATGTGCTGTTGAAGTTCTTGAATAAGAGCATCAGATGCACTAGGGATGGATTTCAAAAGGAGGTACAGGTGTTGCAGGTCTGTAAAAACAAATAACAGAATAAGCATTTATTTTTATTTGAAACACCTTTACTTAATACAACAATGATAATAAAATTTGCACAATAATTGGCTAATAAAAGAAAAAAAAATTATTTATCACTCTATATGTGAGTGCATAGAAGAAAAAAAAAAGATTTACCATAATGATTTTAAAGCAACCAATCTGTCCTTAATTACCACCCAACAGTGGACTGATCGTAAATAATAAAATGTGAAAAGGAGCTCTGACTTTTTTCTGAGGTTCTGTAGAAGATGCTTGTCAATTCTGTTTTATAAAGCTCTTAATTGTAATAGAATTTTATTATTTTACAATTAATATTAATTAAAAATTTAATAGATGTTTTTAATAAAACTTTTTATTTAAGATCTGGCAGTTTCACATTACTTAAAAAAAAAAAAAAAAAAAATTAGATATTTTTTTTCTATAATTGATAAGCAGATAAGAAAAATATAAGACAAATGTGGGACATTTTTGCAAGGAAATGAGGATGGTTGCTCTAACTGCTCATGGCATAAACTTCTATTTTTAACATTATTAGACACATACATAAATTTTTACCTGTCATTAAACTTTAAAATAAGCAAGTAAAAAAATATTATAGAAAAAGATTCAGATAGCAGTAATAGATAATTTTTTGATGCTGTTACATTTATTATTTATTTATAATAAATGCACCATAAGAATAACAGTGCAATAAGTTTGCTGTTAAATGCCTATAACAAAATTCTGTTTTCTTTTTCAATATTAAAGACAAATTTATTTGAAAAAGGAGAAAAATTGCGTCATAAAATTTATATCAGTTGTTTTGAAAATATATAGACACTCACATATATTGAATTATATTTTAGTAAAGGCAGAAGATAAACTGAAAATACCTCTTCTACTCTCCTGCTCTACCATCCTTTTGCATTCTCCATGTAGAAACTGAAGATGATCAGCTACCATTCTACGTTCACATTCTTGTGTTACTCTAGGATAGGAGCTGGGGTGTAGGTACTTACGACTTCGTAAGTTTTCTTCGTCTAATCGTTGGAGAACCTATCAATAAGACCAAAAAAAAAGTAAATCATAACTATTAGTCAAATATTGGTTAAAATAACTTGAGACACTAACAATAATCATTTTTAAACAGTTTTAACAGCTGCATAAATTTTACAAATTACATTTTTGAATATTTTGTCACTGTAAAAATGAGGTGAAGAAAAGCATCAAAAGAGAAAGGAGTTCAAAATATATTAAATCAAAATGGCACTTAATTTAACTGAATATGAGAAGTTGAAAATATTACCTTTTCCATGTATTGTGAGCAATCATTCTCTTGCAGTAGGCGGTTAGCTTCTAAAGTATAATGTTCTCCAGTTTTTATTAAGAAAGGCTTCTCAAAGATTTCTTGGTAATACTAAAGAGTGACAATTAAAGAAATTATGAGATTGACATACAAGATGCAATTTTTTAGAACTTACTTAATATATATTTCATTGCTTTTCTAAGATATTGTTCGGAGTAAAATTCAATTTGAATAACAAGGTGTAATATAATAAACAGGTGTGCTTATGTCGTAATACTCAAGGTTTAATGGTTTGTAAAATTTTAATCCAATTACAAAACTTTTTTTTTTAGCAAATAATTTGTGCACTAGCATCTTTACCTTTTTCTATTTATAGAAAGTTTTATACTGTTTTTTGGCTTTTATTAGCGTTTTACATTCAAGTTATACAATATATATACACATAAATAAAGGGTGTTCAGCAGAGGTCTGACTGATTTCAAAATTAAAAATCTAAGAAATGTGAGGAATAAAACAAACGGTATGTTTGTTCAGGGTATCTGCTACATTTTAGATTTTCAAATTCACGACTTTTCATGATTTTCCATGACTATTTCCAAGAGTTTTTCATGACTTAACAAAGTTACTATTTTCTCGGACAAAAATGCAACAATAAATTAAAAAAAGCATTATAATAACATTAATTGAAATTATAGGTATAACCAAAACTGCTATACTCTGCATTTTCATATTTAGATTTTAAATTTAAAAAACAGAGTAAAGAAAGAGTTGAAACAATAAACTAGCTGAAAAAAATACAAAAGCAAATAATTTTTTTCTGTAGAATTATATTCTAAAGAAACTTTTCTTGCTCATCTGAAAGGAAAGAAATACTCCTGATTTTTCTGTTCTCATTTTGGAATAAAAGAAATTCTCCAATGACTGGTTTGCTTCAACTAGAATTTTAAATTGATAAAATTTTTTTTTAAAAAAAAATTTTAAATCACAGAAGAGTTTAAAAGATAATTCCCTCTAGAAATGATGGTTTTTCTTTCATTTTTTTTTTAAAGAACACCATAATTTTTAAAGAACATGATAAAATAATTTTATATTCTTATAAAATATGCCTGAGTGGTGATTTTGTTAGGAATTCAGATAGTTGGAATAGGATGAAATTAGGGAGGGGGGATTCCATTTTAAAAATTTGATTTTTCGGAAGTGGTGCAAGTGGCAAAACATGGTTTTGGAGCAAGAAAAAAGCAATTTTGGAGCAGCAAAACAAAGATTTGGAGCATATTTAATAAAAAAAAATTAAAACAAGAATTTAATAATAAGAGTTTTTTGTTCATTAATAACATATCTTATTATTTACACTTTTTTGAAGGTCCTTGCATAAACAAATTAAGTTTCTTTTTGGTATCTTCCAATGCTGTTAAATATTCTGCTATCCTCGTCTTAGCCTCAGATAAAAGGAATAGAATTATTAGGACATAGAATTTTTTTCTGAAGAAGATAAAGATGTCATCGCATTTGTGGCATCTAGTCCAACTATTACATTTGAATTTTGCCAAATTTCTGCATTTTCTACATCCAAAGATTTTAAGTCCTTTCCTGTCAAACTAAGAAAAGCAGAACTTTTTAAAAAACGCCCTAACAATGCTTAAACTAGAGACACCATTTCATCATACAGCAAGTGAATCAATGGTGTCTCAGTTTGGAAAAGACCTAAAAATTTATCTAATATAGCTGAAATATTTCTTAAAAATGAGCTTTTGGCAAAAGCAATTTAAATAAATTCAATATTGAGTGGCTCATACTATTTTTTAAATTAATAATTACTTTATTTAATTCTGTAAAAGATAATTTAAAACTCTAATTAATTTAACTATTAAAGGTTATTGAGTATATTTTTCTTAAAATTTAAATAAATGTTATTTATAGTCGTATATTCAACAAAACATTAACAAGATTAATATTGATCATACCGAATTTATAAAAATATGTAAAGAATTAAGCAAACTTTAATAAATTTATATTACTAATGTTAATTAGTGAATGGCCCCTAAATTTTTTTAATTAAAATTGATTACCTAGTACAGTATTCCATTAATGAAATAATTAAAAAAATTAAATAATTTTAAAATGCAAATACAATGAGTATTGAAGCTAAAAATTTTTTGTCAGAAGCAAATTATTATACTGTCCCTACACTCATAATATTTAACAAATCTATAATAATTAAAAAATTTTATATCAATTGTTTTAAATCAAATCCTTATGAGATGAATTAAAGTATTTTTGAATGACAAATCTGAAAAACATAAGATTTATTTGCTGCTTTAAAAATTCTGAAAGCCCCTTTCTTCATACTTATTTAAAATCTTGCCTCTAAATATTATTAAGTTTTTTCTAAAACAAAATAAGAGCACTGAAAATTTTGAAAGTAATATAATAACACAATAATAAAATGCAATAAGTAAAAAAAAATATTAGTAAAAGAAAAGTAATAAAGTATAAAAAAATGTTTACAAACAATTTGCAATTAGTGGATGGTCCCTCAGATAAAAATTTACATTTAAGAAACTCAATTAATTCTATCTTTATTAATTAAATGAATAAAAGGGAGATGGAAATTTTGAGGTTTTGAAGCTTTATGATTCTTGACTGCTCTGAGGATCAACATGAAAACATGTACTTAGTGAATGGTCCCCAAGTTAATTCCAAGATCATGGGCACTATTCTATAAATAGAATAGAGCAAGAAGGCCCTTAGCTTGCCATTGACGAAGACTATAGCACTTCAATAACGATGAAATTAACAAGAGAAGTAAAATTTTCTTTTGCTATTAAAATTTGGCAATATTTAGCTGGTCCCCGAAAATTTGTGGGAAGTCTCGGTTCCAATTCAGAGAGTGAAAAATGAAATCTGAAATTGAGTGAAGCAGAGTTGCACATGAGAGTGCAAGAATCCTTCCCACTGAATCCAGAGCAACCCCCCCACATGGCAGTAGCTGGGTTGCCGCAAAATTGTGACTTGGCGATACCTAGCTGGAAATATCCCTTTCAGCACAGAGCGGCGCAATTTAAGCCTACTACTTCAATTTGGAGCATGTAGGCGCAGGTTTTCACAATTGGCACAGATCGGCGCAATTGGCGCAGCACTTGCAACACTGGGAGACCTAAATCCATGACTTTCCATGATTTTTTTCAAAAAAGTAGCAAAAATCATGACATTTCATGACAAATTTTGTTCAATACTGAAATTCATGACTTTCTATGATTTTTCATGACTTTCCAGGTGCGCGGATACCCTGTTTGTTGAAAAAACTGAAAAATTTTTGTACAGAAATTTTGGAATTTCGTAACATAAGTCGCCAACAGATAGTGCTGTAAACCAATGATGACCAGAGTTAATTAATTATAGTGTTAAAATGCTAAAAGTGGCTGTCATACCAGATTAGCAGGTTCAAATATCTATTCAACAACATTTGTTTCTGGTACTGAAATATTATAGGTTGGATTAGAATCCTACAGCATATATAATCTCATCAAGAAATCTGTTTAGCAAACAGTACCACCTGTTGGCAACATTCCAAAATTTCTGCATAAAAATTTTACAACTTTCACAATAGACATTCTGTTTGTTTCATTCCTCTATCATCCTTTGTTTTGCAAATTTTTAATCGCAGTTCTCCACTTGGCATCCTGCACATATTCATACTACTTTCCAATGCTTTAACACTTTACTTACGAATAGGTTGTCATTCTTCCTATAATCTTCAACCTGGACAAATGACTGTATTACCCCATGAAAGACGGACTGATTCGGTGGAGAGTCTCCCTGTCGGTCCCTAGAAAAATATCATTATTTTTTTTAACACCTTAATCTTACATAATGAATGAATTACATAAATGAAGTACTCTTGCAACAACCAGCAGCAAGCCAAAGGGATCATATCATAGAAGTTGAGTCTCCATACTTCTGTAACCAGCGATTTGATGGTTGCAATATTGGGAAGATTGAGCATTTCATAATTGAAAGTTGTAAAAAAATTTTTTCAATCAAGATAAAACACATATTAATTTTACTATTGCTGTAATTTAAAACTTTCAAGAATTTAATTTATTAAATTTAGAAACAAAAATAACTTTACCAATTGAAATCCCTTAAATTGGTGTTTCTTAAGCGGATTTATTCAAAGGACTAACAAAATATTTTAGTGTTTTATCACAGACTGGTAAAGTTTGTAATTTGGACTATTGGCAAAATTTTTTATACATACTAAATTGTAGCACTGGAGCAACTTTTAACCAACTAGTTTCTAATCATTCACATAATGTTTAGAATAAATGTATTTAAATCTGAATGTAATTTATATTAATTCTAATACAGCAGTAGAGAAACAATTTTTTAAATGACTTAGTCAAAATATTGATGAAGCTTGAGTGAAATAGTCGAAGATAAGATTTAAGCAAAAACTTAATTAGACTCACTGTTTTATGCCCTCTAAAAGTAAATGAACTAAGTTGTCAGATAGCTTCTCTATCATATATTTCTTCCAAAGGTCTAAACCTAACTAGAAAAAAAAAAAGAAAAGAAGAAAATAAATAATTGCATAATACATAATATTTTATAAGGATTGAGAAAGCATAGAAATTATGGTTTCAGCACAATCCTTTTAATAAAAAGTTAACATAATCTTGAAATATAACTTAAAATCAGTTTACTAGCAAGAAAAAAAAGGGCCTTTCCTATAGATATACATAGAGTTTATCCCTGTGTATAAGCAGACCCATCTCTGGTATGTTGGTACAAGTATTTCAGGTATTTTGGGAGTATAAGTCAACTGTTGAAAAAAGCCAAATATGGGCATTTCTTAAATTCAAAAAAAAAAAATTATGTTTTTTTCAAGTATAAAATATTACACATTAAACTTTAATAATTACATGATCTCCTTCAAATAAAGATGCCACATTAATAAATGCTGAGAGGTGACCATTTAATCAGAAGAAAACTCTTACAAAAACAGTAAAAACAAGAAAATGGAGTAGAATCTAACACAGATGATGTTCCGGAATTCTTAAATTATAGTATATCTTATAAGATTTCATAATGTAATAGTTTTTGAAATACTCTTAAATAAATTATATTAAACTTCTTTTTCTTTCAGAACATAATTTCATGTATTATTTCTAACAAAACCTTTATTTGTAAAAAAAAAATAGGATAAGAGAAAATGTAAACAGTGTTTTCATCATAGAAAAAAAATGGGTGAGAATTTCTCACCCTTTTTCAAAAACAGGGTGAGATTTCAGAAAGTTAAGTGAGATTTTTAAAAACTTAAAAAACACAAATAGACTTGAACAAAAATCACTTCTTTTATAATAATACATTTGTAACATCTTCTCTATTTTAAAGCATTGAATCTTTTTGCTGCTTCATCATAGAAGATTTTGCCTTTACTAGGTATTTGTCCATCTTACATTAGTGCATAAAAAATTTGAACGTCTTACATGAAAAAACCTTACCTACGGTAAAAACGTGGTTGCAGAGAAATGTGTTCTGAAAGGGCTTCCGTGGTTGGGAGCGGTTGTGTTCTGTTGTTCGAAAAGGTTCTGAACAATACTGGTAAATAGGGAAGCTAGATAATGGGGCAAATGTTGAAAGCAACTAAAGATCCAGGAACAAAAGTGAAATGAATTTTATTCTAAATGGTATAATTTGAAGCTTTTTCCAAAATGCGAGAAATTCGCGAATTTCTCGTGGTAATCATTTTTTAATGCGAGAAAAAAAAATATGCGACATTCTCGCGTTTTCGCGCTGTAGTGAAAACACTGATGCAAAGTTAATAGTATATAAGATATTCAAAATTGTTTTTTAAAAATGGCAAATTGATATTGAGTGATTCATACCTATCTCATTGTTTACAATGCATCAATAATCTCTTGATCAACAAATGTCTGACTTTATTGCCAGTGTGTAAATCCAACATCTTCGCAAAATTTTGGGGAGTTTGGGAAGTTGACTTATACACTGGGATATACAGTACTTAAAGAAAGACTGACTAAGCAATAAAAAGAAAGTTCTCAGAAATTTTAACCTCAATCTTATTATCATTTTTGTAACCACAAATAATTATTTTTTAACAGGTTGCCAAAACTAAAAACATTTTATAAACAAAAATCTATTCGAATAGATTTCTTTGACTCATAATCACTTTTTTCTTCTTCTTCAGTTTAATAATTAGTAAAATATTAATCAGTACAAAATCAACCTAACAAATTCAAACAGCAGGTTCCAACAAACAATTCCATTAAAAGTAATTGAGTAAATTAAACTGAAAGTATTATTGAACAATGTTAAGACTACTTCTTACACTTTCACTAAAAAAGAAAATTTAAAATAAAAAGTACATTTACATTTAAAAATATGTAATAAGGATCAACTTATTAAGACAATAATAAAATTAATAGTAATTACAGTGAAAATGCAGAAAACTGTATTTTATTCCATGATTTATTTTTATCCTTGATATTTACTAGCAAACTGTACATAAATTTTTTTTAAAACTAAATGTTCAATAAAAATATTTTATTTAAAAAATGAATAAAACTATTACTAATTAGGAAAAACTTTGTAGGCTAAAATAAAGGATTACAGTAAATAAAAATAACTGTGCAAGAAAGGAAAATACACCCCTCCCGATATTAATATATTTAGGATTTAAAATTGTATTAAGAAAAAAGTGCAATTTCCCAAGATTTTCCAGAGTACTAAACATTCTGACATTAAGAATCTGAGAGTCTGTAACAATAATTAAAACCAAATATAAAATATAAGAACTTTTTAAAGGTATACTAATGAATTAAAAACTTTATATATCTTTGCAGTCTCAACAAAAGTTAAGCTCACATTTCAATAAGATTTTAGTCAATAGTTAGAGGTTTCAATAAGTTTTTTTATGCAAGAAATACCCTCATTTTGAATGGAATAAAAAAAATATTGTATAGCATACACACAGCATTAAATACTATAATATTCAAAAAACAATTATATATAATAATTAATTACATGCCAATATTAAAAATATTAGAGATCATATATATAATAGTATTTTTACAAAACATTATTGTGTTTACAACTATAGAAGCGATAAGAAGAAATACTTTATTTAAAGAGTTAAAACAGCAGTGTTCTAATTATTTTACCTACTACCTAAATAACTATGTATAGTAGAAAGCAATTGAAACTAATACAAAAATGAATTATAAATTACTTCGCCAATTTCAAGCATTTGATCACCAATATCTGATCTTCCATATTGTAAGTCAGCTTCATTAAATCTCTGTTTCTTAATGTGTTGAGTGTTTAAATACCTAAAAAAATAACTTGAATTTAAGAATTACATACATATACAGAAATTGAATTAAAGAAATTGAAAATTGAGAGAAGCTTTAAAAGAAAAAAGCATATGAATTGAAGTATATAGGACCCAATATATAATGAAAGTAATATGAATTGAAAATAAATAAATAATAATAAAAAACAATGAAGGATAAAAAAGAACAATAAAACTTTATATCATTTTATTTTGAAAATAAATATTCAACATAGATTTGTAAATATTTATTATTCTTCATAAAGCAATCATTACATATTATTCAAACTTACATGTAGAGTTTATTTAAATATCCAATCCCTTTACTATACTCCACCCAGCTCTGATAATAGGCAGCTAATAAACCTTCTTGAGAGGATACAACTGACTGAAAATGAACAAATAATGCAAAGATTGATTAAAACAGAAATAGTAGAACAGTAATGGGAAGGACAAAAAGAATAATGCTTAAAAGACCATTATTTTCTGACAAAATAACTTCTAATATTAATTCATATGTTAAAATCTCTTTTTCCTTAACTCAGAGCCGAACCATTTTTAGATAAAATGATTAATAAATGACTTAAGACATTATTATAATAAAAATGTTTTCCTTCAAGCAATGATGATGAGAACCATTCATAACTCAATTTATCACACAATTAAGAAGTTTCTAGCGACATTCTCCCTAAATAATCCCTAATACTAAAAACGAAGAATAAGTGGATTCCTGGATTTGCTGCTATACTTCCAATATTAATAAAATGCAATAAAGAGAGAGAGTTTTAATCTTCATCCTCCCCGATTCCTGTGAGCCTTAACTCTCGACCATATACATAATGATGTGCATATATATTGTAAGCAATCATAATGATGGATGAAATAATGCAGGATAAATTCAGATGAGTTAAGGCTGATTTCTCATTTCTACCTTTTATTCAATCAGAGAAACATATTTCATGAGAAATGACCACTTTTTATAGTAGGGGTTTTTAGGGAAAAGTGTTGCAAGATTCCCCATCAAGTCTTAATCACATAGTAAAGAGGAAAAAATGAACACTTTTTAATAGCTCTAATCATTTAGGTCAAATTATCCTTACTTCTTTAAAAGAGGTTTTATGATACATAATTATTTCTAAGAAATGGTTAACATTGGTCAAAAGGAATAAATCTGTAAAGCTATTATGTATAATAAAAAAGTTTTCTGTTCAGACTAATAAATTATAAAGAGATTTCAAATAAAGAATTAATCTAAAAAGACTCATTATATTTATATATATGCTACTGTGAATGATCGAAATTGGTGGTTGTTGACTTCCACCAGTGAATGTTGACAATCACATAGTCGCTTTGGTAAATGTCTGAAATATATAATATAGTTAAGGCCAATGCCCGGTACTCAAAACATTGATGTTTCTCCTAATCTATCCTCAGCAGATATTAAAATATCGAATAAATATAATAATATCAACGAATAAATTAATATAATCGGATATAACAAATATTTCGACCGTTCACCGGTGAAAGCGTTCTCTTGATTTCAATCATTCACAGTAACATATTGCAAAGTATTAAAATCTATCTTTAATTTCTACTAAACAACATATAAATATTAATAAAAATTACCTTGTGAAGATGTTTAACATGCTCTTCAAGATACTTTTTAGTTTCTTGGTATAGCATATCACCCAAAGGCTCAGGAAAAGCAACACAAAGTGTGTAAACATCAGTGAAATAGTATTAAAGTTATAACTATGTTTATGCAAAAACAAAAATTTTCAACACTTTACAAACATAAATAAAATCCTCAATAATTTTTTTATCTAATAAGACATAGTTAAATAAGCAGCATATCCAAATATGTTTGCCCAGAATATTTGTCACTTAAAATATAAAATCACCAAGATTCACTCCTGAAATCATCTTTAAACTTTTCATCTACCTTAAAAATAGCCAGAAAAAAAGTTAAGAACTACTTTAAAAGCAAGAAGTACAAATTACAATTATGTAGAAATTTATTTCTCCTGCCTTGAGGATTAAGTTAATTTTTTAAGCAAGGACATATTTCAGTTGTTTTCTTTTTCGAAATATTTCAATAAAAATATTGGCTTTTTAATAACTTTAGTAAGACCTTCTTTTAAGTTTAAGCTCAAGGTACAGAAAATTCTATCTTATGTTTTACTACAAGTCTTTAAAAAAATTTACATAAAAATTGAACTACTTTTACCAGTCAAAAAAATTATCATTCTTTTAAAGGGCAGATAATTTTTGACAGTTAAATTTTTAAAAACAGGGAACCTTAAGTTAGTTAAATATCAAATTATATAAAATTTCTACTCAATGGAGCATAAGTTATTAACAGCATGTTTGATTTTTATCGCATTTCAGACAGTAAATTGTTTTGCAAGATAGATAGACATGTGTTACAAAAAACATAAGCTGTTCTGTGTTCATATTAAAACTTATGCTTTAGAGCATTAATCAAAATTTAACGCAGGTAAAAAAAAAAACTGCCTTTTTACTTCATAATGCAATTTCTATAAAAAGGATATGTAAATCTGTCATTCCAAGTGTGGCGGCTGATATCTCCCAGTGTAATGACACCTTCCACTGTTTCCTTTAGAATATTCCATACAGAAGTAAAATCAACAACCCTCGGTCTTAATGACATTTTCAAAAATTAACTGAGCTGCAAAGACAAACAGTTTTATTATATTAACATGGAAATGTTCTATAATATAGTCATAATACTACTGGCGTTAGGGTAATTGATATCTAATATAGATACTGGGGTAATAGGCTTTTAGTGTGACCTCGAGACAACTGAGTATTTTTCAGTGTAATTGACTATGGTGTATAGCACATTTTAAGAAATCTAGTATGTATGTGATTACTTCAAGAATAATAATGGTGTAATGTTCCAGCGATAGAAAATATTTACATACATTTTATTGATAGGTGTAATGTTGAAAGGCTAAATAACACCTGATGTCCGGCACACTCCATTTTGCTGTTTCAGTGAACTGACCAGTAGTTGAGAATTCGTCATTTTCAGAGTTCTCCTTAGGAACAGAAAAGAGCATGGCACTTTCTCTCAAAAAATGTCACTTTGAATTTTGAAAGGGAAATCACTTAACACCATAAAAATTTAACAAATTGTGTGATATTACGGAATAACTAAATTTGGTCTCCAAAAAATTTTTAAATTATCCTCTAATAATATTTTATGTGTATATTTCAGAAAATAATTCTCTCTCATTATCAAAATAAGAGAATATTTGTAGTTCATAAAAATGATTAAAGGCATGCTAAGAAACAATCTTTGTGCATACATTAAAAAAAAAAAAACCTAAAAAGAAGATTGATAAACAACTTGAAAGCTTTATTTTTATAATTCAAACTGAAAATTATGAGAAAATAAACATTTAAATAGGCATTTAAAAAAAAAGAAAGAAAAAAAAGATAATTTATTTAAAAAATTCATTAATATACCGAGCTCTGAAAAAAGTAATACTTATAAAAATTTAACCAGTTGAAAATAATCTCAACAAAGAAAATATTTGTTACTGTAATCAGAACAATATAACCTATAAACACAGATAATTTAACCAGTGTGTAATTATTAAAACAGTTAAATAATTCTTTTTAAAATGGAATTTGAATAAAAAGACAGTGTTTTTAAGGGGTGGTGGAATATTTTTACAAAAAGGGCACATTAATAGGGATCAAGGGGCAGGCCACCCTTCTAAAAACACTTGGAGATAACATGGTCATTTGTGTTGAAATCTTGCTTGAGAATTGTCTGAATAAGTTCAGACGGACAACTGATATTCTAGATGAGGTCCAGTTCTCTATATTTGTACTGGAAATACCTTGTCTTGTTTGAGAGGTAGTATTACTACGTAAAGTGAGATCATCTCAATTTAGTCTGATAGTTTTCAGAAAGAAATGATGGAATAACCTTTAGATTTTGTTTCTGTTACTATTTTGAGGCATTTCTTGAAGAAACAATAAGACAATGTAAAGATTAGTGTTTCTGGAGTGCGTGTTTGACCAGTGATATACAATGAATACTGGTGAAATCTGTTTCAACTAAGATGTTCTGCTGTTCTTTGAACTTCTGTTCAACCTACCCAGTGAAATTCTATTGCTACTGTTGTTAGTGCCCTTTTACAAGCTTTAGTCTGTTCTGCTGTTATACATAGAATCTGCACCTATTAAATATAATACTAATACATTTTATATGTATTCGTTGGATTCATAAGGTGTTCGTAGTTACATGCATTCCAATGAATGTTGAACAATCAGAACAAGATGAATGCTTGGCACAACATAAATAATTAATACAACAGAACTGATCTATAATTTAATGAAATTCAGTGTATAATCAGGTATTGTTTTATAATTTAATCATTGTTATGTAATGAAAACTGAAACCTATCAGGTAAACAGGAACACGATTAAAGAAAACACACACAATTAAGTAGTTTTATTATGTTTGAAACCTCAACAAATCGAATTAAATGAAAAGCACATGCGATATATAATCTATGCAAATTATCAATAAAACAAATACCTAAAACATTGGGTAAGAGATTATTCAGCTGAATAATAGAAAACAAAAGTGTTAATTGGGTACAATATTTTAAACAGAACTATCCTTTTGGGAAAAATCTATTTGTTTAGAGAAACAATTATGTTGTTCTATTATTTGAAAGATACCTGCTATATCTTGAGGATATTAACCATTCAGTAATTGTTACAAACATTAATTTAGAAAATATCCAGTTACAAAAATAATAATTTTGCATACTGAATGCAACAAATACATCAACAAACATTTGTGATCAAATTGTGAAAAATCTGAAACCAGGGGTCTGTCTAGGTTTTTCTGACAGGTACCTATTTTGTGAAAATTTAGACGTAATTTGTGAAAAATTAAAAATTATATTAAAAAATCAACACAAAAATATGGATTTATCGTTTCTTAAGGGATACAAAAATGAAATTTTAAGAAAAAGTATTTTGTGAAACTACCGTTTTTCCAAAATTGAATTTGTGAAACTACCGTTTTTCCTAAAGTTGAATTTGTGAAGGTACCGCTAAACGGTAGTAAATTCGGCCTGGACAGACCCCTGGAAACATTACCAGAAATGTAACTGCAATTGTTTAGGTATTTAAAAGATGAAACAAATTTTGTTGTATGATAAAATAATATTCAAAACAACTCATAATTTATAAGCTAAATTTACATACGGAGAAGACCGACATTCTCCAGCAAAATAAGTAAACAGACAAATGTTACCAATTGCAAATTTGGGTATGGCAACGAGATTTTATTAAAATATTTTGGGTTAGCAAAAGCAGTAAAAAATAATCAGTAATATCATCGCGAAGGTAAATATTAGTAAAGAAGTGAATTGATTGCGACTAGTCTTAAAACATTCCCGGGAAAAATTTATTTTTGTTTTAAAAATTATTGAATTTTAATTTTAATTGATATTTTAGAAGGTTTTTTTTCAAAATAAGCAGAACTAAATAATTTTTACGGTAATTTTATTTTATATTTGTAAATCTGAAATATTTAAGCTTTGAAATTTAGCTAGATTATATTATTCTGTGTACCTAAATATTGTGCATGTACGAAATTTCCTTTCATTTAAATCTTTTCAAACATTTTACTGTAATATATGCAATTTAGTTTTTTGTTTAAGTTTTAATGAATAAAAGATGTAAGTAGTTTCAGTATAAATGTCAGTGACATTTGACATTATATCACATAATAACAATAAATCTTTATTTGTGTTTGCCACTTATTTTTGTGAGAATACCACACAAAACGTTGATTATGAATTAAAAAATGGTTGTTATATTCTCCGAATGTTTTTATTTTAAAAATTAATTAAATATTATGAATATTAACGAATAAAAAATATTTGTAGTATCAGACTCTACAAAAACAAGGAAACTATTTTTGTTTGCTACTTATTTTTGTAGGAGTATCGTGTAGAACATAATTATGCAACAAAAATTAGTAATTTCAACTGAAAGTTGGCATGCTAATGGGGATGAGAATTATTATATTTACCATGGTTTTTTCCCTATAGTATTAAATGTTTTGTAAAAAGAAACATTTTTCACAGCCTCAAAAAAACTTCTTTTTGTTTCTGCTATGTCTGTGAACATAAAAGTAATATTGAAACAAAAATTTGGAACATTTAAAACAGTCTTGTATTGTAACATTGCAGTACAACATTTGATCATCTTAAGAACTGATGTTCTAAAAACATTTTCAAGTTTCAAAATTTTCTTGATATTCCTCATAAAAAAATAGGTGGTCTTGATTTGTTCTTTTTAGCCTTTTTTTCTGTTATAGTGCAATGTTATGACTCTTTTATAATACCCAATATAACAAGAACTGCAAGTAAAAATGCTATGGTTATTAAATTTATAAAAAAATTTTGTAACTAGTTCAAAATTATTAGCCTTCCGCTGAGTGATATTGCTTATATTAAGTGAGTAATATTGCTCCTAATAGGGATAAATAATTATGAATTTTTTTTTTTAAACTTTCTGGTATCAATATTGAAAAGTGAAAAACAACCCTGGCAACGGTTTAACCTTTGCCCCAGTTGGGTTTAAAATTGACTTGATATGGGTCCTAAAATATCATGCACTGAGGGACCAATATTAGAATGTCTAGAATAGTCTATATCTAGGGCCTACATTGGCCAATATAAAATCTACATTGGCTAAATAATGGATATAAAATATTGGATGAATTTGACAATTCTATATGGAACCAATATTGGTTATAAAGTATATATTATCCTGGTTATAATATTGGTATAAAATATCAGATGAATCGGAAAATTTTACATGGGGCCAATATCAAAAAAATATTTGCAAAATTTGGGAAATTTTTTTTCAGCCTCTAGGTATCATTAGGTCCTGTCCTATTGTTGAATTTACTTGCACCAAGCTAAATGTAAAGTATTTAATTTAGTAATTTTTTGTTGTAAAGAGAGAGAAATCTGATCAGTCAATCCAAAAACAAGTTTATATTAAGAAATTAAATCAAAATTTAATAAGTTGTTAAAGGAAAATGCATTTGTCAGAATATTTTTCTACTTATTTCATTTCCTTTGTGTCTCTTGAACTTATATTAATCTGTATAAAAATCTCATTTACCACAATAAGATCGAGGTTAGTCATTGTAATCAGTCCAGTGTTCTCACTACAGCACGAGAATCTCGCATATTTTTGTTCTTTTCTCGCATTAAAAAATGATTAACGCGAGAAGTTCGCTTTCAAAATGGCGAATCTCACGAATTTTGGAAAAAATTTCGTCTTCCGCCATTTTAAATAAAATCCGTTTCACTTTTCTTCCTTGATCTTTCATTATTTTCAACATTGGTCCTTGTTATCTAGCTTCCCTATTTGTCAGTATTGTTCAGAACAGCAGAACACCCCCCCCCCGAACCCCTTTCAGAACACATTTCTCTGCAACCACATGTTCACCATAGGTAAGGTTTCTTCCAGGGTTGGGTTTTTGATGTCAAAAAGTGGTTTTGACATGACAAGGGTATAATACTGGTTTAAACCGTCAAAAACTTTGCCAAGAAAATATATAAACTTCAAAACTACCAACAGTTGCCATGCATTATATTGAAATTTAATTATGCTAAAGGTAATCAGCAGGTTTTAAAATATTTTTTAATTAAAATTAAGGTAAAATAACAGATTTAAAATCTCAGAAATTTATATTCAAATGCATGTGCAGAAAAATTTTGCACAAAAATTGTTTAAATATTTATATTTAAAAAAAATTTTTTTTTTTTTTTTGATACTTAAGAAAATTAAAAGTTTATTACTATGCATTTTTGACATATAAGGAACATATAACTAATATTTATAAGGAACTTACAAGTTATGTTGTATAAATACAAACTTGATACAAGTGTATGAAAAAAAATTTTAATGTTATACCGAATATCTTTATTATCCAGTATGTTAATTTGAATTTAAAAGTAGTTATATTTATGAATAATGATAAATATAATTCATATTGTTTATTATATTTATTTATAATTATTACACTTATCATTTTAAAACAATTTTTATCTCTTAATTTTTTTTTCTCCACTTGTATTAAGAATACAAATAATGCATATCTTGAAAGCAAGAAGTAATTATTCAACAGCTGAATATTTAGATATTCAACAAAACTATATAGTATTCAGCAAAATGAAATTCACAAGTATTTGGATAAACTAAATTTTCAGCATAGTAAATGAATAGGCTGAATATACTGTAAATCGACACTAACTACTCTGTGTATTTAACAGAAAGCACTTAAATTTGTATTGTCTTATGTTAAAAAGATTATTAAGAAGATTTAAAAGAATATTAAAAAGATTTTTCTTTAAAAGAAGATGTCTAATGTACAAAACTGCTAATGTTTATCTTTAAAAATGTCTAATTTTTAGTATAATCTATACTATACACTAAATTTGGTTATAAATAAATTTCTTAATAATATCACTGCAGATTTTCAATAACACATGAAAATGAATACATAATATTACAAAAGATGTGAGTTTTCAAAAGTACAAGATTTTGGTTACTATTCAAAATATAAGTGTTTCTTCAAAATTTTAAATTTATTTTTTCTAGAACATATTTAGAAACACTATCCTTTATAAAAAATATATAAATTTTATGTATTATTTAAATTTCACATATGAATATAGGTTTTTGACATTTCTGACATTTTTGACGTGACGGTTTAAACTGTCACATGTCAAAAACCTGCCAACCCTGGTTTCTTCATGTAAGGCGTTTAAATTTTGTGTGCATGATTGTAAGATGGACATGTTAATGCAACATCTTCTACTCCGTAACGGACAAATGAAAATGAAACAAATGTCGTTAGAAACAGTCAAAACGAAACAAATATGGATAATATTTTTCAGCTAAATAAAAAATCAGTTGAAAAAAAGAAAGAGTCCTTTATAATAAGTTATTTAAAGTCAGCTCTATTTTTAAGAATTACCAAACTCTCTTATCGACAATTTACAGCAATTTGTAAAAGTTAAAGGCTGTGAAAACTATGCTGGAAGACATAGTATGAACATGGAAATAACTTCACTATTCTATAGCAGAAATAATTGAAAAGCCTATGCTGGCAGATGTAGAGGATAGGTCAGCATCTGTTGCAAGGTCATTTAGCACCCAAAACGGATTTAAGACAAAATATCGCAACAGATTGACTTATAAGCATTTGAGCAACCTAATGAGAATAGCTAATGAAAAAGTAGAAAAAGAACATTTTCCATATGATGATGCAGCAAAAATTAGAAGATGTTAAAAATGTATTGTAATTAAAGAAATAATTTTTTTCCGAGTCTATTCATGTTTTTTTAATTTTTAGAAATCTCACTTAACTTTTTGAAATCTCACCCTGTTTTAGAGAAAGGGTGAGAAATTCTCTCCTGTTTTTTTCTGTAATGAAAACACTGCAGTCTTAAAAAATTTTAAAGGTCTAAACTTGCTAGTGGCTATATGCAATTTTATTTGTGTCATCCTTTTTTTATAATAGTCACTTTTTTTTATTTTTGTCAAAACAGGGGAAAGTTAGTGAATTTTATCAATCTTTAAAAATCGAGGAATCCAAAAAAAGTTAGGATAAATTAATAAATTTATGTGTGAGGTGTCTAAAAGATCAATATGTTTTTCCACAAAAATTGGTAAAATGAGTCTTAAAAAGTCAAGAAATTTGTTTTCTGAGTTATATTTGTGGCCATATAATTAATTGTAAAAAATAAACTTTTTAATTGCCTTCAAAACTATGTTTATTTTTGTCTTTTTGCAGGGAAAATAAAAATAAATTATGCTTGGTTATAGGAAAACTTTGTTAGCTTAAGTTATTATAAGGTGAAAAAATAAATGCTTGAAAACGTGTTCTCTATTATCAATTATCCCTTTGCATATCATTTTTGAGGGATTATTCTTTTCATAAGCGCCAATTATTCATTTCAAAGAAGTGTTATAAAAATATTTTAAATTGTTTTGTCTTACATTTATGAAAGTTAAAACTTTTTTAGACATGTGGATTAAAGTCTGTTCCATGGATGGAAAAGTGTCCCATCGTGTGCACGGTCTTTCCAAACTAACCAAAATCGAGGAGCTGCGTCCACTGCTTGTTGACAAATTTGATGCTCCCATTGAGCGACAAAGACTTTATTATAGGGGAAAACAAGTGAGTATTTAATTAATTTGTGGAATGCACAATCTTTTTCCTGTAGTCTGCCACAAAAACTAAAAAGAATGCATCTTTGGAATCCAACATGAGTAAAGTTAAGCTATAATCTTAAAACTGTAAGAGGCATCTAGATTCTAATTTAAGTTAATAAGTATAATATGTAGCAATGTGAACAAATTCGCAAGAAGTTACATTTCCCTGTTAGCAGACTTAGATAAAATGAAAAACTTTTTGCAAGCACAAAATCTCAATTAAACAACTTTCTGCACCTATTGATTAACTCTTGTAACTAGTTTCAACCCTTTTATCTTCACCTCATTTTGACGAAATTTGTTATAAAATCACGAATATATATATACATATTTTTTAAAGGTTTAATTTTTATGCAACTTTATATTGATTCGTACCACAGGGATGAGTATGGTAAAGAAACAAAAGCTGAAAAAGAAATCCAAAAATGTTATCTGCAAAAACACTTTTTGAATAATTGAAACAATGCCTAAAATTTGAGCTATAAAAAAGTATGTTATCCACAGAATGTTATCAATATTGTAATTATAATGTCAATGCGAGATTTTATTTTTATATTTAAATAGTATGAATATGAATCTCAAAGTTTTATTTTAAAATCTTGTAAATACGATTCTCTATGTTTCATTTTAACACTGTGTAAAAATGAATTTCGGTGTAAAATTTTTAAGTCACTTGAGCGCAAATCATAGTAGTGGCTTTTTAATTGCCTGAACCAAATTGATATGAAGTGGTTAAGATGTAAACACAATGCGAGATCTTAAGTGGGAATTATGATGTTTGGTGTTAAATCTTGTGAATGTAATTTTAAATCGCATTTGCATTGGCAGGTAAAGACGTAAAAATAAAAATTTCAAATATTTTTTCCTTTGAAGAAGCAGTGTTTTATTTTTTAGTACGTAATAGAAAAAATATTTCCGTGAGCGGCGCTCGGGTATATTATACGAGTTTGCTAGTACTGAAATCATAGCCATGAATAAAACTTATTGAACAAAATGGCTACAATCAAGTTCAGGCTTGCACTAAGACAATAAGTGAATAAAAGAGCAGAATGACCTGTTTAAATAAAGTATTTTTCACTTAATTTTCATTAATATTTAAAACTGTTCAAAAACCATAGGTCTCCTTGCTTTATTTATTATGCACATATAGATGTGTGTTTTAGGTCATTTGATGATATAATTAAATGTCTTTTGTGGTGATTTGCTTAAGTTTTTCTGACATTACTAGTAATTTATTGACATAATTTTTAAACAATCCGCAGCTTGAAGATGGTCATTCTCTATTCGATTATGATGTTGGAATTAATGATACCATTCAAATATTTGTCAGACAACTATTGGTTGATTCTCAAGAGAAAAGTGCAATTATTGAGGATACAAATAAAGAAAATCATGTAAATATCTATTTTCGTAAAATATTCGTGAATTCACGATTGGTTTTCATTTTGTTTATTATTTTCACTGAATCTATTTATATTTTTTTTATTAATATAAACTAAAATTTTTTTATTCAGGATGCTGAAAAAGCACAATATCAGAATTCTCTTGAAGAACAAGTTTTGAGTAAATACTATGAAGTAAGTATTAATTTATATTTCTCAGCATTTATTTTTATTCAATGTTTTTTCTTCTTACTAGATCATTTTTACCTTTTAAAATGTATGTACCCGTGAATAGCTAATAAATAAAAAAAACATAATAAATTGATAATTTTTTTTGATAGTCATGTATAATCTTTTGATTATGTATATTTGTACTTTGCCTTTTGTAAAATGCTTGTTTCTTACCTTTCTAAATACATTATAGTTAGAAAACATAATTATGATATAAATCAAATTTATTAGTAGTTTAATAAGACTAGTGGTAGTTAATGTGTTAATTAACAAAAAAAAGACCTGTCTAGTATGGTTCTAAAATTACTATAGTAGTACAATAGCCAGTTCTGTATTACAAATAAATTGCCTTTTTATTGTCATTGTGAATGAAGGAATTTTAAAATTAGAATGTCGAAGTTGATTTTTTTTTGTACACTTTTTTTTCTTTGTTTTTTATACTTCTTCTCTATTCTAAATCAAACTATAAGCATGCATTGATGTAATTTTTTTAACTGAGCATCAAAAGTTTGAATGAAGCTTTTTATGTTCATTAACTAAAACCTAATATTTGAATGAAATAAAACATAATTCATGCAATAAAACTTTGAAGTATTATGCTTGGGTTACCAGAACGGGGGGGAAAACAGGACAAGTGATGCAGCATTAGAAATTATTTAAAAAAAATTACTGGTCTGCAGCAGGGTTCGTGATTTTTTTGATTTTTTTAAAAAAAATCAAAAGAATCAGATTTTTTTGATTTAAATCGGATTTTTTTGATTTAAATCAGATTTTTTTGATTTTTATTCAAATACACTGTAAGAACTTTAATTTATGATTAAAAAAAATTATAAATGTTTAATCAAATTAACTTAATATTAAAACTATGTTGTAACAATATTTCAGAAGCTCTAACTAAAATAATTTTTCATTATAATACATGGCTTTGAATGCATAGCAACTGTTTTGAAAGAAATGCATGATTAAAATTTAAAGACTAGATTAAATAGAGAATTTAAAGAATACTTCAGGGGTCTGTCTGGGTTTTTCTGAGAGGTACCTATTTTGTGAAAATTAAAAATTATATTAAAAAATCAACACAAATATAGTAAAAATATGGATTTATCGTTTCTTACGAGACACAAAAATAAAATTTTAAGAAAAAGTATTTTGTGTGATTATTCTATCATTTTTCCTAAAGTTGAATTTGTAAAGGTACCGTTAAACGGCAGTAAATTTGGCTTGGACAGACCCCTGCACTTTAACTATTAAAAGAAAGTTTCAGTTAGCAAACCATAACTTTAATTTAAAATTGTGATTTCGTTTTTTTTCATCTTGGTTTTTAAAATGACAAAATAAATATAGCAGACTGTGTTTATAAATGTAGTCATTCATCAAATAATAAATAAATATTTAATTTGTATGTTTTTATATTAAAATATTCATCTTAATTCTATATCAAAATAGATAAGTTAAGCTAAAAAAAAAAAAAAAAGTTAGAAAACCTATCTACTCATTGGAATTTTTTTTCACAAAATTTCTTTACAGAAAATCTGATAATGTCAAAGATACTGTAAACAAATTATGAGAAAAAAAATACCAGTTAATAACCCTACTGCATCAAATAGACTTTGAAAGAGTTTGAAAGGGAAGAATGACACTATATTTGGAAAAATACATCTAAATTCATCAGCCCTCTTTTTTTCTTTTTCTGTTTTTGGCATATTAGGGTAATTTCTTTTTAACATAACCTCAAGCTTCAGAAATACACATTTTCCACCAATAAAATATGATGTAGATTTTAATTCACGCTTTTTCATTCTAAAGGTAGAATTTTAATTAACATTATTTGTATTATTTTTTGAAAAATATTCATGTTTATTAATTACTTTCTACAGTTATGCAAGTCTATACTAAGACAGCATTAAATGTTTACTTTAATCTGTACTTTCAATCTAAAATGTAATTTCAAATGTGTTGGAATTTAACACACACCAAAAAAGTAATTTCATTGACTAAAATTAATTAATGCAGCAATTTATTTAAATTAAATTTTAATACTAAGAAAAGAAAATAATAAAAGTATCAAAAATTTAAAACACTGTTTTTTGATTTAAATCAATGATTTTTTTAAAAAAATCATTTGATTTAAATCATGATTTAAATCGTGATTTAAATCAAGCTGATTTAAATCAACAAACCCTGGTCTGCAGGATAAGTAAGCATTATTATGTACCAGTCCACAAACAATATCACTGGTTTACTCAAAATTCATCATTAAATATATTTGTACATCACTTAAAATTATTTTCATGCTTCATAATAAGATAACATTTCGCATCACAGTTTATTTTTATTAAAATTTAAAATGCTAAATTGATATTTTATATGTATATATACATGGTACATAGCATTTTTGAAAAGTACTTAAAGGTGCTTACTTTCGATTTTCGTTTTTTAAAAGCCCTTAAATGTGCTTTTTTTTTTTATTAAGCTTTTTTAGAAAGTGCTTCATTTTACCTTTTCGAAACTGAGATTTTTTTCCTTTACCATGTCGATTTTTGAATGTATTCAGCGTTTTCACAGTTCATTCAACCTCACTCCATTTCGGCCTACCATTGGTCCATTGCATATGAAAGCGCCTATCATTTTACATGTTTGATGAAATACTTGCGACCGCATGTGTGTCTACTGAGCTGAGTTCGGTGAGATTCTAGCACTCTTGTGTGCAACTCTGCTGCATTTTGCAAGATATTCTCCATTTCAGGCTTCATTTTCCACCCTCTGAAATCGAACCGAAAAATCTCTCGATTTTTTTTTATGGTGGCTAATATAATCGAGAAAGAGTTCTTTGTCTGAAACTAGTTGCTTTATCATGATCATGTAAAGTCTTTTAAAATTATTTTGTATTTTCTTAATGCATAAAGTGCTTAAAAGGTGCTTATTTTTTGTTGAAAGAGTTGGCTATGTACCCTGATGTATGTATGTATATATATATATATAAAGGACTTTTGTATTTTGTGGAAATAAGTTACTGTGGTAAACATTTTATAAGAAGGGAAATCCGTTAAACCAAAATTTAACAAAAGCGTTTAGGCANACAATTTTTTAATTTTAAAAAGTTATATATAAATTTTTTTGCAAAAAAATTTATTAATTTGAATAGGCAATTTAAATTATTTGTGTTCAAAATTATTTGTGTATAATATATGGTACATGGATTAGATTTTATCCATAAAGTTTTGAGGTTTTATTACTTAATGTCACAATTACCCCAGGCACCATTCCAACCGAATGAACTCTTCATTGTTCAAAGATGAATTAACAGCAGACACGTTGCTGGTCCTGCCACCAAGTTATTATTAATAGGGGCCCAAAAGGGTATTTAGTCGTATCAGACCAGTGGATTACCAATGGTTTTGATTGCTACAATGACAATTTTTGATTGCAAAAAAACTTGAAATATACTGTGTTCAAAAGAAAAATAACTTTGAATTTTGTAAATTAAATGTTTAGTTTGAAATCTTCTTTTTATATTTTAAAATAATTCCAGTCAGGTTTTTTTGTTGCTTGTTCAAAAATCATTGTTCTCTGGTTGTTAAATTTTTGACCTACCTAATAACTAGGAGAGTTTTTACGTGGAGCCCATGATGGTTCCCACTTAGTTATTAATGTTAAGGAAATATTTTAATTTTATAATCTGTCTCTTCTACTTAACTGTTTTCTTTTCATCAACCTTCTTTAATCTTCAATTAAATTTATAATAATCTTTATTTATCTAATTTTTCAGGTTGGCGACTTAGTTGATGCAAAGGATATCAAACAGCATGGTTCTTGGTTTGAAGCAAAAATAGTTCAAATCAAGCCTCAAAAGCAAGTGTCACAATGTGTGCCGGAATGCCAATCTACCCTTTGTCAACATAAAATCAATGAAAACAAGTTTGATGATGGTTTGGCGTACACTGTTGTGTTTGATGAGTAAGTAACATATCACTGGTTCAACACTAAAACAAGTAATGAGCTAAAACTTTAAATTTGTAGATAGATTAAGATTGTGATTAAAAGCTTTCAAATTAAATCTTTCAGGGTGGCTTATTAGAAAATTAATTTTATAAGGTTTGTCAATAAAACTGTGGTTTCTGCTGTCAGTTTTGCTATCTTAAATCTTTTATAGTTATAATTGAGGTTGGGAGGAAAAAAATTTTGTTTTTAAACCAGTTTATTTTTTTTAAAGATTAAATTAGTTTTTTAGATTAAACCAGTTTTTTCTGTTAATTTGAAATATAAATTAAATGCTACTTTACACTTAAAATTAAAACTAATGGGGCTTTTATGGAGAAATCAGGCCAAATCGAACTCAAGGGGTTTGCAAATGTGTGTTTTCATTTCAAGATTCAGCTGTTGTAATAAATAATATCAGATTAAGAATATCGAATTTTAAAAACTATGTGGAAATCAATAGCAATAACTGCCAAAAAAAATAGAACAAATATTTCTGCCGAAAAGAAAACCAAACTTTTTACTTCATTATTCTCAAATGAAAATAGAAAAATTACTAGCCTTTTTTTCCACTCCGATGCGCAAGAATGGGATATAATTTTGAATATAATTCTGAAGAAAAGATAGAAACTTTTGAAAATTTGTGCAGAAGAGAAAACCAAAATTTTTTACTTTCTAAAGGAAATATCTGTCGCCACGATTCTGCCACGGGGCTCATGGGGCGCATCATAACATATTTCTCTCTTCCACTGTACGATTTTTGGTGTATTTGACACATTATGGCACTTAAATTGAGTCACTGGTTGAGCATAAATTACGTATTTATCTGTCAGTCCATTAATGACAATGCTTTTTAATGAACTGTGCTAATAATTTATCTGAATATTATTTTCAGAAATAATCTTAATCTAATTGATTATTTTTATGCTTATTTTAAAGCTATGAAGACAGTGAAGGTCCTCAAGATTTAAAGTTAGGCTTCCTTCGTCCTAGAGCTCGTCATCTTATTGATTATGATAATATTAAAGTAGGTGATCTAGTCATGATCAATTACAATATTGATTCCCCTACTGAAAGAGGATATTGGTTTGACTGCAAAGTTACTGCATTGAAACAGACTAAACATAAGAAAGAAATAATTGGCACACTCTTAATTGGGTAAGTGAAATACAATATATATTATTTTGAAATGCTACACGATTGACTGCTTTACATAGCTATATCCATTTCAAGAATATTTGCTCTTAAAATTTATTTTTTAAAAGCCACAAGATTTTAACTTAAACAGTTTCAACAATTTTTCATTTATTTCATACATTTACTAGTGTTAATAAACTATTTAAATTTATTCATCAATCATTAATAATAAATAATTAAAATAAATTCTGAACTAAATTAAGTAATTAACCCTTTAACTATCGGTTAATTTTCAAGAAAGCTGTCATAAAAGTGCCTATTTTTTTATCCCTCAAAATTATATAAAAATATGCGTATGAGCAATATATATGTTCATTTTTTAGGGCTGATTGTGCTCCAGAAAAAATCCGGATTTCCAGAATTTTCACTAACAGTGATCCGGAAGTTTCCGGAGATCGAAGGTCCAGGCATTTAAAAAAATCATTGATCACAGAAGTTTCCGTAAATCAAATTTTCGAAGGTGGAACTTAAAAACACAGTTTATTTTATTTGTTTGTAAGGGAGAGCCAGAGAGATACTTTATAAGCTTATATTCATGATTAATTTTCATTTTTTATTGGTAAATAGTTGGTGTAATCATAAACTCAAGAAAGAAAGACATATTTGTATATTTTAATTACTTCTCCAGGTCATCATAGGTATGTGTAAAATTTAAAAAAATTTTAAGTGAACTAAGAAATATTGAGAAAAAGGAAGAAAAAAAACCTCGTTTAAATTTTTTTCAATTTAAACTTTTTTTTAACTCAAGAAATTTTCCGGAATTTTGACTTGGGCTCACAATAACCCCTGATTTTTAATTTTTGATTTGTTTTTAGCTTGAAATTTTAAAAAATTAAATTTTTAGGAAAAGCCAACTATGATTTAATGTTGCTTTTCCAGCAAGCAAGGAAAATTTAAAAAATATGTGTTTTAAACATTAAAGAAAATTTTATTAAACTTACGTATAATATAAATAAAGATTAGTAATTTTTTTGTGTGCAAAGCATGAGATACAGAGGCCAACGTCACAATCTGGACAGTAGTACCCATCCTTCCTACATCTCTTATTGTTTTCATCTCTTCTGGAGCAACAAACTTTGCATTCTCATGATGCTTATCTACAATTACCTTAAAAATATCCTGGTACTGCCATATGGTGTGTGAAATGAGAAGTAAAATGTTTTCCTGGCAATTAGTTTTATTCTTATTGGCACGTTACTACTGAACACTCCAGCCCGTCAATATCACAGGAGAGAGAAATAGAGAGCGAAACCTCACCCCCGTTATTTTCACGGTAGCAAGAAGAAAAGGGATAAATGCTATTATCGATAATAGAATGATTATAATTTGACAACATTATTCTATCACTTAATTTAAAATATGAGATTTTTAATACTAGAGTTAAAAAAATTAGATTTTGTTTAAAATGATGTATTACATTCTTTAATTTAGTGCCCAAGAAACAGAGTTGGAAAACTGCAAAATACTATTTACGGACGAGGTTTATGCGGTTGAAAACAATACGCTTTTATCTGAACAGTCTGGCAAACAGAATGAAGAGCCTGTTGTTAGTAAGTATTGTCTACCAATGTTTGTATGTAATAATGTTGCATTATCTCAGTTATTGACTCAATTATTGGCCTTAACATTGGTTTGTATGCATAGCCAACTCAGTCTTTGGTCATTACAATTCCTTTCATGAGGTATTGTCAACCATAGCTATCTTCCTGTTAGCCGTGGTGAGTCAGGAGAAAGAGCGCTTGCCTCCCACTAAGGTGAGATTGGTTCGAATCTCCGTGATGGCTGTTCAATATAAACTCAGTACCCCACAAATGTTGACAAAAAAAATCCTCAGAGGTAGACAGTTCATAGGAGGAGAGTCCTCTAGCGGGCAGGCTACCCATGGAAGGTTTTCGTGGTTTTCCTCTCTGTGTAACACAAATGTGGGTTAATTTCATCAAAAAGTTCTTCACTAAAGCAAATTTCACCCAATACTTGATCCTGGAGTTCCCTTGTGTTCTGGATTAGGTTAAAAATTTTAAAACTACTGAGTTGAACATAGGTAGTCCCAAACTTAAAATTGGGTCGGCTGTTCAACGATGGTTAGAAAATAAATTTAATAAAAACTATCTTTGGAAAATTATGTCTTCTTGGGGCACCTTTAAACAGTAAGTTTAAAAGTCCGATAAATTTGAAAGTACAGTTATTATTTAGATTGAGAAATTAAATTTGCAAGAGAATAAGAAATCATATATTATGTCTAATTTTGATGCATCAAACTATTAGAAAAATTTAGATATAAGTAATTTAATGAGTGTACGTATTGGTTTAATTTCCTAATTATTATAATGTGACATGGTTTAGTAATGTTCATTATTAAAATTGAATCATTTGATTTTTCTAACTTAAATGATAACATTTTTGTTTACAGCAAACAAAAATTCAATATATTATAGGCAAATGTATGTTAATGAGGTGACAATTTTTTAATTTTAAAAAGTGTCTAAACCATTCGCTTGCACTGTTTAGAGAGAATGATACAATGTACCTAGGAACTTCTCTATTTAAATATTAAAACAGCTGTTTAAGACATTAATTTGCAAACTTATCTAATGTGTTATTTTCTTTTGAAAATTCTTTTAATGCCAAAGTACGCCAGATTTTTTAAACTTGAATTTATTTTAGCATGTTATTGTTAAAACAATTAAACCTGAATTCTGAATGATTTGATCATGATCTTTTATAATGACACGTCTAGCCGCAACTGTTTTGTTACTCAAAAAATGTTTGTGGCTCATAGAATGGAGTATAATACTTTAATTTTAGCGGACTGCTTATTTCTGATTCATTGTAGAATTTTTTTTTTCTTTTTGATTCTTAATGTAACTGCATTGATTTGTGGTGGCTCATAGGCAGAGTTGACTTTTTGCCGGCAGAAATTGGTTTTTGCCATGCCAGTGGCAGAAACTGGTTATAACCGGTAAAAACTGGCAGAAACTAAAAAAAATTTCTATATTAGTTCTAGTAATTGCTTAATGATATTTTGTTTAAGTAAACTGAAAAATGTAACTATAACAAACTTTTTAATTCATTTCTTGTAAATATATATTATTTTGTTCACATTAAATATAAAAAGTGCAGTATATCAAATATTTATATAAAATAAAGAATAAAGTAATGTAATACTAAAGATAAATACTAGATTTTAGTTTATTATATTAAATTCTGAAATTCAGTAATTATTATCATTTAACTCTTAACATAACTGAATAGAGCTATTTTCAAATAGTTTTTTTTCTTTTCAAGACATAATTTGCATGGCAACAATCCAATTATAATAATAGTAACAGTTTTAATCTTTGCTGTATGTAAGAGAAACTGCATCAAAACTTTTCTTTTGTTATAGATTACTGCAGAGTGCAAACAATGTAATATTTGATTTTGAATGGTGATAATTTTGTAAATAAATTGTACTTTGTTTAACATTTAATTGTTTTTTTCTATGAATTATCCATTGTATGTCAATCTCAGAACTTACTTTTATGTCATTTTCTGAATTTCTGCCACAAATGTGGCAGAAAAGGATTTCTGCCATGACAGTTTTAACCGGTTTCTACCAGTGGTTTTAACCACCTCGGCAGAAACTTGCCAACCTTGCTCAGAGGATAGAGCCCTTCTCTCCTAATGAGGTGAACTGGGTTCGAATCCTAGCGATGGCTGATTGATATAAATTCTGCACTCGGCTTGCACTGGTTCATGGGTTTAGAGTCCCCTTGTCGCCAGTCTAAGCGGGGTAGGATTTTGTGGTTTTTCTCACCATGTAATGCAAATGCAGGTTAGTTCCATCAAAAAGTCAGGAATGAATGCAAGTTTCTCCCAATACTTGATCCAGGAGTTCCCTTGTCTTCTGGATTGGGTTGAAAATTGGTGGTCTTAAACTCAAAATTGTGTCGGCTGTTCAAATACAGTGACAAAATATAACTGCATTTGGTTTTTGATGATTATGTTTTCTTTTTCCATAGGATCAAAACCAGAGGAACCCAAGTGCTCTCGCTGCAAAGACAATCCAGCAAGAAAATGTAGGGAATGTAGCTGTCGTTTGTGTGGTGGGAAGGATTCTCCTGAGAAGCAGCTTGTTTGTGATGAATGTGGCTTCTGCTTTCATTTGTGGTGCATGGACCCACCTCTAACAGAAATTCCAGAAGAGGAGGATTGGTATTTATTATTTATGCTATTGTTAAATTGCATTTAGGGAAAACCCAGAGAGCTTGGAAAACTCAGGAGATTTGAAATTAATGTAAAAATCTCCAGAAATATGTCAAAAAATTTAAATTTTAGGACTTTTTTGTTTTTAAAATTTTTTTTCCTACTGAAAAAATTGAGATTTTTATTTTGAAATTGCTCACAAAGTTTATTAAATTTCTGATGCAAATTATTGTCTTGCCTTCAGGGACTCTGAGAACTCTGAAGCTGAGTTTTCCATGACGGAGTTCAGCATTACGACTAACTTCTACTCGCTCTACTAGGAAGTATTGTATCTATTCCGATAGTATCAGCGTTTTGAGCCAATTAGAAAAGTTTCATTGTGATACTCATCCAATTTTATGCTTCATTATTCATTTGTTAACCACTCTTCAGAATAATGGCTTTAAGATTTTATTTTGCTGGGTACCGAGTCATGTTGGTATTCCAGGGAATGACCTAGCCAACTCAGCTGCACAATCTGCCACATCTGCTTTAACATTGTCCATACTTTTCTCTGATGTAAAACTGCATATTCGGAAATTTGTGACATCATTGTGGCAACAGCAGTGGGACCTCAAAGTTTTTAATAAATTGCACAGTATTAAAACCGATTTGGGACATTTGCCAGTACTGCCCTTGCGTAGTGCTGATGTAAAGCTTACAGGTCTTCGAATTGGCCATACCTGGTTAACGCACCTTCACTTACTCTTTGGAGAGCCTCCTCCTCTATGCAGTACATGTAACGTTTCTCTCTCGATTCATCACATTTTAATAATATGTCCATGTTTTAACCAACTTCGTTTAACGTTTTTTGGGAGTTCTATTTTATGCATGCAGGATTTGTTAGATGATATTCATCATCCTAACCTTTTTGCGTATTTACGTGCTGTTGGTATTTTTAACTGTATATAAATGTTTTAATGCAACTGCAATTTTATTCACTTTAGAGAACAACTTATTTCGTGTATTTTATATCGTATTCATAACTTTTATCTGATTTCATTCCTACCCTTTAATGTGATTTTATTCATACCTTTTATCTGATTCTATATACAAACTTATTCCATTTACAAACTTATACAATTTTATCAGTTATAATGGTATGACAAATAAAGTGGTGCATGTACTTTGTCTATTGAACTGTTTTACCGTATTGTTTGGCGCAGCATGTCCTCTTTTGGACTTTGTGCCACTAAACCCTACATTCAATTAAAAAAAAAATTCCATGACGGAGTTCTTGATTTCCCCATGCTCCAGAGTTCCAGCAATTTCATTTTATCAATGCAAATGCAGACATTAAAAAGGCCTGCTGCATTGTAACGGCATTGCCTATTTGCAAACTTGCTGTAGAAAGACTATTGTCAAAATAAAAATACATTTATAATAATTTAAGATCAAATATGAAGGAAGGCTTATTAGATTCAATTCTTTTCTTGTCAAACTCAACTGTAAATTAAATTTGTATTTTCTGTGTCAACTGTTGATTATTTTATTTTTTAATGCTCTTTTTTATAATAAATTTTTTTATTTAAAATCTGAAAACTTATAAGTGTGCATATATGTACAGTAGAATCAGCAGTGCCTTAGCGGAATGGGAACTTCAGCTTACTATCTGGAGCAGAGCTGAAGCATCTAAAAAAAATTTCTCTCCATTTATGTAGATACAGCAATATTGGGTTGGAAAAAAAATACTTATTGACTGTATGAGAATTTATTTTATTTACTATTATGTTTAAATTTTACTTTAATGTAGATTTTGATTTTTTTTTTTTTTTTAACTAAATGCAAAGCTTTTTAAATTTTTTCAAGGTTTATAGGTCTTTAATGATAAACAATATTTTCTCTGTAAAGTATTAGGAATAATTTAGATTTGAAAAAGGCAAGCATTTCATAATTTTGTTTAACCCAACCAGATAGTATATTGGCATAATAATAATTTTGTATGTGATTTTTAATATTTAATGCTTTTAAAATTTTTTTGTCCATCAATTTTTTAATCCTTCGAATATGTTCCCATGTTCTTTTAACTTATAAATTGTGTTACTATGCTTATTATTTTTTATAATGCTTGCTCTCTATGGGCTCCCAATTTTTTTGAATCGCAGTCAAATGATAAAAATTAATAGGTTTTAAATATAATTATTGCCCCATTTTAAATCTTTTAATATTTTTGTTATAGTAACCATGCCTCCAAGTTATTGAAAATTTACAATGTTGGAAAAGTTTTCTATACTAATTTTTTGAAAATATTTCAGCTGCAAAAATTTTTAAATGTTAGCAAGAATTAAATTCTGCATATGTCTCAATTCACAGTGTTAAATAAATATTGGATTAAATATTTTTTCATGTATTATGAAATAAGTAATATCATTTATGAATCTAATCAGCTTGACCTACAATCTATCACCAGTGTTTTTTTAATGCAGCTATTACTGGAATAAAACATATTTGAAAATCAAATCAAAAAATTATGTTTTATCAGTCAAAAATTGGATACCCATATTTAATTATCTTTTGATAATTAAATATGGCATATTCAAATCTTAAAGGCATATTCAAATCTTCTTTAAAAAGTGGGAGAAAAGTGAAATTTTTTAAAAAAAACTTCAACTTATCTAAAAAAAATTGCATATTTAATTTAGATTTTTTAAAAAAAAATTATCAGCCTTTTAAAAGAAATTCAAGAAAGTCATATGGATAAAAGCTGGTGTCCATTGAATGCTAAAATCATTAAATTGGTATTACAGAATATAGGTAGGAGAGTTGAAAAACATATATTATATAGGAAATTCAAAACTTAAATAATTCAATTCCAAACCAAAATCTTAATTAATGTAATACTAATTTCATTCAATACTAATCATTTATATTAATGCTAATAATTTTCAATACTAATTTCATTTATAGTTTACTAACGACCCTCTAGAATTCCCTTTATATCTTGAATACCCATAATTTTTCATCACCATTCCCCCTCCCCAAATCTTAACTGCTAACTGAGGGGGGGGGTGAGATAACGTTCACAGTGGGAATCTAGACTTTAGACAATCAAGGGAGGGACTCATCAGACCATTTTTTACAGAAATTAAGTTTGAATCCATCAACTGATGTGTTTTTTTTTTATCTGATTACAATAACTTTTCTCTTCTAATTTACATTTAGGTATTGTCCAGATTGTAAAAATGATGAAACCGAAGTTGTTCGTGCTGGAGAAAAACTGAAGGCGAGTAAGAAGAAATCAAAGATGCCATCAGCTAATTCTTCCACTTCTCGAGATTGGGGTAAAGGTATGGCATGTGTGGGACGTACGAAAGAGTGCACAATTGTTCCTCCAAATCATTTTGGGCCTATACCAGGTGTTGAAGTTGGAAGCATGTGGAAATTCCGTGTTCAGGTCACCTCTTTTTTCCTTCTTTATAATAATTTGGTTATTTATTTTTTAGCTTCAATTGATTTTGTGTGGCATTTTTTTATCATTTATTTATGAAAATGAAAACCCTTTTAAAATTCCAACTTTGAAACAAAAAATTATAATAAATTTTTTCCTTGTGTAAGTTAATCTGAACTGCAAGTATAATTTACAGAAAACAAAATTTATTATCTGAACAATCTTTCAAATATTCTTTTTTTGATGTTAAATTAATTTAATCTTAAAAATAGATTTTCTTATTCTATTTAACTTCCTTTTTAATATATTTTAAAATTTTAATAATCACATTATTTAACTTGTTGCATGTAAATTACCCTTATAATAATTAATGATTAATCAATTAATAAAATAAATTTTTACATTTATAAGCTATACAAATGTAATAAATGAGAATTTAAGTTTTTAAAAATATTTTGGCGTTATGATTCCTATTATTTGAATCTTAAACACTTCATATCACTCTTTATAAATTGTAATATTGTTATAAAAATTTCTTAGTATAAGACATAAGTTTTTATTTATTTCTGAAAAATGACTTTTTAAAAAAATAAGTGGACACAGTTAGATAGTTTTTATTTATTTAAAAGAAATCAACTATGCATTATCTTTTTCTTATAATAGAGGAAATAAAATGTTTTTTTGCAGGTTTCTGAAAGTGGCGTGCATCGTCCTCCTGTTGCTGGTATCCATGGTCGGGACAAAGAAGGTGCCTACTCCATTGTTCTCTCTGGGGGTTATGAAGATGACCTTGTGAGTGAAAACTTAATTTGGTACATTTCTGAAGCTAAACAAAAATTATCTATTTTCTATTCCAATGGCAGATATAAGTGTTTTGTACTGTTTGTCTAAGATAGGTACTCTGCCAGACATTCGTCTGGAGCTGTGGCGGTGACTATGGTAACGAGGTATGATTATTTTAAGCAGGGGTGCGGGTCCCTCTTTAGGACTGGTTTCGGCCAGAGAAAAGGAGACCTCTTACTTCAGTCTATTGCGTTAGCCCTAGAGTGAAGAGAAATGAGAATTCGCGCCTGAAACATTGTTTAGAGAGTTTGATTCCTTTTTTTTTAAATCTTTTCTCTTTTTCAAAAGCTTCTGTTTTAGAAAAAAATTTCAATAAATTTATTTACATAGTAAATTTTTTTTTTTTTTTTTCCTCCTTTAACTTTTTTGAATTTTGAGAAATGCCTTTTAAATTTAAAAAAAGGTGAAATTTTAAAATCACAAGCATGTAAAATTGTGCACAATGTATTTGAGTTTTTTGCTAAGGAAAAAGCCCTTAAATTGCCTCTCCATTAACTATCTCAAGGAGCATATCTGACTACTGGAGTGTCAGGCTTCACACTTAGAAAAATAAAAAGAGAAGTTTCTTGTTTAGGCAAAGAAGGAGTGTTGCGCACTCCTGGAAAATTACTGTTGTACAATGTTTTATTAATAAATAACTCATCTATACATTTATCATACATCGTAAATTGGTTATTAAGAAAGAAAAAAATTACTAATAAAAAACTGTTAGAATTATTTTTTTAATAAATAGTAAGAAAAACTATACAGGTTACATTTAAATACGAGTTCGAAAACGTAATTTAAGCAAAAGTGTAATTTCAGGTTTGATGGGTGCTGATAAAAATCATCGTTGATGGTTTTAGATTTCATTAGATAGTTGTGGTAACTTGCTTTCAGTTTCAAAAATAAAAAATAAAAACAGAGATATTTAATATTTCTCCGACACAGATAACGTGAACTATTTCTATTTTCTGCAAAAATTTTATCTCCTTTCAAAATCAGAGTTGATAAGTTTAAGCGCTTCACTTTTTCCAGAAAATTCAAATAACAAAAGAAATTAACTGCTTTAAAAAATTTGCAAGTTTAGAAATTAAACCATCTAACAGTCAATGAACATTCATAATAAATAACGTAAAATTAAAAAGCAACATTAAAAAAACCTGCACTACCCTTAATGTTAGAATTTGTTCACTTTTTTTCCTTTGTATTTAAAAAAATAGCAACCGAATGAGTAAAGATAATCATTTTAAGTAAGAAAGAAATATCCATGCGAATCTTAAAAAAGTTCTTGAATCAGATTAAACAAGTCTCCTACTGGTGGCTGAGTCAGCCAATCTGGTATACTTCCCATACAAGCTATCATCGAAGCTACCCTCCCTTAAATGCCCTCTTATTGTTTCCATAGCACCAGACTGCCTATCTTAGACAAACAGTTATATATTTTAATTTAAAGAATAAGGTATAACTTTAAAGTTCAATAATAAAATTTAGCTCACTAGTTATGTAAATCAGGAAAATTCGTCAAAATCAGTCTTGAAAAGTGAATGAATTATTTTCTGAATGTTTGCAGCCACTTTAATGTACTTGCTTATCAATATCTTTTAATGTTCTTGTGCTTTGTTACATTTTTTTTAGAATCTCCTTTCATGATTATTTATTGCTTCTATGATATTGTTGCACAAAATAAACCTAAAGACATATTGCATAACTTTTGAATTTAAAAGACGTAAATTTTTAATATGATTTTACTCAATTTAGAATTAGAAGTCATTCAATTTTTTTGTTATAGCAACTAAGTAAAGCAGAATTAGTGCTTTATGATTAATGCTGATTAATTTTTTAGTCCTATATTAAAGATTAAAACGCAAAGTAAGCAATAAACGTAACATTAAAGGGGGAAAGAATTTTAGGTAAAAGGATAAACAATTATTCAAAATTTCTCAACTAAAATTAATTAACTATTAAAAAAAATCAACATTGAAAAGATATGATCTTGTCATATTCATTATATATATTATCTACTGCAGAGTTCTCCCTAGGAATAAAAAATGGCAGGGCGCTTCCTCCCAGAAAAAGGCACTTAAGAGTTTTGAAAAGCACTTAATACCACAAAAATTTATCGAAATGTGTAATATTATGTAACAACTAAATTTAATTCTCCACAATTTTTAAATTACCCTTTTACTTTATTTTATGCGGATTTAAAAAGTAATTCTCACTCATTATCAAGAAAAGAGAAACATTTATAGTTTCTAAAAACTAATTGAAGGCATGCTAAAAAAACAATCACTGTGCAGATTTTTTTTCTTCCAAAAAATGTTTTTTTAAAAATTTTTTATTGATAAACAACTTGAAAGCTTTTTTCTGTAATTCCAACTGAAAATTATAAGAAAAAGATTATTTAAAGATGTCTTCTTTTTTTCTTTTAAAAAAAAAAAAAAAAAAAGAAGTATTTGAAAAATTATTTTGAAATTGAAAATCGCTTAAAAAATTTAACCAGTTGAGAATAATTCTGAGAAAATGAATGCTTGTAATAGTTATCAGAACTAAACTTATAAGCACAGATAATTTTACCAGTGTGTAAATATTATTTAAATAATGAATAAATTTTTTTAAAAAAATTGAATGTGAATAAAAAAGGCAGTGTTTTTAAGCAATGGCGGCTTATTTTTACAAAGAGGGCGTGCAAGGCGGGCCGCCCTTCTGAAAACGTTTAGGGAGAGAACTGTATATTGGTAACTTCTGACCTTGTATATTGTTTTAAATATAAAATGACATATTTTTGTATGTCATTTATAATATATATATATGACTAAAAATGTTCTACTAGAATCTTAACTTTCAGGAAGATTAAAATATTAATGTGTGCGTTTTTCAGGATGAAGGAGAGGAATTCAAATATACAGGAAGTGGAGGCAGAGACTTATCTGGTAATAAACGCTGTGCTGAACAATCCTGTGACCAAACTCTTACTCGCATGAATAAGTAAGTGACTTATTATAGATTTTTAATTACGTTCATTACTTTTTGCTAACTATGCTTTACTTACTCTAAACTTTTTATTGTATGTGTAGAGATTGTTGCAGATGTGTACAGGGTAACAAAAAAGTATAGGGATCACTTTTGTGGTTATCTACCACTAAAGTTTTAAAACCTTTTTACATATATAGCTTACTGATCTAAAGCTCTGCTATTAAACTTTCAATTGCAATACTATTTCATGAAATCACAAAAATGCCTTTGAAGAAATTTGACAAAAAGCTAATTGGTCAAGTACAAGCATTTTTAGAACTTCGCTGGAGCCACAGGATTATACAAACTCATTTTAAAAAGAAAGGTATTGCGATTTCACTCAGCCATATCAGTCGCATCAAGAATTCAAAACTCGGATCGATGCAAAATAATGCAAAACCAAACAGAAGTGGGCGGCCAAGCAAATTGAAGAAATCAGATTTGCAGAAGCTTGATAAGGTGACATCAAAACCGGATCCACCAATACGGGCAAGCATGGCTAAAGCTCTTAACGTGAGTCAGCAAGTTGTAAGCTATCAACTAAAACAAAAGTTGAAGAAAAAATGCCATAAAAAACCTAAATGTCATAATTTAAGTGAGAGATCGGTGCAGATTAGGAGGCAACGTTCATGGCCCCTCTACAAGCTTTTCCGTAAGGACAGATGGCGAAAGTTCATTACAACTGATGAAGCTCGGATCTATCTATCTAATACCAATGCTAAATCTAAAGTTCAATATCTTAGTCGCGGGCAGAACAGATGAGACTTCACACCATCAACCACGGTGCCTCATCCCAAAGGCGTAATGGTTTGGATGGGCATATCCGCCCATGGTGTGACCAAACCTCGGTTTGTGAAACCTGGGGCTAAAATAAATTCTGAGTATTATATACGGAAGATATTAAAACCCTTTCTTAAGGATGATTACTGCAGATTGCACCCTAATGGTGATGCTGTGTTCCATCAGGACTCTGCCCCATCGCATGCATGTAAGGTCACCCAGAAATTCCCAACAGATCAGCAAGTGCAATTCCTAAGACTAGAACAATGGATTCCAAACAGTCCTGATGCTGCACCATGCGACTATTTCCTAATTTCTACATTGAGAGGCCTTCAAAGAGCTATTTGAGAAGAGGTGAAGAAAATCCTCCAGGAAATCATTTTGCGGGCTTTAAAATCATGGCAGAAGCGTTGTAGACAAATCTATTATGCCGGTGGTTGACATATTGAGAAGCATCGCTGAATTTATGTAATAAATTTTGGAAATATAAACATTCAAAAATAATCCCTATATTTTTTTGTTACCCTGTATACTCACTGATTATACTATTGTACTTGTCAAGTAAATTGATAATTGGTAGAATTCCAGTTTTTCAGTTCCTATTTATAACTTGGTTTTGTGAATCAGGTGACAGAAATTTAATTCACTTTCTAATTAGCTAAAGCTGCTAAATTTCTAATGGAACTCTGTGTCTAGTTATAATACAAGTTGATTCTTGCTTACTTATAGCCTCGTTAATATCAGATAAAATTTGTCAACTGGAGATCTGTTTAGGAGTGAAATACACTTTTTTTAAAAAAAAATTTTCATTGCACAAGCAGAATTTATCTCCAAAAAAAAAAAAAAAAAAAATATTACCTATCCAAGTTTAAACTACTTTCAGCCTAGTTGAAGTATTTAAAACTGAACAAGAGCTTTTTACTAACAGTACAAATTGCAAAGAAAAAATTACTGCTAATTTATAAATTATTGAATGCTTTTTTTAGCCATTATTCTTAAGTAAATCAACAAACACACTTGCATACTTAAAAATTATAAAATTTTTATTGCATTGTTATTTTAACACACAAATGTTGAATCACTTATTAGAGTGATTAACTTTTAATTATTTGTTAATTTTGCCCATTATCATCTTAGTTTTTGAAAATCACTATTCTTTTTCTAGCTTTCCTATTTCGAATTGTAACTTTGAGTAATCACTTTTTGACGCAACAATGTGCAATGATTCTATCCAAAATCCATGTGGTCATTACTTTTATGTACAAAAGTCAAGCATACTTTTGAACTGGACATACTCTTAACCTTTGCTTACAACCGTGTACTTTAAAAACTGTATCTACATTATACACAATTTGCATATTTGAGTAATTACTTTTTGCAGTTATTTTATCTGAGATCCACTTAATTTTGCCATTTTTAAATTTTTTTTTAGTTATTTCTACAAATTTAGACATTTATTAAAATACTGATGTTATGAGGCCCTAAATTTTAAATACGGAGGAAAATACAAATATATATTTCAGGAATTTTAATCTTTTTGTAACCAATTTCCAGAGGACTCAAATATACGAGGGTTGCTATTTCTGGCCTTGGCAACAGTAAGTGTTGCTAGGCGACCGCAGACGATTTTAATCGAATGTTTGATATTTTTAAACATAAATTCATCAGACGATTTAATCATTATAGCTTCATTTGTGTTGTTGACAGTAAATTGAAAAGTTCTTCTCTTTCAAAAAATGGAATTGAATCGTGAACATTTTCGTGCCATTATTTTTCATAACTTTCGACATGGATTGTCAAGACAAGAGTGCTTCGATGAACTTAATTCTTTTTTCCGCGATAAAGCGCCATCCTACAGCACTGTAAAAAATTGGTATAACGAATTTAATCGTGGTCGATGTTCGATCCAGGACGAGTCCCGTGCAGGTCGTCCAAAATCCGTTGTTGTGCCAGAAAAGATCGATGCTGTGCGTGAACTGATAAAGCAAGATCGTCATGTGACATACCGTGAGATAGAGGCGTCTTTGGACATTAGTATGACTAGCATCAATAAAATATTGCATGAACATTTGAGCGTAAAAAAAATTTGTTCGCGTTGGATCCCGCATAATCTGACAAACGCTCAAAAAAAGGCTCGTGTCGATTGGTGCAAGGAAATGTTGGAAAAATACGTTCAAGGTACATCAAAGGCTGTGTATAACATCTACACAGGTGACGAATCATGGATCTATGCATATGAGCCGGAAACAAAACAGCAATCAACTGTATGGGTCTTCCAAGACGAGGCAAAACCAACAAAAGTTGTTCGAGGAAGAAGCACATCGAAACAAATGATTGCCTGTTTCTTCGGCATTAACGGTCATGTGGCAACAGTGGCGTTAGAGCAACGCAGGACGGTCAATTCTGAATGGTACACGACCATTTGTTTGCCAGAAGTCATCGGAGAAATTCGAAAAAAGCAGAAGAACAGGCGAATCATTCTTCATCATGACAATGCGAGCTCTCACACATCGACTCAAACAAAGGCATTTCTGACGGAGCGAAAGATCGAACTGATGGGTCATCCGCCGTACAGCCCTGATTTGGCACCCAATGACTTCTTCTTATTCCCACACATCAAAAATAAATTACGTGGACAACGATTTTCGACCCCCGAAGAAGCGGTTGATGCATTCAAAACGCATGTTTTGGAGTTACCTCAATCGGACTGGAAAAAGTGCTTTGAAAATTGGTTCAAACGCATGCAAAAGTGTATCGATCATCATGGAGAATATTTTGAAAAACAATAAAACCAATTTCGATCCTACTTATTTGTTTTTTCATTATTAGGCCAGAAATATAAATAGCAACCCTCGTATATATGTATTTTTCTTTAGGTTGATAAACTGTTTTTGTTTAAAAATGTGAAATTTTTCATTGAAACAAAAGAGCCTTTATTTTATTGGTGTCTTAAAAACTTATTTTTATTTGCTTCCTTATTTAATTAATTTATTATTATATGTATTTATTTTTTAAAATTATGATTTTAGAAAATGTCAAACAGAAATATGAATAGTAACTAATATATATAGAGAGAAAATCAATTCAAATCTACTTTGTCAATTACAAGCCTACTATTGTAGTCAATTTAAATCAAATGAATTGGTAGAGTAATCTAGTTTTTGTATTTTATTTTGCTTTATTAATTATTATAGCATCGAAAGTTATCTACATGGGTAATAGTTCATGCATTGTATAACAGTTAGTGTTAAATTTCTATTTTCTAAAATCCCATGGAATTTTTAATTTTTTATTATTTTTCCATTTCCTAAGAGTGTTAATCTTTGGTTCATTTTGTGATTTGCATGTCCTGTGAAAGAAAATATTGTATTTAGTGTATCTTTATGCCTTTTTCTCAGGGCTTTAGCTTTGAATTGTAATGCCAAACTGAACAAAGATGGAGCAGAAGCTGAAGATTGGAAGGGTGGAAAACCTGTCCGTGTAGTGCGCAATTGTAAAGGAAGTAAACATTCTAAATATGCTCCCACAGAAGGCAATCGATATGATGGAATTTATAAAGTAAATCTACCTTACCAATTCAATACTTGCTTTTAAATGTTTTGATCTTAACAATTTAAATGTTTCCCCTGAAAATTAAATTATTGTTGCATTATACTAAACATGATTTAAATTCTAGATTTAGATTTTTTGTGAGAAATATGATAGATAGGGCTGATTGTGCTCCGTAAAAAATCCGGATTTCCAGAATTTTCGCTAAGAGTGATCCGGAAGTTTCCGGAGATCAAAGGTCCAGGCGTTTAAAAAAATCATTGATCACAGAAGTTTCCGGAAATCAAATTTCAAAGGTGGAACTTAAAAACACAGTTTATTTTATTTGTTTGTAAGGGAGAGCCAGAGAGATACTTTATAAGCTTATGTTCATGATTAATATAAATTTTTTATCAGTAAATAGTTGTTATAATCATAAACTCCAAAAAAAAAAAGAAAAAAAAAAGACATTTGTAAATTTTAATTACTTCTCCCGGTCATCATATTTATGTGTAAAATTTTAAATATATTTTAAGTAAATTAAGAAATATTGAGAAAAAGAAAAAAAAAATTGTTTAAGTTTTTTTCTAATTTTTCAATTCAAACTTTTTTTTTTTACTTAAGAAATTTTCCGGAATTTTGACTTGGGCTCACAATCACCCCTGATTAGAGTTAAATGATCTATTGCAGTGATCTGAAGTAGTACACTGCAATAGTGTAGTCACTACTTTTTTTTCGTAGTTTGTAGTGTAATTTTTGTGCTACTTTTTATAAAAATTAAAAAAAAAGTAATGTAGTGAGTTGAGTAATGACATACAAAAAAAAAAACTTAGTTTCCAATTAGTAGTTAACAATTCCTCGCAGCTACGTTTAACATTAATTTAGAAAAGAAAACAGTCTTAAAGGAACGAATTTGATGGGTACAAATCTTCGCGGGTCTGTCAATGGATACAATGAAAGTGACCCTATGGCTGCAGTTGAGCATTAACAAAAATTACATATTTAAAATCGCATATAACTCATATTTAAACTAGCCATTACAAAAAAATAGATAATTAATCACTTTGTTCACATTTTAACATGCAAATGCAAACTTGTGAGACATTGATGTCATTTCAAAGGAAGAAAACGCATTTTCAATGTACTTAATTTCTTAGAGGAAATAAAAAAGCGTTGAACAATTAAAGAATTGCAAATATTTGATAATTTCACACTTCTTAAATTAGATATTCCCTGTCTAAAAAAGAATAAGCTAAAGGTTAAATGAGCAAATTCGAAAAAAAAATGTTTTGGGATATTAAGATAAGAAGATTTTTAAAATTTTGAATTGTTTCTTTTTGAGCTTTTCAGATTAACATTCTAAGATATTGCAAGTAGTGGCTCATTCCTAAGAATATATTTTCCCCAAATTTTAGATTGTAAAATATTGGCAAGAAAAAGGAAAATCTGGATATCTTGTCTGGAGGTACTTACTCAGAAGGGATGATCCCATCCCTGCTCCTTGGACAAAGGCTGGAAAGAAGAGATCCCTGGAATTAGGCTTAGAAATGCAGGTAGTTATTTTAACCCTGATACTTACTCTGTAGTTGATGATTAGATTTATAAACAATGTTTTAAAAATGAACCTATTTTTTTATGTTCAGAAAAAACTATCTTTAGATAAATGTTCTTAATTTATAGATAAGTTAAAAAAAAAAAAAATTGTGTTTGAAAATATTAAAGGGATTAGAGGAATTAGGCTTAAAATCGCTTTCAAATACTCTAATCTCGTTAACTTAAATTACTTTAACATTGACAGTGTTTTAAGACTGGCCTAATTTGCTTAATTCATTGTTTTTAAAATAATGTAGCTTAAAAGAAATATTATTTCATTTTTTTATTATTAAATTAAAGATAATTGAAAAAAATAGTGTTTGCATTTTTTGAAAATGTTGTCTACTTCCCGAAAAGCCAGTTGTCTGTTAAACGAATATTTAGTTGTCTAGGGTTAATCTATTCATGTATGCAATTTTAAATTGTAATTTTTTCTTTGTTCATGGAAAGTTTTATTTTCTTGCTACTGACATACATGTAAAAATTGAAACCTTCCAAATTTTATAATTTTAAAAGCCTGTCTTATTACAATTATGTTTTTCCCACTTCTGAACTAAATTTCTGTATGGTTTCAATTATTAATTTTTTAGCAAAATTAAAATTACTCTCTCTTTTGAAGAAAAAACATATAGTACATGTTAGAAACTTAATTTCTTTAAATCATCCTTTTAGAAACTTTGAACAATACAAAGCTTAATAGATCAGGGATGAGATTCTTCCGCAGATTCGCGGATTTCCACTTTTTTTCAAATTTTTCCATATTTCCCCGCTAATTTTCGCTGAATTTTTTTTTTATTTATTTATTTTTTTTTTGCACAAGTTAAAATATTTTATGATGAATTTAATTTTCCATGGAACGAAATTATTGAAGTCTTTATTCCTCCCTCTGAAGTTTCTCTAAAAATCATTTCCTTGGGATAAAACTGGTTAACCTTTATACAGGGATGAGAATTTTTTTGTCTTTAGAATTTATACCTTTTTTTTTCAAAAATTCCAATTCTCTAAAAGTTTCGTTTTTTTTTTTTTTAAATATCCCGTTTTTTTNTTTTTTTTTTTTTTTTTTTTTTTTTTTTTTTTTTTTTTACAAATATCTCCCTTTTTGTTAAAAAATTCAGTCGTTGAAGTAAAATAATTATATTACTTTACGATTTTCAAATATAAACAGAAAATTCAAACTACGTCCTAGCTTCTAACCCTTCCGCATTTTTACTTATATTAGCTATTTTCTACGATTTCACACACAGAAAATAATATTTTCTGTGTTTTTTATCCGTCGGCTGGATAGCTCGTATTTTCGTAATTCAGACGTCGCTGCTTCTTGTATTCTGGCGTGAAAAAAAATGGAGGTTGATTTGCGGTGAAAATATTTATTTGCTCATTCAGTTAATCTTGTAAATTTTTATTTATTATGTCTAAACAAAAGCAATACAAATAAGCCTTTTAGAAATCCCAAGTCCAGACTCTGCAAATAACTCGATTTTTATTCACTCAATTTTAATATCAATCATCGATTTTCGTATTTACCTGATTTAAAAGTTGCGCATTGCGATTGTTATTTACGCTATTTAAATATCGTACATTATGATTCTTATTTACGAGATTTAAAAATCCAATATTGTGTTTTGTATTTATGCATTTTTAAAATCGCGATTTTTTTATCAAACATCGATTTTCGTATTTACCTGATTTAAAAGTTGAACGTTGCGATTCTTATTCAGGCAATTTAAATATTGTACATTGCGATTCTTATTTACGAGCCTTTAAAACCCTATGTAGCAATTCGTATTCACGCGAGCTTAAAATCCAATGTCGTGATTCGTTTTTGCTGTTGTAATATCGCTCGATTTGAAAATTTAGCATCGTGATCTAAAAATTACGCATCATGATTTGTATTTTCGCATTTTTTAAATTCGATGTAGAGTTTCAAATTCACGTAATTTAAAAGCCTCGTATCGGGATTTATAATCACATGGTTTACAAGTTTAAAAATCGCAATTTTTTTGTCAAATTTTTGTTTATATACATATATATATTTTTCTTCTTGGATTTCCTCTCTTTTACTTTCTGACTACTCTCATCCCTGATAGATAGATAATAAATAATTCTTTAATAATCAATTAATAAAAAAATGCTCCCGCTTTATTACTCATTACCATGTGCTTCTTATAATATTAAGGCAGAGAATTTTTTGATGGAATTTCTCAATTCGTGGTTGTTAATCTAATTCATATTTCTTATTTTCTGGTTGACAAATTTGTATAATTCACTTATTAGCTTTTAAAATTAAATGTGTTAGCAGCCAGAGTTTTGAAATGCTTAAGCATTCCACCAGATAATCATATGTACTTTTTTTAATTGATTTGAAACATACTATTTTATTTGTTTTTTAATTTTAATGACCAAAGTGTTTCTTCCAATGGATTTTTATAAGGTTTTTCTTTTCCTGGCGAACATTTTATTACTGAAGATTCCTTCAATATTACTAAAATCTTATGGCCATATATTTATTTAATAGATTTGTGTGACTTTAAATTAAGATTATGCAAAAAGCGGCTTGGAAGTTTTTATTTTTTTTTCTTTTCCTCCCCCCTTTTTTTGTTCAGTGAGAAAAATAAAGCCAACTTCGAGAGTGGTACTCTTTTGCATCATGAACATGGGACTTAGGCTCCTATTATTTGCAAAACAAAAGCCAAAAGTAAAAACTGAGTTTGTAAAAAAAAAATGATAGTCATTATAAATAAATTTAAAAAAAAGTAGGGATCAACTTCTGGATAAAAGAGGCATTTGATCTAGACTAAATGATGTTATTCATTATAAGTGTTAAAAGAAGTCCATTCAGTGATTTCTTATTACCGTGTTGAAAATTTGTAAACTGGAGAATAAAGAATTTATCAAAATTTTAAGCACGAAAAATCATAAGAATCAAGAATGATGAGAAAATTTAAAACTAATCAGTATTTAATCAAATGTCGACAAGTTTATTCTGTATATCTTTTATTGATCTATTTTTGCATTATTTAGTATCCAGAAGGCTACCTTGAGAAAAATGAAAAGGAAGATGAAGATGGGACAGCCACCAAAACACAAGGGAAAAGAAAACATAGTGGTATTTTATTATTTCTATAATTTCAGTTATACAGTCGAACCCCGCTATAGTGAACCGTCTGCGGACTCAGTAATGTGTCCACTATAACCGATGGTTCACTATATCCAAATTTTTTGCATAAGGCAGTTGAATGATTGAAAATTGGCTTTGCAATTTTGCATAAGTTATTAAAAAATTATTAACTAATTAACAGATAATAAAGCAAAAATTGATGGGAAAAGTAATTACGTCGCTAAATATTAGTTTTATTTTCACTTTTTATGAAAAAAAATTTGTGATTTTTGATTGAACACAATTTGATTTTAAATTAAGTTCATCAATTTTCTTATCTACAATGTGCAAAGAATGCAAGATTTTTACATTTTGAACAAGATTTCGAACCATCTTAACAAAGCATCTTCTATGTTTTCTCTTTCAGCTCCACGCAGTTTTTTCAATGAAACCATGTTTTAGTCATATGCCGCAAGAATTGCACTTCGATTTTTCCAAATTTTTGAAACTGTAGATTTTGACAAGGAAAATTCCTTACACAGTGTCGATTGATTGGTTCCATCATCAATACGCTTTACAATTTTAACTTTGTCCTCTATCTAAAATGCTTTTCTCTTTAAGAGAATTTGCCATTTTCACTGCTTTTGAAATAAAAATCTTGTCTTAAATAGATAATGTAAGAATATGAAGAGAGCAGCTGTAGAATGAGTTAAATTGTTCAATTGTTCCCCTTCTTGATTGTCAAGTGGTGATTTGTAAAGAATATGGTTTGAACAAATAAGAAAATTCCAAAAATTCAGCAGGTGGCCAAGTTAACTAGTTGTAGAGCAAGCTGGGGGAAAAGAGATAAAGCAAGGCTTGTCAGGGAGGGGGGAGTATAAGATAAATTATCTGTTTGACATTTATTACAGTATAGTTAAAAGTGATAAGTATAAAGGAGAGTAATATAACACATTTTATAGGAAAGCATTCATTTTCAGTCCCAACACCTACAAGTTTAAAGATGGAGGACTGAAAAAGATATTTAAAGAAATGAAATTTGAGTCCACTATAACCGAGTTTCCAAGTTCTAAGCTGTTCACTATAAGTGTTACAAATAACATTATTTAAATAGGAATGCGGATGGGACCGCTAAAAAAGTTCACTACATCCGAGTGTTCACTATATCCCAGGTTCACTATAGCGGGGTTCGACTGTATATGTAGATTGTTATTTAAAATTTGAGATTAACTTTTACTGGTGTTAAAATATTTATTTTACAAGAAGTTTCAGTATGAGAATGCAGTTTCACAATCTAGTTGAAAACAAATGGAACTAAAAATTTTAACTTTTGTTGTTGAAACAGTAACTTTCATTAATGTTTAGGGATGTTCTTTAATCATTGAACCATATCCTAGACTAAATTGATGTGTACGTTTTTTCCCGATTTTTCTCAGAACTTGCAGCAAGTTAAGAGGCCATCACTACCCTGGTTTTTTTTTTTTTTTTTTTTTNTTTTTTTTTTTTTTTTTTTTTTTTTTTTTTTTTTTGAAAAATCATAATGCTTTTGTATCTTTCCTATTTAATGTGCTTGCTTTGAGTAATCGCTTTTTGACTAAACAGTGTAAACTATTCCTCATTGAAGTGTAGATATTTTCTAATTTTTCACAAAACTTCAAGTGACTTTAAAGGCCGTCACCGCCCTGGTTTTTTAAATTCGCAAATTACGAAACATTGTAGAATGATTCTACATTAAAGTGTACATATTTTCTGATTTTTCCCAAAACTTGAAGTAAGTTAAGATGCTTCTTTCTTACCCCTTGAACTCAAATGTCTGAGAAGAGAAGGAGAGGGAAACATATAAATATGCTTTTAATCAAATATATTTGATTTTCGCAAATTAAACGATATTGGATATTTACTTTGCAGTATCTTCAAAGCATTTAAATAAAGTGAGTAGCCAAGAAAGTAAGTGCCAAGAAACAAAGTTAAAACTCGATAAGGCACGCATACTTCTTGTGCTACTTTATTGAGGCAAAACTTAGGCCCCAAACTCAGATATACAGCGGACACTAGACACTTTCGAAAGAAAGATCGCCAGAGCCATCTTTATCGAATTCAAGAAAGGGGGTGCTGACAAACCACATATAACTTCGAGCTCTACCGACTCTATAAGCAGCCCCAAATTTCACAAATAATCCGCAGTAATAGGCTGGGGTGGTGGGGTCATCTATGGAGAAGCTCTGAAAATTGCGCCATGAGAATCGTCACCTTTAAGAACGCCCCCTACTAAATGGCTCAACGACATCGAAAAATTTTTGAAAACCCTAAAGAATAGAAATTTAAAGGAAGGATGGATAGGAGGTACTGGCGTTTGTCAGCTGTTGAGACAGCCAAGGCCTGCAAGGGGCTGTGGTAAAAATATTACTGGTATTTTAGTTTAGAATCTTAATCAGGGTTGGCTTTTTGCCGAGAGAAACTGGTTTTTGCCAAGCCAGTGGCAGAAACTGGTTATAACTGGCAAAAACTGGCAGAAATTAAAAAGACGTCTATATTAGTTCTAGTAGTTGCTTAATGATATTTTGTTTAAGTAAACTGAAAAATGTAACTCCTAAACTAAATGTAACTGTAACAAACTTTTTAATTCATTGTTTGTAAATATATATTATTTTGTTTATATTAAATATATAGAGTGCAGTATATCAAATATTTATATAAAACAAATCGGCCCCATTTCCTGAAACTTATTTTTCCAGTCAAGTTTTGAAAACTACCCCAGCTGCTACATGGCGGTCCAGTTTTAAAAAATATGCAATAGATGAAAGTTTCACAAATCTTGCTTGTTCCCTTGGTGGCAATGCCTGCTAGTTCTGCTGGACTTTAGAGAATCTTCTCAAATTTCTCTTTCGGACATAGCAAATTGAGAAATTGTTTAGGTTTAGAAACTGCATCAAAACTTGTCTTTTGTTATAGATTACTGCAGAATGCAGACAATGTAATATTTGATTTTGAATGGTGATAATTTTGTAAATAAATTATACTTTGTTTAACATTTAATTGTTTTTTCTATGAATTATCCATTGTATGTCAATCTCAGTACTTACTTTTATGTCATTTTCTGAATTTCTGCCAGTTTCTGCCACAAATGTGGCAGAAAAAGGTTTTTACCATGCCAGTTTTAACCGGTTTCTACCAGTGGTTTTAACCACTTCGGCAGAAACTTGCCAACCTTGATTTTAATTGTTCCTTTTTCTGAAAAAAATTATACCAATACAAATTATTTAAGTATTATAATAATTAGGACCTTTATTCATATGCATGTTTATTCTTGGAATTTCCAAGAACATGTGATGAAAGAACTCATTCTAAGAAGATAAGGGTAAACATTCCTTTTTCACCTCTTTCAAAAAACCAATTTCTTTTATATCTCAGGACAATAGATTGGAGTGGAAGGTGAGGGTGAGGAGGAAAGGTCACCTTAGATAAGTGCAAATACCATTAAGGCAGATTTGATTAAAAACTGTTCATGTTATACATTAAGTAGGTGTTCATGTTCTCTATAGGAGACAAATTTCTATCTACATTTATGGAGGAAAACAAAAATTTAGACAAATAATCACTTTAGTCTGGTTGTCAGTTTTCTTAGGTAGTCACTTTGACAGAGTCCACTTATTTTATAAGATATTTATTGTTTTGTTATGAAAGCCTTTTTTCACCTCTATGTTATTGAAAAATATATTGCAGTTATTTAAAATGAATTAAATATCTTAGATAACAATTCAAAATTATGAATTTTAAAACACAATAAAATAGATTGTTTCCCCCCTTTTTACTGTGTTATAAGGTAATGTTATGTGACAGAGCTTCTTTGTTCAGCTCATAATATTCAGTATTATTTAATTATAATTAAAACTTATTTAAAATCTCTTTTGGTTTTACCTTTTCTTGACAATTTAGGCTCTAACGACATGATAATTATAAAATTTATAAATACTAAATATCATTGTGTTAAGTTTAAGTAGAAAACAAATATTTCTCACTTAATCAGGGTACGTAGCATTTTTAAAAGGTGCTTATTTTTGATTTATGTTTTTTAAAAGCCCTTAGAGGTCCTTATTTTATTTGAGATTTGTAAAAAGTGCTTAAATTTAAAAAGAGATTTTTTCTGTGTCGTATTGATTGGCTAAAATTACAAAAAAAAAAAAAAAAAAAAAAAAAAAAAAAAAANCATGATTTTCACAATTTTCTCTGCAATATTTATCAGAAACTAGTTATTTTATCGTGATTATGTAAGTTTTTTAAAAATGTTTAAAAATTTTATTGGTTTTATGTTTATAAATTAAGAACTTTAAGCAATAGAATTTTTTTTATTACTGCACAGATCCTAATTATGAAAAACTTTTTTTTTTGTTTTTGAAAAGTGATTAAAAATATTTTTTGAGTGCTTAAAAAGTGCCTGTTTTTTGTTGAAAAATCTGACTATGCACCCTGTTAATGCTAATTTTGATTTTTATAGATTTGGGTTCTGATTCTACTAAAAAGAAGAGAAAAACCATTGCCTATAGTCTTTCATCAGATGTGGAAAATTTAATCAAAAAAGACAGCGTGAATAAAAAGATTTGGGATGAGTGTTTGGAAGTTGTCTCTGAAGGAGCTCAGGTTTTGTGTTTTAATTTTGACGCCAGTAGCAGAAAACCTCCAACACGTCAGTGGGTGCTGCAGATTATAGACAGCATCTGCAGAATATTTTTCATTTAAGTTTTATTTTTAAAAAAAACTTAAGTGGAGAAATTGCTGATACTCTTTTGAACAACTCTAAAGTTATTTTAAAGATTAAAAAGTTGAATTCCAAGAACATCACAAAGAAAAAAATAAAATTAAAAAAATATCCATTGCTTAACTACACAGGCTGAACTGTATAGAAATTTATACTTTTCAGTATTGTTATTTAGAGTTCAACTTAAATTTCAACAACATAGTTTTTATGTATGATTTTTAGGGACCTTAATTTTGCAAATTTTGCTACATGTATATTAGAATAAACTGGTCTTTACAATAATGATCTCTGTCTGGCTGCATTAGGGTTTCAGACAAATTTTAATTTAGGAAAATAGTGCTGCTGATTCTCTGCTACTGGGATATTAACTTATTTATTTTTGTCCTTGATTTATTTAAATAACTAATGTAATGTATTGATTTTATTTACATCTTAAAGCATTTTTTCTCACTGTAATAGTTTTCTAACAACAATAGAAAAAAACTTTTCAGGATATTCTTTCTTAGAGGTTAAGAGTACTTTAAGAAAGTTTCGTAAAGCACAAGGCTTTGTCCTTTTTTCCCTTTTTATTCTTTTTGGCTGTTCTTAAAATTGTAAATAGAAGCTCAGTACCAATACTGTAGCTTGTATTTATTTTTCCTTTTTAAAAATGAGATATTTTTCTTTACCAAGTCGCTTTTCACCATGTATTATGCAAAAGCATGCTTTTCACATTGTTCTATTCAGCGTTTTCACAATTCATTAAACAATCTATTTACTTTGGCGTACCGTCGGTTCATAGCGTATGAAAGCGCTATTAATTTGACAGGTTTGATGAAATTCCAGCAAGTTCGCGTGTGCGTCTACTGAGCTGGGTTCGGTGAGATCATTGCACTCTCATGTGCTACTACTCTATTGCATTTTGCAGGATATTTTCAATTTTAGGCTTCATTTTCCACCTTCTGAGATGGAACCAAAAAATCTCTAGATCATTTTATAATGTCTAATATAATCAAGAAAAGAGTTCTTTGTCAGAAACTAGTTGTTTTATAGTGATCATGTGTGCGTCTACTGAGCTGGGTTCGGTGAGATCATTGCACTCTCATGTGCTACTACTCTATTGCATTTTGCAAGATATTTTCAATTTTAGGCTTCATTTTCCACCTTCTGAGATGGAACCAAAAAATCTCTAGATCATTTTATAATGTCTAATATAATCAAGAAAAGAGTTCTTTGTCAGAAACTAGTTGTTTTATAGTGATCATGTGAAGTCTTTAAAAATTATTTTGCATTTTGTTAATGTATATAGTGCTTAAAAATATTTTTTGAGTGCTTGAAAAGTACTTATAAGGTGCTTATTTTTTGTTGAAAGATTTGGCTACGCACCCGGATAGAGCCCTGAGACAATGCAGGAATATTTTGAAGATGATTAGGCAAGAAATAACTTTAAAAAACACTTCATTTTCTTCATTTTATATTCCAATTTTTTATTAAAATTTTACATAAGTTACCTAATGTCTGTATTCAGCAATGTTTATAAAATGTGTGTTTATTTCTATCATCTGTATTCAATCTGAGGCCTGTCCAGGCCGAATTTACTACCGTTTAGCGGTACCTTCACAAATTCAACTTTAGGAAAAACGGTAGTTTCACAAAATAATGTTTCTTAAAATTTTATTTTTGTATCCCTTAAGAAATGATAAATCCATATTTTTGTGTTGATTTTTTAATATAGTTTTTAATTTTTCACAAATTATGTCTAAATTTTCACAAAATAGGTACCTTTCAGAAAAACCTAGACAGATCCCTGTCAATAAAGTTTATGAAACTGAAAAAAAGTGCTTAAAAGTGAATATGTGAATTCCCCCCCCCCCTCAAAAGTGATTATTTTCATTGTGTGTTTGTAAAAAGGGCTTAGTTTTCAAAAAGAATTTTTTTTTAATTATTTTAATTATTGAAATGTGCAATAAGGTTTTATGCGAGGAATACTTTCTTGGTGTCATTTTGAAAAACTGTGTAACTTGTAGAATTTTTGCGTGGATTGTAATTGTTCTATTTATTTATATTTTAGGAATTTTTGAAGAAAGTAGAAAGTTGTTTTTCCTGCATTTGCTGTCAGGAAGTTGTATATAATCCAATAACAACTGTTTGCTCTCACAATATATGTAAAGTAAGTTGATTAAAAAGTATTCTCTAGTGGTGAACAGTAAAATTATACAATAATACATTGACCTTTTTCCCTGAATATGACATCAAGTTTTTAGATAGACATATAGTTATTAACTGTACAATGTTTTTCATAAACATGTATGTAGGCTATAGTGGCTGATTATAATATTTTTTTTTCAGTCATGCATGGGACGTTCCTTCAAAGCTGAAGTGTATAGCTGTCCAATGTGTCGCCATGATTTAGAGAAAAATATTCTTAAGGATAAAAATGAAACTCTACAAAAAATCCTCTCCAGTTTATTTCCTGGTTATGAAGCTGGGCGTTGAGAATCAAGCTTTGAGATCCATTTTAAAATAAGAATGTGTTCGTATGAACCAATGCCATATTTTATATTCTTAAAATAATATTATTTCATTTTGTTGTGATGACAATTGCTTACCTTTTTTTATTCTTAATTGCATATTCATCTTAGCATCATCAAATTGTGTTGTTGTCCGGGTTAATGTATTCATGATTTTTCAAAGTAAAATTTTAAGAAATCTAATTTTTAAAAATTCTTTTTTCCACTTCTGCCTATCAAAAGCTCAGATGAAATGTATTACTTGATTGATGTGATACTTGATTTCTAACGAAATGTGATACTTGAGCTCTGTGATACTTGATTTCTAACTAAAATGATTGAAATTAATATTTAATAGACAGAAACTGGATGCTCCGAATTAATAAAACATTTTGATATAAATCAGATTTTTGAATTTTTTTTTTTCGTTTATCACTCAAAACTCCAAAACGTTCTAATAATTCTTAATATCATTTAAATACAATACCATAATTAAAATACTTAATATTTTTAACTGAAATCTTTAAAATTATTATTGTTTTATGATTGCAAACTAGTTGCTGAAAAAGCAAAATCAGTAATTTTTATGCCAGATAAACACCCTTATGAACTGTAATGATTGACAATTGGATATCCAATGAAATGTAATTAATTTAAATCAGATAACATTTTTAAAAAAAATAAACTGCAGTACCTCGATAAACCAATTTTCTCGTGTGACCATTCATTCCGAACAACCGATCCGGAAAAATGACTCGTTTGGGTCATCATAAAATTCCATAAAGGCATAGAAAGTAATAATGAAGTAATGAACTTGAAACTTTATATGATTACAACAAGTATAAAACATTTTAAAGGAAAAGATTAAGTACTTAATAAAAAAATATTTAGGAAGCAATAAAAAGATAATTAGGAACATTTATGTATTTAAAATATGTAGAAATGTTTGTTTGAACAAAAAATTTTCTGTTCACTGCAAAAAATAAATATTCGCATTAACAGATTCCTCTTTTTTCTTCTTTTTTTTCTCGGTAAATTAAGATGAAAACAGAAAATGTCTCATTGTTTCAAAGGCTTCATGGCACTCTGCAGATGTTTCTGGTAGTTGTGATTCCATTTCGCCGTCTTTATCTGCGTCATTTTACTTTTCAGTTTTTGAAATCATTTTTTTAACCGACATCAGAAGCTTTAACATTTTCATATGCTGATACATAAACATCAAATGTGATAATTCAATATTTCCCACTAGCTGTAATAAATCCTCATTTTCTTCTCAAAACAAAAGGGCTTCAATTTTCTTTTTCTTCTTCTTTTTTTTTTATGCCAGTAAAATTCCCGAATAATATATGCAGAAGTCTTCTAGTTACGAAAAAGTTCTAAACCGGTTTTGTTTACATTATAAAAATAGCATTTGTGATGAGACTATTGAATTGAGATTATTCATATGGGAAAACAAAATATATGATAACGATGAATCAAGATTCAACTATATTTTAAATTGCTCATGACAGAGTAAATACTATGCATTAATTATTTAAAAAAATTTAAAAGTGCATGTATTTTAACAAACATTAAACTTAATGAGTAAAACCACTTTTATCCACGTTAGATATTTTCTTTTGTTTAATTTATTCTATTTTGAACATTAAATACTTCACATAAATGACCTATCATTATTTCTTTGTACTAAGTCTACATTATCCATAAAATCAGACTTCTAAAAAAATAAAAATTACAACCCTAATAGATTTATAGATAAAAATATTTTCAACTTAAATCAATGATTTAAAAAAAAAAATAGTCAAATGATTTAAATCAATCTAACCCTAGTTGTTGAGGAAAATTTTAGATTTTTAAAGTCTAAGTTATGTGTTTATCTTAACATTTAATTGTGTTGTCAGAAATTATTGTAGATTTTTTTTTTTTGTGTATTAAGTTCTGTTGGCATCTTAACAACATATTGTGTTATGACTGATTGCAGATTTTTATACCTTAAGTTGTGTTTACAACTTAGCAGCATTTTATTGTAGTTGAACAAATGCATATTTTATATTAAATAATCAAATATTTTTTGGAAATAAATTCAGAAATTGTGCAATTAACCTCTGTGTATACTTTAAATATTTGTTTGTTCTGTGTTGAAACTTTGGAGCAATATTGTTGCCATACTTTTTTCCAAACGATGAAATTTTTACATGAAAATATTCATTAGAATTGTATCCACAAAAGTACTTTTAAGTTTCTAGAATCTCCACTGAATAACCGCACAATAAGCGGAAACATAATAATACCTTTATTTTATATCCGTCACTGAACAGCCGACCCAATTTTGGGTTTACAACTACTAATGTTAAACTCTGTAGTCTTGTAATTTTGAACCAATCCAGATGACAAGGAAACTCCTGGATCAGTACGCCCAGAGATATGATTTGTTATGGTAACATGCAGGACTTTGAGACTCGACAGATTTAATGTGCATCAGTCACCATTTACTACACGGGGAGTCTTCGACCGAACTAATGCCTTTATTGAATTAGAAATGTTTTTGACCAAAAATGGTCTCTTAAACAAATTGAAAGTGTGACTTATCATTTTAAGCCAGTCATCTGAGAGAAACATATTGGAGTAAAAAAAGCACAGAATATCTTGAAATCTGAAATCCAGCCTCGTTGCAAAGTACTATGCTGTCACATATTTTTTTTTTTTTTACTATATAATGTGGTTCAAAGTTAATAAAAATCTCAGAAATAAAATCAGGGTAGTTTTCAAACTGTGATTTTTATAAATCTGGAAAAATCCGGAAATTTAAACATCCGAAAAATCAGGGTAAATAAATAATGTTAAATTTAGGTACTTTAAAGTGAGATGTAAAAAACTGTTACAAAAACGATATATATATATTTTTCGGGGGGGGGGGATTGGTTTTGTAATATATTTTTTTTAAAAATATTTTCATGAATAATAGCAATTATAAGTGATTTGTAATATATTTTATGCAAAGGAATAAAACTTAACTGAAATTGAAATTAATTATAAAACTTTTACCACCTATTACGAAAATCGATAAAATAAGTCTGAGGAATGGATTTTCTTTTCCTTGGTATTTGTATCCAGCCTCAAAAAACAATTGACCCTAATATAATCGTAAGTTTTATTCTTGATATCGAGATCTACCCCCAAAATTTCAGTAATTAGAAATTGTAGTTGCACACATTTTATTCAGCAGCCAAGAATATGAGGAATTTTGATTGTAGTGTAGTAGCTAATTCCACGTGTGTGCATGGAAATGCTGCTTTCTGAATGCATTATTCATTTTTATTTTTGAAAAACTGTCCTATTATTGAATCACAAAATACATAGAGCAACAAAAAGATTCACGTTTGTTTTGTCTCGGATTTTTTTACACCCGAATTCAGCTCAGTTTTCAAAAATTCTGAATTATGAATTTTATTATCAATGTACACAACCAGATAAAGTAAAAGCCATCCAATCGATTAAGCTATCAGAAGATAGCTACCCCAAAGGGTGGCAGGCCAGGTAGCATTAAAAAATAAGGATGACCTCCTTTCAGATGGCAGGATGACTAAAATAATTAAAGGTGACTAATTGAAAACAACTTTTATTTGATAAACTCTGGTAGAAAAACAAACCTTTGTGACATTACTGGGCTATAGTACCAGGAAAAAGAAGCTATATAAATTTTACCCAGCTCAAAACAGATGGGCATCAGCTCATTTGCTACGTAAAGGTAAGGCAACTGATGCTTTATGCTGACCACATTGTCATCATCATGCTGTTGGTCTTGAAATTGTGGAGCTATAACATCAATGACCCCCTCGGCCAGCAACTTGCTGGCCGAGGGTAAAAATTCTGCTTCGTTGGTAAAAATTCTGCTTCTGGCTCTCACTGACGTAAAATATCCTCAGTGGTAGACAGAACTGGTAGGTTTTTGGGATTTTACTCTCCGTGTGACACAAAAGCATGTTAGTTCCATCAAAAAGTTCTTTAAGAAGGCTAGTTTGTCCCAATACTTGATCCAAGAGTTCCCTTGTCTTCTAAATGGGTTCAAAATTACTAGGCTACGGAGTTGAACATTAATAGTCGTAAACTCAGAATTGGGTTGGATGTTCAACATTGGTTATAAAGCATAGAAATATTCCTCTACTATTCACTGAATCACTTTTACTATGTATGATCCATATTAAACTCTATATTTAGTTCTTGTTAAATAAAATAATTTTTTTTTCTACTGCGTAATATTGACACAAAAAAATTATTCCAAAAAGGGAAGTTTGTTTATTTATAAAACTTTACACTTCAGTTCAAATTCACATATCTCTGTTCGTAAATTGTCTCAAATTTATTGCAATCGAAAAATAAAATCAAAGACCAAAAAGATCCTAGAAACGCTGGAATCGCAGCGACATACCATCCTTTATTTTCCCAGTGAAAATCTGAAAATAGAAATATTATGCATATTAAAAAATAAGTGGGTAATGATTCATTATTATTCATAATTAATCATAGTGTAATGATAAATGTGGTTATTTAAATTAATATTCGGTTTGGTAAAAAGAATTCTTAGCATCTGCTGTTCTCTTTAATAGAATTAAGGAGAAATTTTTAAACTATATGTTCTTTAACTTACAAACTTGAACTTATGTTATCTTTTATTCTCTTAAAAAATTATTTTAAGCATTGCTATTTATTTATAGTTATTTTTACAAAAGAGTGAGATTATAATGTATTTAAAATTTCTGACAAAGAATATTTAGTCATATTTAAAGCTAAAAGATTTGAAAAAATTCAATACCTTTCGAACAAATTAGAATTTCGAGGAAAAAAAAATCTTGTACTTCATATATAAAGCCGATCATTTCAGCTCATCTATTTTGAAGTCTGTAATTGCGTTTCAGCGGGCTGCAAAGCGGTCCGCATATTATTTTTCTCTATTAGTTCAAAAGTTAATAATTCTTCTAATTGTAAAATAAAAAAAGAGACTTTTTTCATTCCGTCCTATTCCCTGTACTTTTCTCTACATGCCTTCATAATTTCAAGTTTCCAAGTATAGATTTTGTGCATCAAATTAAAATTTAATGTAAAGAAAAGAAAGAAAAAAATCTGGGAAAAAGTACTTAAAATTGTAATACCTTTCGAACTAATTAGAATTTTGAAAATAAACTCTGTTAAGTTCATAAATAAATATGGCTTTTTCAGCACGTCTGTTTTTCTCTCTCTGTAACTGCATTTCTATGGGCTGCAGAGCGTTGTGCATGATATATTTTGTTACAAGTATCACAGTTTATAAATCTTGTACTACTTATTGATTGTTAAATTTTTTTTATTTATTTCATTGTTCACCTTCATAATTTCAAACTAAGTTAAGTAGTTTTTGCTCAGTGGTAGTATCATTTACGTTTTATATACAGAGGTTTTTTTTTTTTTGGGAACACTTTGAATTGTAAGGTATAGAAAATTGTAGCATGGAGTTCTCTCACCAATTTCGGTTTCAATTTGTAGAAAAGACAAACACTACCACCTGTAATACAAAAATAAAAGTTAAAAAAATACTGTACCTTGTTTTTGTGATATAGCAAAATAAATTAATACTCCTCCAACGACAAGTAATGCAAAGGCTCCAACAATTCCTAAAATTTTTATGATTTTAACAGTTAAACGACCAGCTTTTTGCTGCAATTGATTCTTCATATACAGAACATGTAAACGCAGCAAAAGGACGCAGATTATTTCTAGAAAAATAAACATATATCAGTTTTTATTAAGCAAAAGAACTGAAATTATTTATTATAATACAGGGCTGATTGTGCTCCGGACAAAATCCGAATTTTTCGCTAACAGTGATTGAAGATCCAGAAGTGTAAAAAAATCATTGATCATAGTTTCCGGAAATCAAACTTTCAGAGGTGGAACTTAAAAACCCAGTTTATTTTATTTGTTTGTAGGGGAGAGCCAGAGAGATACTTTATAAGCTTATATTCATGATTAATATTCATTTTTTATCAGTAAATAGTTGTTGTAATCATAAACTGAAAAAAGAAAGACATATTTGTAAATTTTAATTACTTCTCCAGGTCATCATATGTTATGTGTAAAATTTTAAATATATTTTAAGTAAACTTAAGAAATATTGAGAAAAACGAAGAATAAAATCTTGTTTAAATTTTTTTCTAATTTTTCAATGTAAACTGTTTTTTTTTTTTTTCAAGAAATTTTCCGGAATTTTGACTTGGGCTCACAATCTCCCCTGATAATATATCAATGACGACTTTTTTGAAAACTTACTTATTAGAGGCCTATAAAAATCATCACAACATCTATCTATAATTGTAAGTTTCTAGTGGTAGAGACATTCAAAGTAGAAACATTTTTGATACAAATTTTGTTTTCAAGTCTAGAATTTTGAATATTTCAGACAATTCATATCAATTTTTGGTTAATCATAACTAATAAAGAATATTTTGGTCGATAAGAATAACCAATCTCGATATTTTGTGAGTGATATGTAGTTACCAACCAAGAATAATACTAGCTTTCATCCACGAATTCAATAAATATTTCGATATTGTTCTTGCATTATTGCTTAGGATTAATATAATCAGATTTAATCTAAGTTACAATTTCTATTGAGTTTTTTCACTTTTAAAAGGAATTCATAATTATTTTTTTAAATTTATTTATAAAATAGTTTAATTATATTTAAGCACGTTTTGTTAATAGTATCTTAATTTTAACGAAATGAACGAATAGGTAGATTTAAAAAATAATCAAATGTGCTTGAAAAATGGATAATTAAACATGTGAATATAATATGCAACTATAAAAAGTAATAAATGAGAATTTTATTTGTTCACAATATGTATTGATAACCTTATATTATATAACATATTCAAATTGGAAACAGTTTTTATCTCTTTTCAGATAAGGTGACTAAAAAACTGGTAGTCCTAGAAAAAAAAATTTCTGAAAGAACATTTGAAAACTTTTTTTAAACTATTTCTGTTAAATGACTCTTGTGAGGGATACTAAAAGAAAACAGACATTTTTTAAATTCTAAATAGATAAAACTTCTTTGAAAAAAACGCGCTAAAAAGCAGCAGAAATTTCAAAAAAAGTAGCAATAAGGGAAACGAAGGAAATAAAAGCCGACGTCTTCAGGGGGTACCGGCCCCAGTAGCCATAAAACAAAACCATTTCAAATTGAGGGAGAAGTAAATTCCTAAATTAACTCCCTCAGTACCCCGATGGTTTTGTATAATCAGGGATGAGATTCTTCCGCGGATTTCCGCTTTTTTTTTTCAGATTTTTCCCGCTAATTTCAGCTGAAATTTTTTTTTTGCACAAGTTAAAATATTTTATGAGGAATTTAATTTTCCACTGAGTGAAATTATTGAAGTCCTTATTCCTCCCTCTGAAGTTTCTCTAAAAATCATTTCCTTGGGATAAAACTGGTTGGCCTTAATACAGGGATGAGATTTTTTTTGTCTCTCGAATTTCAGCCTTTTTATCAAAAACTCCGATTCTCTAAAAGTTTCTTTTTCTTTCTTTTTTTTTTTTTTAAATATCCCGCTTTTTTTTAAAAAAAAATTCAGTCGTTGAAGTAAAATAATTTTATTTATTTACGATTTTCAAAGATATTTTTACTTATATTAGCTATTTTCTCCGATTTCACGCACAGAAAATAAGATTTTCCGTATTTTTTATCCGTCGGCGGGATAGCTAGTATTTTCGTAATTCAGACGTCGCTGCATTTAAAATGAATACCTAAACTAGAAATTTAATCATACCTAGAAATTTAATTACACCTAAAACTAGAAATTTAATCTAAATAATTTAGAATTAAAAAAAATTTGTTTTCTTTTAGTATTGTAATTTTCAAATTTGGTTTTTGCTGCATTTTGCGCTTTTTCTTATTTGAAAAATTATTTAGATTAAATTTCTAGTTTTAGGTGTTTTCTAAATATTTTAAAACGTCAAAGGGGTTTTGTTGGTTGTCTAGGTTTTATATGCCTAATTAAGTATTTCCTTTTAGGTTTATTTTAATTCAATGCAAAGTAGTTTTTTATTTTCTGATTATTTTGTTTGAGTTTCTTTTCTAAATTGGTTATTTGTATTTCATGTTTTTTCCCGAATTTCTGTACAAAACCATCGGGGTACTGAGGGAGTTAATTTAGGCATTTGCTTCTCCCTCAATTAGAAATGGTTTTGTTTTATGGCTACCAAGGCCGGTACCCCCTGAACATGTCGGCTTCGGTGGTCATATTTTTATTTCCTTCGTTTATCTTGTGAGGGATCTTTGCTTAAGAAATATCAATTTGGAATCATAAAGCAGTTAGTTTTCTAATATTCGTATAGTAATTTTTTACTAATAGTTCTTTAGTTTCTTTATGACGCTGGTAAGGCTAAAGACTTATATTTTTAAAAATTTTGATACAAGTTCTCAATTTATTTCTGACATCTAATCTCCCGTTCTCCTTGTTTTTCGATTATATTTATTAACTTCTTTTTTATTACTTTTGATATCAAGTCAAGCGCTAGCTCATTATAAAATGAAGACCTCAAGAATGAAATTTTTCTACAACGGGTGGATAGTCAATCATCATTTAAAGTGGAGGGGGGGAATCGCGAAAACTTTCTAACCAATCAGAATTACGAAAAGAACTCTCGTTAATTTTCATAACTCTTCAAATTTACACTCAGTAACTGCGTTTTTGCAGTCCATCACGTTGTTTACATGACAATTTTTACTAAAAGTTAACAGTTAATTATTATAAAATATAAAAAATTTTCGTTCCATCTCTTTACTCCCTTTACATAATTCTACATATGTTCGCTACTATGGCGCTTACAAATTTTTAATATAGAGAGAAAGGCTGTTCGTATAATGTAGTTTTTCTATTTGAATCTAGTCTGAAATAAGTTTTTAAATAAATGAAGTGAAACAGATCATAATACGTATTTAATAAATTACCTAAATATAGAGATGTATATGTAGCTGCGAAATTCTGTTTCCAAGCAGAATAAAAAATTCCGAAGAGAGAGAAGAAAAAGGATGCAACCAATGGTATGAATCTCATCCACTGCAGACTTCTGTCTGAATCGTCTGTCGTCATCATCTTTACAGTGATTCAAATATCTAAATGCATAAAAAATTTACGTTACTGACTAAACAATGACTGGCATTTTAAGGCGAAGTATGAGAATTATTAAGAATTTTACTTGCTAGAAAGGCGAAAGATCTTTCCGGGAATTATGATAGCATGGTAGTAGATAAAAAAAACTGACCACCTTAAATAATTTTTGATTTAATGATCGGATCTTCACATTCTATAACTCCAATGAGTTATAGAATGTGAAGATGGTTCGAAGAGGTAATCTGAAATATGCTAATTAGTGATGACTGTATTTTATGTTACGAAATCAGACGCTAAAACGTACTTTCTCTGAATAAACATACCTTTTTTTTTCTTCGACGGATTGAGATTTCTGACCCCCCATATATAGCTGCAATAGTTTGGTCAGAAGTGCACTTCAAAGTTTGAACTCTTTAATGTTAATTTCATTTTATGCGTGTTTCGCTATATGTCGAGAACTTTTGAAGCGAATTGAAAAAATTTTACGCACAATAATAAAATGTGTTTATCCAAAGCTAATTCCATGCAAAAAAAAATAAATATTTATTAATTTATTTAAGAATGGTCGAAAAAATTTTGAATATTTAGGTTTGACAATTTTTTGCATCATTTTAAAGAATGTAATTTCATGTAGCAAAATAGGTCAAATAGTTCCTGAGAATTCGAATTTCAAGTATCTGATTTTTTTAAAATTCCATTGCTCAGGAACTATTCGACTGATTTTGCATTTTGATGTATAAAATTACATTCCTTAAAATGATGTAAAGAATTGTAAGCCTTGCAATTACAAGTTTTTTCGACTCTTATTTTATAAAACTACGAGGACCATCTCAGATTGTGGCTACACCCTATATTTTGGGGGTCAGAAATCCGAATTTGTCAACAAAAAAAAGATTTTTTTATTCAAAGAAAGTACGTTTTTATGTCTGGTTTCGTAACTTAAAATATCGTCTGCACTTGTTAATTACCATATTTGAGATCACCCCTATGAACCACTAAGATTGAGTCCTGGAAAGTCCTGGAAAAAATTATACTACTAAAGAAAAGTTCTAAAAATGTCGTTTGCTCTTCCGACCAATCTCGTGCTACTTCATAATTTTTCGCTTGTGTTACCCTCTAAAAAAATGCTTCAGAGGATTTTTTAAAAGCAAAGAAAAAATAATCTGATCAGTGATAATCTGATCAAAAGTTATTCAGTTATTCAAAAGTTATGGTCCGTTTTTCTTTTCTTTTTTTTCCCTCACTGTATATTGTCACTGTATTCTGTCTCTCTAAGGTTTGCTCTTTCGTTTTGATTCATAGTTGCGTTTGAATTTATGTTGATCAAGAAAAAACTAATACATATTTCTTCTACATTAATGCAAAAGTTATATTCATTAGTTTTCAAATTAGATTCAGAAAACACGTTGAACCTCAACTTTTGGAGAGCAGTTGTGTAGTACCACCGATTGGTTACCTGCAAGTGACGTTATCGTAGGTAAATAATGGCATTTTTCGATTCAGACGCTAATCAGGTTCGACACACGCGCGTGACGTCTCTCGCAGGTATTCAATTAAATCGTATTTAAATCACATGGTTAGACATAATCACTCCACTTCTCGAGTTGCAAGTACCCATTAATCGTGAGCCATTATGAGTGATCGCTTCGATCCTTAATTTTATTATTATTATAATTTCCATGTTTATTGTATTTTTTATTTTTTTTAAGATAACCCTAATATGTTAAGATAACCTTAATTGTTTAAATCAAAAACAGAATGAGCGTTTTAATCGTCGTGAAATAGAGAATTCATAAAACTAACAGTAATATTACGTTTATCAATCTAATTATAGTTATAACCATGAAACTAAAAGGTTATATTAATCAATATCAGAAAGAACATATTTGCCACACTACCTTTAGGATATAGAAGAATACTTACTGCACGATAACTCCAAAAGTGTTGAAATTCTTTCTTTCTTGGGTATTTGGAATAAAAATTTCCTACATGTTTTCACACATAAACTTCACGAATGATGGAAATTACTTCGTGTTTAACGAAGTACTGTATATCATTTACTGCTCTCCATATTCCATGATAATGACAGATTTAAACTAACACTGATTGAAAATATCGCGGACAATTCATATTTGTGATAAAGATTGTCTGCATAATTTTATCTCATTGTTTAATGGAAACTTAATCTTATCATAATTTCTTTCGTGTATTCAATTTTTAGAGGTGCTGGGAAACCATATAGATAAAACTATAGAGATAAAATTAAAATGGAATTATTTTTGAATTTCGTTCCATCCATTACTTTTCAGAACGCCGTTTTTTAGATTATGAAAAGAGCGCAGAAAGAAAAAAAAAATGGACCACACTGAATTACTTTTGATTAGTGATTGGATCTTCACATTCGGGGTCATTCTTAATGGCGGCTCGAGGGGGTGACCTCAAATATGCTAATTAATTAAAGTAGACGATATTTCGAGCTGCGAAATCAGACATAAAAACGTGTTTTCTCTGAATGAAATACCCATTTTTTATGGATTTGCGATTTTCAACTTCAAAATATGAGAGTTGGCGCGCTATTTGGAATTATGGAACTATTCGACAGATTTCGCTCAAATTTTATAATTTGCCACATAAAATTACATTCTTTAAAATATAATGTGAAATATTGTATACCTTACAATTCAAAAAATTTTCGCCTTTTATTAAATTTAAAAAAAAAAAATGTTTACTAAAGGTTCTTTTATGCCTGGATTTATCTTAGGATAAACGAATTTTGTACTTGTTTTTAAATTTGCTTTTAATTAGTTAAAAGTTCTCGCGGTATGGCGAAATACGCAACAATTTCAATTAACATTAAGGCATCCAAACATTGCTGCGTTTTCCTGACCAAATCATTGGGACCATATTTCCCAAATTCGCACTCTTGGCATTTCTGACAAAATTAAATTCCTAGTGCACTTTAGCATCCAAATAGAGTCTCGGTGCTGCCATCTAGTGTGGCAGAAACTAGATGTCCAAATTAACATGACCAACGGTATCTCACCCATTGTGGTGGTCCTGAAAGAGTGGATACTTCCTCCGGAGAACCCACTAGGTCTGCGCATCGGCAAGACTGATTGTGCAGCTCATTGGAAATAAAATAAAAACTATTTCCCTAACTGCAGCTATCCCACATAATTTGGGGGTCAAAAATCCGAATCCGTTGAAATAAAATATGTTTATTCAAAAAAAGTGCGATTTTGTGTCTGATTTCGTTGCTTAAAATAACGTCTACACTAATTAATTAGCATATTTGAAGTCATCCCTTCAAATCATTAAGTCCTACAACGTGAAGATTCGATCATTGCGTTAAAAGTTATTCAGGGTAGTCCTTTTCTCTTTTTTTTTTTAACGCACTATGCATATAATTTTGTTTCAATCATTCTGAGTCCCGCAGTGGACTGATCGTTAAGACACGGTTCCCAGCAGATCACCGAAGTCAAGCATCACTGACTGCGGTCCGTAAGATTTCCGGGGTTTTCCTCTTCATGAAAAGCGAAAGCCAAATTGATTACTGAAATACTTTTGAAAAATTTTAAATGAAGTGGATAGATCGTAAAGACACGGTTCCCAGTAGAATACCGAAGAGAGCACAGGCAGTCAGGATACGAAAGTAGGGGAGCCATCCCCTCTGCAGAGGATCAAAATTGTGATGGCATGTCTTCGGATCATCCTCCGGGATGTTTCTCGGACTGACGCCAATAGCCCATTGTGCAGCTCTAGTGCGATATAAATAAAGTACCTACCTATCTCAATAGCTGAGAGTTTTTTGGTAGTTTTAACCTGTGTAATTTTTAAGACGCAAGTCGGGGTTCTTGATTTTTCCGACCACCGCCTTCCAATTCTCTCCCTGCATTAAAACATTTGTATGCTATATAATTTTCAGGGGTGTTTTCATTAATTTCCATAATCGAACTTGCAACTTTCTCTGTCCCAAACCTCCTCATGCAATTTTATTTATTAATTGTTGCGCTACATGTTTATTTTACTTATTTATTGTTACACATCACCTCTGCAGAGGATCAAAATTGCGATGGAATGTCTTCGGATCAGCGAAAAAACTCTCAGCTATTGAGATAGGTAGGTACTTTATTTATATCGCACTAGAGCTGCACAATGGGCTATTGGCGTCAGTCCGAGAAACATCCCTGAGGATGATCCGAAGACGTGCCATCACAATTTTGATCCCCAGAGAGGATAGCACCCCTGCTTCGGTAGTCCGACGACCTGCAAGCGAAGTCGAGCACTTTACGGTAGAACAATTTAAAGAGGAACAATACTGCACACCCTCGGTACCCAGCAGACTGATCCAAGTGGTCACCCACCCGCATACCGACCGCAGCTAGTGATGCTTGACTTCGGTGATCTGCTATTGTTTAATGATAAAAGTTATAAAAAAAATTAGAATTTCATGTTTCGTGGTTAATGTAAGATTCACGTGGAAGACTTTTTTTAATAATTTCAAAGTTGAAATGTATACATTAAATCTATTTACCTCCCCAAATATTTTTGTTGTTGTTATTGTTGTTGTTAATTTACGTCGCACTAGAGCTGCACAATGGGCTATTGGCGACGGTCTGGGAAACATCCCGGAGGATGATCCGAAGACATGCCATCACAATTTTGATCCTCTGCGGAGGGGATGGCACCCCCGCTTCGGTAGCCCGACGACCTGCGCGCGAAGTCGAGCACTTTACGGTAGCACAGTTTAACGAGGACCAATACCGCACACCCTCGGTCCCTACGCAGACTGATCCAAGTGGTCACCCACCCGCACACTGACAACAGCCAGTGATGCTTGACTTCGGTGATCTGCTGGGAACCGTGTCTTAACGATCAGTCCACTGCGGGACCCAAATATTTTTAAATAAAGTTCTTCAAAGTCATTATGTTTAGCTATATTTTGCCACATATTTATGTTATTTTTATTATTGATCTAACTTTTTATAGTCGTAGATTATTTCTAATATATATATTTTTAGTTTTAAAAAGCAAAATAAAAAGTTTGCAAAAAGTGATTATTAAATGAAATGCACCTATCAATTCCCGTCACCGATTCACTAGGTTGGAGGAAAAAGTGATAACTAAGTTATTAACATATACCTGCCACTAGTTACTAACAGAAAATTTAAACCTTCAGGTCTAAGCACAAAGATGTATCCAACATTGCGGCGGGATTCGAAACCACTACCTCCACGCTTCGCGGATCGTTCAGGAAGGACCCCTGCTCCTTTAGTTTGTTTTGTGTGCATAGGTGAATGAAAATAGGTACCCGGGAACGTAGTTGCTGTGTTTCAAAATGTTTAATATTCAATTATGATTTTCAAGTTATATCGAATTTTGATCTTCATAAGAAGCGAACGTACTTCCTTAATTAAATAATGTTCTCTGTTTAGGATTATTTAATGTATTAGTTTGTAATTACATATATCTGCTAATTACTGAACTGAGCCAGAATTTTGTCCGAAGAATCTCAGCTTTTGATAGGGATGTTAAGACAGTGCATGGCTGAAATAGATAGCGAACTCTTTAAAAAATCTGCATCAAAACAACAACAAAGGTATATTTTGTTTTTATTGCGTAAGTCATGAATAATGATTGTTTTTATTGATAATATTTTAAGTTTTGCTTAAATATTTGATCTTGTGATAATGACAAATTAATGTTCAGACGCATGCATTAGAATATAATTTTCATTTTTTCCCTTTCGTTTTGCTACTTATGAAAAGATATTTATGGTTAACAAAACTCCTGAAATATATTCTTACAAAATCTTGTGAAACTGCACTAAATTCTTCAATAACCTAGTTTAAATGATGAAAAGATAACTATTACTATTTAATAATTACTTGATTTTCTCTTAATTTCTGTGCACCAATTAATTGTATCTCAATGAATGAAATACTTCAGTTTCTGGCTATTGCTTTTGCTAGTTTCAAAACCAATTTTTAAGTCTTTTTTTTTTAAATAAGTGAGTTTTTATAAAGTAAATTAATTAAATTTGTGAAAGATGTTGAACCAGTTGTAGTATCTTTTAGTTCGTACGTGCTACCCTAAGTTGGTAACAGCCAGTTTATCAGTAAACCATTTTTGTCAACACCTGTTGTTAAAAATTGATTTGTTAGGCAGTTGTGGACAATGAGAAACGTTACCAAATTACTGAACCCTAAAATAAAGCCTTTGATCATAATTATTAATATCTTGATAAAATCTAAAACCGGTTGGTGTCTCAAAAGGTTGGTGTTTTTAATTCCCATAATTCACTGTATATTTCATTTAATTAACATACATAATTTCTTGATTTTGACATACACTTTCTTCAATATACTTTTTATGCTTCACCTATTTTTGTTTTTAGTTTCATTAATATAATGTTATGTCTGACTTAGTTTAATTTAGTTTTGTGTCAGATTTCGAACATAAGTTATTAATATTTTTTACATTAAAGAATTTACACTTTGTTGTTGCATTCAATTTTATTACTTTAACGCATTAAAACGCTATAGCAATCGTATAATTATTTAACGTGCTTTACAGCAACACTTATAAGTCAGACGTCGCTACAGTGAATCCAGTTATAAGACCACTGTAATCAATGGTTCAGTATATTCAATATATAGGTTCACTATATTATTTAGCATATTGCAGTCGTATTGTTGCAAATAGTGATTACAATGGTTCATAATTTGTTTCATAAACAGTCAACTAACTAAACAAGTCTAGACCGATGATTCCTTACTGCGAATTTCCATCTAAGATGAAAATTCTAATCGAAACCTTAAGTAACATTCAAAATATTTTCCATATACTAAAGTTGTTGTCTTCTTCACTGTCAAAAATTTTGGTCATTAGCCGTCGCGATTTTTGGTGTAGAGGTAAACAAAAAAAATTTTCTTAAATTTTTTACTTACCTTCTCACTCTAATATATTTATTTTAAAGCCTTTAAAAATTTATTTAACTGGACACAAAAAAAAATGGTGGTAACTATGCGCCAAAATTTTTCACAGTGTTGTAATGAATTTTTAAGCGTTTATCTTTTCAATTTGCTTTTTTTTTAAAAAGATGTTTATATTTTTGATTTCTGTCGTTTTTGAAGAAACTTGCTATCGAGAGTAGGAAATTCTCTACGACCTGCTCACTCACCTAGTTTTTGGAACCACTCTCATTTTTCAATGCAACGAAATAACTTATTTTAAATACTCCTTAATCTATAATACTTCATTTTTGGCTCAATTCTATTATACGTTACATGGTGGTTGGCTATGTTTTGGAAGGAGATAAAGTTCTCCAAACTACAGTTGTAGATTTGGCTTGACATTTATTTTTTAAAAAGTACTTTAAATTTTGCTTTTCTAGTGCCACTGCTCGGTATAGCCTACTCAGATGTTCTTCTTCTTTTTTTTAAGGTTAAGTGCAGCTACCCGTATTTTATTTGCCCGTTTAACCAACAGTTTGGCGTCAAGCGTCATATTTGTCGACAAGTCATTTTTCAAAAGTAGAGGATTCTACCCTTTATTTATTCATTAATTATTTTTTAATTTTATTTATTGGCTGAATTTAAAATGCTTTCTACGTTATATTTTAGCATCTTATATCCTTTCATGTTATCTATTGATTTAAGTTTTAACTGAGTAATATAAATTTGAAAATTCTGTGTACAAATATACGATTAGGGCCCTTCAGATTATCCGGTAAGACGCATGTTTTAGAATTTCCCGCTTAACCCCTTAACGATCGGTTAATTTTCAAGTAAACGGTCATAAAAGTGCCTTTTTTTTGGCTTTTGTATTTGTATTACGTAATTGATTAGTGCTGATATCTAGTATAAAATAAACTATCTACAATTACCTTTAAAATATCCTGGTACAGCCATCTGGTGTTTAGAATGAGGAATAAAATGTTTTCCCGGCAAAAGAAATGAATTAGTTTTATTCTTATTGGTGCGTTACTACTGAACATTCCAGCCCAGAAATTTCACGGGAGCGAGAAATAGAGGGCGAAACCTCGCCCCGTCATTTTCACGGGAGCGAGAAGGAATGGGTTAATCACCGTAATCAACAAAATGTCTTCCTTCAAAATGCAACTTCAACTCTAAGAATCCTTTTATCATCAGTTTTTCCTTTCTTGGTAAAATGATTCTTGGAGTTGAAATTGTGTAATTTCATTCCTAAAACTGACTATCTCTCCTTCGCCTGCCTAAGCGTTGCTAACCAGCATTAAACTACATAAAATCTGCTCATCTTATTTCTGCAGAAGAAATGACTTAGTGGCTACTGCATATTCGAAAATATTCCAAGAATGCTTGATTTGTGCAAAAAGAAACGAGTATGCTGCATGCAGCGAGTACGCGAAAGAAAGTTCTATCGTGAACTAAATGAGATTTTTGGATTTTAGCGAATCTTCTTGAGATTTCCTGAAGTTACAAGAACGTGCTCTCTGTGCTGCCAGATCCAGTAGATTACGAAAGAGCTGCATCCTGTTACGGTCAATTTTTAACGAAATTAATACTAAATTTTAAGTGATGTTTATCTTCTAGACAAATTTCGTTAGTGGTTGCTTATGAGCTCCGTGGTAGCTCAAGGGATAGAGCGTTATCTCCCATTGAGATGAACCGGGTTCGAATCTCAACAATGGCTGCTCGATACGAATTCCACACCAGGTTCGCACCGACCACAGTGCTGACGCAAAATATCCTTAGGGGTAGACGGATCATGGGCTTGAGTCTCCATGCCGTATGGCTAACCGTGGGAGGTTTTCATCTCCATGTACCGCAAATGCAGGTTAGTTCCATCAAAAAAGTCCTCCACGAAGACAAAATTTCTTCCAATACTTGATCCTGGAGTTTCCTTGTCTTCTGTATTGGGTTCAAAATTACAATTCTACGGAGTTGAACATAAACTCAAAATTGGGTCGGCTGTTCAACGACGGTTATAAAATGAAATGATTGCTGTGACGTTGAATATGATTATAAATTACCATAGTTAACATCTTTACTGTAATAATTGAAGCTTTTAATAAAATTTTAAAAAAATGAATATTTTGTTTAAATTGAGCTATTTTTTTAAAAAAAAAAACTTGCCTCAATTTTGTTGCATATTTTTAAATGTGCTCACGCGTAATTTTTGTAATGACCTGCATATAATGCAAGTAGATGCATAATCCACTCTTAGGAATTTTAAGGATTTCGAACCACAACTTAATATTATTCGAACTTGAAGCATAGTATTGTACTTCATAAAGAAGACTGATTACGTGATGTCTAAACTGTAGTTCAATTTGTACGGAAATATGGTTTAATTTTAACATCTTTTCAAGGCATGAACAAATGTGCACGTTATTTATCTATATAACACATTCTTTATCTTTTTTACACATCTGCTTACAAGACATAAAAAAAACGAAAAAAAAACAACAACAGTTTTTTCCCCCATCATTATTGATTTTTAGGATTTATGCCTTTTCTGTAATTTTTTCATTGTTTTGCATTCTAAATATCAGTTTTTACTCTTGTTTAATGATGTGAGAAACACCGTAATTCCGAAACTAATACACCTGACGTACAGCGCGGACCTTGCCCCATCAGACTCATACTGGTTTTCTGAATTGAAGTCAGTCTAATTGGTATGCCCCTTCTGAGGAAATAAATAAGTGCATCAGGTTGTGGTGAAAGTCCTTAAATTCCCTGCGACTTATTTCAATCAGTGCTCGCGAATTTAAACGCTGTTTACAAACGGTTATAATCAAGTTCAACTTGGTTCTTATTACTATTATTCATTCAGTAGTTAATCTATGCCACAAAAACTTCTGAGAAATCACCAAAAAAAATTTTTTAATGAAAATATATTACATATTTGGTAAGTACACCGGTTGCACGTAAGTAGATTCAAATTTCTTGCAATCAAAAAAAAGTATAAACGACCAGAAAGCTCCGAGAAAAGCTGGAATGGCAGATGCGTAATACCCATCGTATTCCCACCGAAAATCTGAAAATAAAGTAGTGAAAATTGTTAAATAATATAACTTCTTATTGCATGAAACATTAATGTGTAGGTATGTCGATTGTTAAAATACTAATGAAATTTCGTTTTTGCATTTACAACAAAGAACTGAAATATCAAGCGAGTAAGCAGTCATATGAAAATTTCTGAGGGAAAATTCTTTTCAAGCTATTATCAAAAATAAACGTCTATTTTCAGGCTTTACTGATGATAAAATTGATGATTTACTGATGATTGATTGATTGATGATTTACTGATGATTGATTGATTGATGATTTACTAATGATTAATTGATTGGTGATTTACTAATGATTGATTAATTGATGATTTGCTAATGATTCGCTGATGATTGATTGATTGATGATTTACTGATGATTGATAAATTAAGTGTCTCCTAGAATCTGAATATTTCGATTATCCGAGCTAAAACGATAAGTCATGGCAACTAAATTCTTGCATTTTTCGTAACTTTTAACATGCCGCAAATGTTTAAATATTTTTGGCACAAAGTCTTAGCTATTTGAAAAGAGGATGTATTGTTTGAGCGCAAGGTATGCTTTGCTTTTTGTTCGATTTAATTTACTTTAATTTTCAGATCATTAAAATGGAATATTAATGAAGGAAAAGTAAGCATTTTCGATGCCTCGGAACCATTTTTGCCTTTAATCAAGGTTTTTAAAGAAGAAAAAGCTGTTCGTGACATTTATTCTGTGTTCCGAGAGGATGCCATAGTTGAAAAAACTGCATGTGGTATGCCAAGTTTAAAAATTAAAATTTTGACCAAAGTTTAAAAATTTCGTTCCACTCGCCCGGTTGAGTCCGATAAAGAGTAATTAAATCAACTTTTGCAATAAAATGTGTGTCAAATCAAATGACAAGGGACCAGGTAGAAAAAAGGAAATGTTCTCAAACTTTACACTTTTAAAAACTTAAAAAAAAAAAACACCACCAGAAATTAAGCTGCTAATATATAATTTAATTAAAAGTCAAGTACAAATTTTTTTTGAACACTATCAATCTTAACATACCTTGTTTCTTCATGAGGGCAAGAACAATATCACCAATTGCATTGAATGAGAATATGATGCCACCAATTAGAGCTAACAGTTTCATGATTCTTAACGTTCTGAGGGAAGCTTTTTCTTCGAGTTGATTCCGTACATAGTAGACGTTCATCCGCAATAGGCAAATACAGACGATTTCTGTAAAATTTAATTACGTATGAATCATTTAACAGATAAAAATACGGGGAAAATGTTGAACATTGGACCTGTGTTGATATTTCCGCGCCCTGGTGGAGGAATTTTGCACTCAGTATGTGTAGTTGATACTTGTAACAGTAACTATTTGCTGTGTTGGTGATCATTTAATGTGTGTGTGTGTGTGCGCGTGCGTGCGTGTGTGTGTGTGTATATACAGGCTTGTGTACTCATTACAAAGAATGACTTAAAAGCCCTTGTTAAGTCAAAGTGTATAGGTAGCACATTAAGAAAAGGAGAACACAAAGACATATCCAAGGTATGCAGGTTTTATGTGTAAAAAGTAGTTTTTACTTATTTTGAGCGTATTGACGCATTCGGCCTAGGCAAGTAAGGCACAGTTTCCTATATATTTTTTACTTTCCTGAGAGAGAAACAAACATGGATAGAACTAATGGCTCTGGAGTTATGAAAGTTTTAATGCATAAAAAGTATGTAGTTTTGTATTACACCTCTAAAATTACACATACTGAAAAGCTATGTATTTAATCATATGCTTTGTTTTACTCTAAATCAAATGAGATCAAACACAAGTCAGTAAAATTAATACTTCAAAAGTTTAAGACTGCAAGGCTTTCTTGGACACAATGTACAGTTGACTTAAAAGTTTTTTTTTTAATGTCTAAAACTGCTATCTAAACAAGTGAGGTCTTGTTTGCCATGAACATTTTTACGCTTCATTAAATAAAAGCGTAAAAAATAAATGATAAATAATGCTTCAATTGTCAGTATAGCAATGTCAAATGCGATACGTCCCGCAGTGGACTGATCGTTAAGACACGGTTCCCAGCAGATCACCGAAGTCAAGCATCACTGGTTGCGGTCAGTGCGCGGGTGGGTGACCACTTGGATTAGTCTGCGTAAGGGACCGAGGGTGTGCGGTATTGGTCCTCGTTAAACTGTTCTACCGTAAAGTGCTCGACTTCACGTGCAGGTCGTCGGGCTACCGAAGCGGGGGTGCCATCCCCTCTGCAGAGGATCAAAATTGTGATGGCATGTCTTCGGATCATCCTCAGGGATGTTTCCCAGACCGTCGCCAACAGCCCATTGTGCAGCTCTAGTGCGACGTAAATGAGCTACAACAACAACAACAAATGCGATAAATGGTATAAGTGCAAACTGTATTTTTTATACAAATAACTTTTATAACTGATAGTTCTTAAGTAACTTTTTATTGAATAGTTTTATCGATTTAAGTTTGGTCTTTGGGATCTTGAACTTTTTATCTTGAATTTTTCACAGCACGATCGCATTTAGACCTTGATCATGTTCTATTAAACTGTCAATTTAATTCAACAGAAGGACTTGAAGTAACATAATGATGAGTGGCATTTATACATTATTCAAAAAGTGATGGTTCCACGATTTCAATGTCGTATAAAGATGTTTCATAGTAATGCGTAGTTATTTAGTGGAAATTCCGGAAACTTGTGAAGTATATCTGAAAGCAACACTAAAGAAGAGTCTCTGTGACGTAAAAAAATGTCAGTTAACCTTTCATAAGGCTGTGGGAAGTATATTTCCCACCAAATTCATTACAGTAGAGCACCGATTATCCGAACTGCTCGGGACCGAACGTGGTTCGGATAGTTGAAAGTTGTTTAAAATCTAGTTTAAATGATTATTATTTATGCACTAACTTCCCTTTTCTCACTTTTTCCAGGCTTAGAACTGGCAGTACTATTTAAAATAGATCTGGCGTGTTTAAAATTTTTTTCTGCAATTTTTTAATCGTTTTTATTTATTTATTTTCTTTTCGTAACTTTGTTTTTTTCATTTTGAATTTTTTTTATCATATTTCAGCTTTTTATAATTTTTTTTTTGTCAATTACTGATTTAAACCTTTTTTGCTTATCATCCATTGCAAAAGAAATCCAGCAAAGACTTTTGTTTAGAAGAAGATGCTCTTTTTTAAGCAGACCTTATTCTTTTTAAATAAATCAACTGAACTGGATCAACATCATTTTGACGTTCTAGACTATTAAAATGAAGCCCGCATTCTTGGAAAATAATTTTCAGTTGAAGAGGGCTAAAGGGGTATGTAGGTTTAACTGCATAACAAAACATGTATGTATGGCTACTATAAGAAAACTGCTAAAAAAGGTCGCAAATTAGATAAGGTCTTCAGATGTAGTGGATATTATTTATTCTTCTAAATTTAGAAAAATTGTCCATAAGTTTAAAAGTATTCTAAACTTTAAAAAAAAAACGAATTCGGACATAGTTCAGATAATTGGACGTTCGGATAATAAGGATTTGGATAATCGGCGCTCTACTGTACTTTTTAAATATCAATGAGAAGCTTTTTCCTCATCTTTGCTTTGTGCGACCATCTACAGATAACTTTCGAAGACTTGCCAATTGTTTACAAAAAAGTGGATGATAGTAAAGGTTTGCGTGAGGTCAGGAAGAGAGGCTGACAATTGAGAGATATTTTCTCTTGTTAGTTATGTTTTCGTCCATCTGATCATTTCTTATCAAGTTTATATGTTGTTATGAAGACAGAATATGTAAATCCGGTTAACAATACTGGGAAAAAATGGCTCAGTAAAGAATTAACACCGAAATTAGAATGTTTTCAAACTGTCAAACGTGTTTCTCGCCAAATTTTTGAGTTGCATAGAACAAAGTTTCACAATAATATTAACTTACCTAAATACAGAGCAGACATTACGGCGTTGTAATTACTTTGCCATATAAAAAAGAAGATTCCGCCAACAGCAAGAAAAAAACTTAATACCAGAGGTATGGCTTTAATCCAATGAATACTCCGACCAGAGTCACTTCTAATCATGTTTGTAGATTGAAATTGATGTCTAAATAAAAAAAAGTTAAGCTTGAATGCTGGTTTTTCATGCAAACATATTTTTTAAATGAATATTTTTCCTGAAATTAAAATAAAAATTTGAAAATATGAATGAACTAAGCTTTTATTTCTGAATGTCGGGACTTTTTTTTCTTCGGAAAATTTACTGTACTACTGGTGAAACCATGAGACTCCGTATAAATAAAAGATGCGTGATTCATATATGAAAACCAAAGCGTACCGTTTCTCAGAAAAAAAGATTTCAGTGATTTCTCGTATATCTTGCTTAATAATGCATTGGGAGCCTAGAAATTTCAGGAATCTGAAGGTAAGGGTTTTGTCAACAAAAATTACGTCAGAGTCGCCAAGTTGGCGATAGCTCCATTGTCAGTTATAGCTCCTTTCCTTTTGCCTGTAATGGGTTATTGTGGGCTGTTAAAAAACGTTAAGTCGATAGTTTTCGGAAAACTGGTGTTTCGTAAACAAAAAATATTTACAGATTCGCTGTTTCCAGCCAAAAATATTCAGGAAACACATATCTTCATCTAGAGAACAATTTTTGTGTTGTACCGTGAAATGATTTAGTACAGCAAGCCTGAAATAAAATAATATACAGTGCTCAAAAAGAAAAACCTGAATAACTTTTGATCTGATGATCGTATATTTATGTTCTAGGACTCAGTCTTAATAGTTTGAGATGGAGTTTTCAAGTATGCTAATTAATAGCTACAGACGATATTTTAAGTTACGAAATCAGACACAAAAACGTTCTTTCTTTGAATAAACATACCTTTTTCTTAACAGATTCGGATTCCCTAACATATAGTCGTTATCTGAGAAATATGATCCGCATAGTTTGGTCAGAAGAGCGATCCGAAATTTTTACTTTTTGCGTATTTCGCCATATCTAGCGACCTCATGAAGCGAATTCAAAACATTTTGCACAAAACTATAAAATTCGCTTGTCCAAAGAAAATTCAAAGCAAAAAATAAATTTCAGTAAATATTTAACTTTTTATTTCGTTATTTATAATAATAATAAAAAATAATAAAAAAAATTTGTGTTGTAAGGTATACAATTTTTTACATTATTTTAAAGCATCTAATTTTCAAATGCAAACATTTGAGCAATTGAATTTTATTGAATATAATTTTATTGAATATATATTGAATATAAACATTGAGCAATTGAATATAATTATAAAATTGAATTTTAGGAAAATCTTAGATTTAAAATTCGATTTCTCAGGATCTATTTATCCGAAATCGCGAAAATTTTGCATTTTGTCATGCAAAATTACATACTTTAAAATGATGTAAAAAATTGTATATCTTGCAATTCAAAATTGTTTCGACTATTATTAAAAGAAATAATAAAAAAATAATAAATATTATACTAAAATTTATTTTTTGCATGAAATTATCTTCGGACAAACAAATTTTACAATTGTGTACAATTTTTTTAAAATTCGCTTTAAAAGTTCTCGAGATACGGCGAAATACGCAAAAAGTAAAATTAGCATTAACGGGTTCTAATCTTGGATCGCTCTCCAGACCTAAGTATGGGGACCATATTTCCCACACTGCGACTACTCCCTATATTATGGGGTCAAAAATACTAATCCATTAAAAAAAAAAAGGTATGTTTAATCAGAGAAAGTACGTTTTTGTGTCTGATTTCGTAACTTAAAATATTGTCTGCACTTATTAATCAGCACATTTGCGGTCTCCCCCTTGAACCATTAAGATTGAGTCCTAGAATGTGAAAATTCGATCGTTAGATCAAAAGTTATTCTTTGTGGTCCATTTTTTCCCCCGCACTGTATAAAACCTCATTCTAAAATTGACCTACATAAGGATTAATAGCAGCATTTGAAGATTACTCAGACTCAATCGAATTTTTGTAGTGTATTAACAATAAGAATTTAATACGTATAAACAAAAAAAGAGATAATTAAGAAAGATCTAATCCTGAATATTTCTTGTTTTTATGATCAGAAACAAGAAATGATTCAACTTAATAGTTTAAAGAATTTATTTCAAATAAGCTTAGTACTAATTACTGTTAACTATTAATTTTCTCTAAAGAAACATATTTTCCCTACAAATTTGAATTTTGAACATCAAAATCAAGAAAAGATGATCCCAATAATCTATAGACGAGCAATCAAAAGTTTAGACCCTTTTATGTTCTTTAATTTGCCATACATCGGAAACTTTTTAAACGAATTAAAAAAGGTTCTGATCATGAAAAAAAGTCATTTATTTAAATAAAATTTTGTGCATAAATATTGGTATTTTCGGCATGGCAATTTTTACATTATTAAACACTATGTAATTTGAAATGATTAATACAAAATTTGAACGAAAGAAGTCAAATAGTTTCGGATGGATGCACTTTTTAAAAATTCGTATTTTCAATTTTTTACATCGTTATAAAATTTTACAAAAATTTATATTTTCAAATTTTTATTTCCTAAATTTTATATTTTGCGATTTTAAAATGAGATGATAAAAATAGGTATGCAATTAAATTTTTTCGATTGTTATTAAATAAAATACCAAAATAATAATTATTATTAAACACAGTTTTTTGCATAATTAACTGTCAAAAAATAAGTGAAAACAGTTAAGAATTTTTTTTCTTCCAAAGTCATGCCATTGTAATTGTGACGAGAGAAAAATTACGCAATTCAAAAGAAGGTTTAATCAGTTGAATAATCTTCTGACAAAAAGTAAATTATCTCATATCAGTAAAATTTTTTAAAAGGAACAAAACAACATATTATATTGAAGCTATGTATATGAATTAATACTATAAGGATACATGCATATTAAAAATAAAATTATCCTGATTTAAAAAAATTATGCAATTCAAAAGAAGATTTAATTATTTGAATCTTCAAACAAAAAATAATTTGGCAGTAAATTATTATCAGGCCCAGCACTTTTCCACACATCGATAAAAATTGTTTAAAAAAACATATTATATTGAAGTTAAACGTATAAATTAATACTATAAAGATACGTATATATAAAAATAAAATTATGTCTGATTAATCAAAATTATCCTCAATCAAAACAATCCACGATCTATTTATAATTAACAGGCTTAGCACATCAATAAAATTTTTTTTATCCGAAAATCATGTCAAATTATATCGGAACTATGCATATAAATATATAATGTGTGTATAAAGATTATTTTCAATGAATAAAACTCGACCAGAAATTAGAAAACTATGTTTATCAAAAAACAAATTATGTAATTTGCAATTTAATTAGTCTATAATAAATCTACTGACAAAAAATAGTTCAACAATAAATTATTAACTAAGTGAGTAAAAAGTGTTTTCGATAAATTATACTATATATATAGGGTAAACTAACCAGTGAAGGAACACTTAAGCTTCGCTTGTCTTTTAAAAAATCATATTAATTTCAAAATTCGTAATTTTAGTTAAATGACAGTGTCAACATATTTGTTACTAATTGCAAATTATGTAAAAAAATTTTAGAGAACTTACATAATATTGTTTTAAAGTTTTGGAGGTTCAAATAACAAGTAGTAAGAAGACCAAGTGAAGGAACAGCTCTTACCAGTGAATGAACACCCAGTAAAGGAACACTTAATTTTGGTTATTTTTTAATGCTCTTTATGAATTTATAAGCCATACAAATATTTAAAAACAAGCCTATTCTTGAAATTATAACATATAAATACTTGGAAAATGTTAACTTTTTTTTGTAATCATGAATTGAAAATTAAAGTGTCAACATATTAACACATACTGTTCATTCACTGGGAAATCTATGCCCAGTAAAGGAACATGCCTGTTCCCTCACTGGTTAGAAGTTGTTTTTCGTATTTTTAACATACTTTTGATGCGGAACATCACTAAAGGTACAAGAAAATTAAAGTTTATCTTTTATTTTCATTAACTTAGAAAAAAAACCAGTAAAGGAACACTTGTTCCTTCACTGGTTTTTCATCGTTTGGTGATCCAGTGAATAAACACCCCCTTATCTCAGTACTTTATTATGCTATGATGCTTAAAAAAAATAAAACGTAACTTCAATAACTATATTTTGAATTCTCTTTTTCACAGTGAGAAAAATAAAACTATTACATGCAATTAATTCCACTTCAAACATATAAATACAAACACTCACCTTATAATTTTTTCAAAGAAACAAGGTGTTGCAGAGATAATAACAAATTCAAAAATTTTTCCTGAGAAGTCTATTTAACCAGGTAATCCAAAACATTGCTAGATGGCTTCCTATTGTTTGTCAGTAAGCTACTGTTACCAATCAATCTAAAGAAAAACTTTCAAATTCTTATTTTTAATCGATATATATGAAATGTTCCTTCACTGGGTAGAGTTCCTTCACTGGTTCGTTTACCCTATATATATATAAATAACTACCTGAGAGAAAAATTTTGAATCAAAAGATTAATGTTCTTTAATATTTTTCTATAATTAAATAATTTTTTTTCTATAGTGAGAAAACAGTTTTACAATAAAATTAATAGCACATTAATAATTTTTCTTCTTCAAAAAATCATGTTATATTGTACCGGAATTATACATAAAATTAGTATATATACATAAAAGATCATAGATTTAAATAAATAAAATTCATCTGAAATTTAAAAAACAATTTATTATCAAAAGATAGTTCAATTAATTGAATAATAGATTGAAAGGCGTAACTGTCAAAAATAGATTAACAAGATGAGCACTGTTTTATTCATCAATAAAAATTGTTTCAGAAAATAATGTCCTTGAAAAATGATACATTATTGATAATGAGATTGAAGAAATCAAAACTTAACTAACCTTTATTTGCGGTTTATTTGATGTAGATCTCAACAGATATCCTTTAAGGAGAATATGAATTACTCTAAATTTTTTACTCTAAATTTAATATGTGCGTTTATTTCATGTAAATAGGAAAATGCAAAAGATTAAATAATTGATAGATGCCAATAAACTGTAAATAGAAAGCATTGTTATTGAGACTCTTATCCATTTTGCCTTATCTCACAATGCTGGAGATAAAATATTAATGTAGATAAAAAAATATTGAAGATTGTTTAAAAAAAGGTTTTTCTTTCAAACGATATTTTAAAGGTAACTTTAAAATAACATGAAAAATGTCTAAAGAAAAGAAGAAAAAAATGAAGTTTGACTTTTACCGGGAAATATAACCGAATAATATGCTGTTTTAATAGCTATTTTAAAATTGAAACAGCTGTTCATGATTGTTTGGTTAAGCTTTGCTAATCTTTAGACAACGCCCTCTATGCTTCATTTTGAAAATGGCGCAAAATGTTAGCATTTGGAAAAGTCAGAGTTTTGAGACAATAAAAAGCGTTTCTTGTCCATTACGCATTGGCAAAATGGCTTTTAGTTTGAATTTCATGGCGCCCTCACTTTTCAGTTACAATAATCAAGAGCATATATGGCAGTACTTTTACTTTCGTTACTTGTACCGCCGGTACAAGTAAAAAGTACGTACTTTTACTTGTACTTCGTTACTTTTTAAATTCAGTACTTTTACTTGTACTTTCGTTACTTTTTTTGGGAAAAAGTACAAGTATTTGTAACGGAAATGTCGAATAAAATCGCTAATTTTTTTTTAAAACTCGGTAAGTTTTCTAAAAAAAAAATTTAAAAAAAATGTATTAAAAAAATGCTTATGTTTTTTTAATTTATAAAATTAATGTGCAATATATATGCATTCACAGATAACTTCGTGTTTAAATGCTTTGACCTTTTAAAATTGTCATTTCGCCGTTCAAAAAAGCCGTCCTTTCTCTTTCAGGAAAGGGAAAGGACGCATTCTAAAAATTTTCAATTTTCTAAAGCTGAAAACATCGTGCCAATCACCAGCGACAGAAGAATTTATGGCATACATGAGCTCAAATGTCGAAACGGAAAGCATATCAATTTTGAATCGATATCCAATCGTAAAAAAATTATTTGTGAAATATAATACCGCACACTTTCGAAATGCAATTATTTTGCAAAATGAATAAAAATATTAATTAGCAAGTTATTTTCATTCATTTTCGAGTTTTATGCATTTATTTAATACATTTTAAATAAAAAATGTTGGATTTTGTTATTACGTTTTTCAATTTTCTTTTTGAACTCACTAATAATACATTTTTGTCTTAATACATTTTTTACTAAATACATTTTTACCTAGTACATTTTTTACTAAAATTATGTTTATGCCCGACCTTGTCAAACAACGCCCAGTCAAATCTCTAAGAACTTCAGAACTATTTGTGCTATTGAAAACTATTATAATTACTATTTTAACTCTTGAAAACTCGAAGGTATTAATTTAGCCGCTGATACTAAAATTCGTTTACAAATTTTAATTATTCCGTTAGGCAGAAATGTTCGGAAAATGATTTTCTCGCATGACTTCAGCATTAGCCATTGTTACAAATAAAACTGTAGACTGTTCTGTTTCAACTTATACTGCACATTCAATTATTTTTTACTAGCTCAAAGATCACAAAGCTATCTGAAACCCCGTGTTTGCTTTGTTTATGTTTGTGCTTTTAAAACGCGTTTCTATAGAGTAAAACAATTTTAAATCAATGGTAATTTAAATAAATAAAAATAATAAACTAAAAATTAAAATCAATAGATAAAATTTCTTTTTCGTGCAAATCCATAAAAAGTTTGATATTAAAATTATATTTGATTTTAAAATTATATTATACGATTATATTATAAAATTATATTATAATATTCTTCCGAATTTAAAAATAAATTAATGTCCATAACTTTCAAAATTAAAAATAATTAAATAAATAACAACAATTTTGCAAAAACATTAAAGAACATAAGAATATTATTCAATAAAATTTTAGGTTACTTTGAATTTTCGATTTCCTAGAAATGTACTTTTAAATCGTTACTTTTTTTGTTTAGTACTTGTACTTTTACTTGTACTTTTTACTCGTTACTTTTTAAAATAAGAACTTTTTACTCGTTACTTTTAGTAAAAATACTTGTACTTTTACTCGTTACTTTTTAAAAGTAACGTTGCCATATATGATCAAGAGTAATAGTAAACAGAGCTCATGCGTTGCTATGGCGACCGCTGCTGTTTGATAATATTTTTAGAATTCTTTTCTTTACTCTTTTAATTTTGTTATGCATTAAGCTGGTGAGTTTATTTTTGAGATATGGGACCAGAGAGATCCCATAAATACTTCTTGAGTTGTGAATAAAAGAGAATTTCATCATTTGAAAGATACTTTTGTTTTTATTGTTTCAATTAAGAATCAGAAATTCTAACCTACAGTTTAAACTGGATCGTTTTCAATACTAATTTAGGTAAATATCACAAATAAAGAGGGTCCAAACTAGTTGACATGGCCCCAAAAGACCTAATTTTGGGTTTACGACTACTAATGTTCAACTCCGTAGCTTGTAATTTTGCTCCAAAAGACAAGAAAACTCGTGGATTAAGTATTGTGAGAAATCGCCTTCGTGATGGAATTTTTTATGGAACTTACAAGCATTTGCGTTACATGGAGAGGAAAGCCACTGAAATCTCCCACCGTTAGCCTAACGACAAAGGGACTCTAACCCATGATCCGTCTACCACTGAGGATATTTTTACGTCAGCACTGTGGTCGGTGCGACCCGGGTGCGGAATTCGTATCAACCAGTCCTCGTTGAGATTCGAACCCGGTCATCTCATTGGAAGGCGAATGCTCTATCCCCTAAGCCATCACGGCTCTCACAGTACATTTGCCGTAAATACATACCATCGTACATAGACATTCTCGTAAATAAGATTTCAGATTGACTTACAAAGGAATTTTCAGAGGCCTTAACCCCTTCTCCTATCTGGACATTTAAAGAAATCTTTTCAATCAGGAAAAATAACAACAAGTTGCAATGGCAGATCTCGCTGGAAAATTAATGGTCAAGAATGAGTACCATTCATTTGCTGGTTGTTCATTGGACCACCAGGACATCGGACCCAATGATTCACCAGTTTCCCAATGAGCCTGGTATTGAACCATCAAAAATCCTAAACAGCCAGTGACCATTTTGAGAGGACTTAGTTTTTATGGAAGTCGTAAGGTTTTTCCTAGTTTGCAATAAATGTCCAACTGAAGATGTTTCCCCGGGACGCATTTTGGACTGCTTGTACTTTACCCAAGACAGCTTAAATAGAGATCCTCTAATTATTAGAGGATCATTAGACTCTAATGATTCTAGCCTTTTCGCAAGCATATAATCTCATGGAATTAGCCTAACTTTTACTAAACATGGAGGATATGAAACAATAACACAAAGTACTTAAAAAGATCTTCAGAATTTTTTTTTAATTATAATTTAAATAGTGAAAAAATGTCCGGAACTTTTGATATTGTATTTTCCATTTGGGTATTGAAAAACGGTAACTTTGGGTTAGACGGGTGCATGGAAATACAACTATTTATTTTTATTTAATTTAATTTAATTTTTATTTAATTAAATTTTTATTTAATTTAATTTTTATTTAATTTAATTTTTATTTAATTTAATTTTTACTTAATTTAATTTTTATTTAATTTAATTTTTATCTAATTTAATTTTTATATGTTTAAGAAATTAAGAAAAAAAAAAAATTTTTTTTCAAGAAAAAAGATTTTTTTAAATTCAGAATTGTGTTAAAATAACTTCTAAAACTGATGGTCATGACCTAACGTTTCGATCAAAGTACTTATAGAACACCATTAAATTTTTTTAAACTGTTATATTCCTAAATTCAACAATGCATCGATGTGTTGTCATTGTTTCCTACATTCATTTCATTTTTTTGTATGCAAATGAATCCGTTTTAACATTATAAAGGCAAAAATATAATAAATATGTCTTTCTTAACAACGACATTTTAATTGTTCTAGTAGACTTTTTCAACAATGGAAATTGTGTGATTAAAATTAAATTTCCACAGCGTCTCTTTGTCGAACGCAATCTCATTCATGGAAAGACGCATATTGAAGTTATCATTTTCAACATGAGCCAGCTCTATTTCTTCGAGGTTACATCCATAGCTATATTATTATTTCTCCATTTATGGGCTGCATTTCAAAATCAGTGGGATTTATACTCATTTTTGCCATCATTAATTGGATTCTTTGTCTATGCTGTAGTGAAGGCAGCCATTGCTTACATCAGACAGCAAGAAATAATTGCAAATGGCGATGAAACATCAAGTGAGATAACTGAAGCTTCCACTGTCGAAGGGCTTGAACACGAAAGAGGTTATTTAGCCGACATTAGTGAAGGATCCAATTTAACATCATATGGCAGTGATGGAAGGGCAAAAGAGAATTTCCCATTTGCATTGCAAGATCGAAGAGGACTTGATCAATTAACAGTTGAGACTTCTTGTAGTACCGGTTCTAAAACATCAGACAGTGGAACAGATTCTAGCCAAAAAGATTTATCCGACTGCTGCCAAACATTTGGCGAAGAATCTAGCAATAGCGACAAAAGCAGAACTCAGAAAGAAGACCTTCTTCCCATCAGTGCCGTAACTTCACCCCTCGGGGCTCTGGGGCAAAAATTTTTGGAGGGGGCCATTTCAAAAACTTTCAGTACTCCATCTCTAACGTCATTTTAGCTATTTATGTATTATGTTTGCGAATATATTTATGAAAACAAGTTATTTGTTCGTATATAAATTGGATTACAAAACATTGTAAGTTTTCTACATGCTTCAAAATTTCAGCAAAATCGATTAATCCTGAGAAATTAAATTTTAAAAAAGTCGTTCTTATAAAGCTCAATTTCTCAGGAACTAATGCACTATTCAACCAATTACGCTCAAATTTGTATTTTCCATGTGGAATTAGATACTTTAAAATGATACGAAAAAAAAATTATATGGCTTACGATTCAAAAGTTTTCAGACTATTATTATCCCGAAGTGGAGTGATCGTTAAGACACGGTTCCCAGCAGATCACCGAAGTCAAGCATCCCTG